TTAGTATAGTATCTATATTCTTAGGTAATAGTATATCTATTAACTATAAAGATAAGATACTATATATAGACTAAAAGGGATATATAGAGAAACTATTAAATAAGTTCTCTATTTATAATAATCCTAGTTATAAGCCTATTAAAATACCGGGTAAACCGGGTTTAAAGCTTAAAAAGAATACTATAAATATAAGCCTATAAGATATTAAAGAATATCAGAAATAAATAGGGTCTTTACTCTATTTAGCCCTAAAAACTAGGCCTAATATAACCTTTGCTACTATATACTATACTAGATATATAAGCAATCCTAGTAAGGACTATTTTATAGCCCTAAATAGGATTTAGAAATATTTACTAGTATATCCTAATATAGGATTAGTATATGCTTAGGTAATAACCTATATATAAAGGGCTATTCTAATACTGATTAGGGTAATAATTTAGATTAACGAAAATCTACGTTAGGCTATATATTTAGCCTAAGCCCTAATATAGGGATTAATAACCCTATTAGTTGGAATTCTTAACTACAAAAAACAATAGCAATTAGTAGCTATAAAGCTAAATATATAGCACTAAAAGAAGCTACTAAAGAAGCTATATATCTAGCTAATATATTTAATTTATTAAATATAGAGCTAGATCTAGGATATATAAATAGTATACCTACTATCTTAGTTAATAGTGAATCAGCTAAGAAACTAGCTAAGAATCTAGAATTCCACAAACGATCAAAATATATTGAAATAATATACTATTTTACAAGGTAAGCTCTATTAGAAGGTAAAATCACTATTAATTAAATACCTTCTAAATATATACTAGTAGATTTTTTAACAAAAAATATTAATAATATCTTATATAAGGCTTTTATAGATCTAGCTAAGTTAGATACTATATAAAGACCTATAATATATATATATATATATATATATATATATATATATATATTTATACTATATACTTATACTTGTAATCCTTATAAAGATTATAAGGATTAAGGGGGTGTGTAAGTATAATAGTAATTGTAAGATATATATTTATATACTATAGTGTGTGAGGATAAGATATATATTTTACCGGTAGTATCTAAGAGAACCTTAGATATATTATTTACGGTAAACTATATTATGACTCACAATATATCGCTATAAATCTAGGATATCATGATGAAGTCATTCTATTATTAATGACTTTCTATGATATTCTATACTGCTAGAGCTTGCCTATATAAGGAATGAAGGATTCCTAGCTAGATAATAATAATTCAATACAACTTTTCTTACCTCTCACCTATTATTATCTACTTAAGCTAAGTATAAACCTTTCTATATCTTATATAATACAATATTATATAAGATAAAGCTTACCTAATACACCTTCCCCTACAAAATATTATAACCTACTATTAGGCTATAATATTATTTCTGCTAAAGTGCTCACAAATTAAATATAGTAAAATTATCTATCTACCTATATACCTATTGATTGTATACCCTATTTTTCTATAGCCACTACACTTTAGTGGGGCCTATATATATAGCTATAAAGCTAGCGAGTCACTTATTTACGGTGGGGGTATAGGTACTTCCACTACTTCTACTATCCTAGTAATTAATTAAGAAGCTTCTTAAACTAAGAGACCTTCTTCGGAAGGTATTAACCTTTAGGACTAAGTATATTTTTACTTCTACTTCTTATTAGTACCGCGTAAATCCTTATTTTCTTTAGTGAGTAAGATAGTACCTTATATTATAAGATAGTAGCCCTTTATAAACTAGTTTAATATATAGTTAGAAGGACTTAGTGGGCTTTAAGACCTTATATAAAGTAAAGCTTTAATTAATAAAGCCTATTAACGTAATTCTTTCTCTATAAAGGGTGTTTTTAGGGTAAAATTCCGGCTTAAATCACTACTCTAGCTAGGGGGGGTTAGGGTTTAAAGCTAAATATTAAGCTTTAAAATCACTTAGTTAGGTATAAATAGTACTAAACTAGCTACTCCGAAGCTATTTCTAATAGTCTCTAATTTAAAAGCTTTAATTTAGGTAAGGGGGTATACTTTAAGGAAGTTAAGTTTATCGATATAATTTATCCTAACCTATATTTTTAATTTAACTAGCTAACTATATATATATTTTAATACTATAAAATAGCTAATATTAAGAGACTATAAAAGGTAAGAGGAGTATAGAGATATATAGATTAGTATTACCTTATTTTATTTATAAATTTTATTAAATTTAGGTATTAAATAACTTCTATAGCTATTAAGTATTAATAGCTAGTATACCCTTTTTATATATAAAGTACTAGGAATAAAGACCTTTTTAAGCTAGCGAAGTCTAACTATTAGGACTAACTTTAACGTACTAATTACCTAAGAGGCTACTATTAAACTATAATTTAATAAAGACTTTACCTTTAAAAATAATATATAGAGGTAGGGCCTAACCTAAAGTATTTATATACTTAATAGTAGTTACCTATTTACGATTTCTAGGTTATAAAAATAAGTTCTAACTATAGAATTTACTCCTTATAACTACTTTCGCTATAGTAATTAAGCCTATTATAAACCTAGTCTTATTAAAGTTATAAATATTAGTAGGGTTAATTCTAAATTATATAATAGCTTTTTTAATAAGATTAAACTACTTCTCTATAATTTTTAGGTCCTTATATTTTATACACTTATAATTATACTATTTTAAGAACTAAGAGGATAGGTAAGGCCGCTATTATATAAAATTATATACCTATTTTTCGCTAACTAAAAGAACTAGGGTAGTTTTACACTTTTCGAGGAGAAGATTCGCTATTTCTTATACTAAGGAATACTAGGGGGTAGCTCTATAAGAATCTATAGAGAGTATCTATTTTTTAAGAGATTCCTCTTTAATTTTAGTTAATTTATAAGAATTTACGCGAGAAATCGCGCGGTGTTAAACCCTATATAGGTATATCCGAAGTATCGATTCGGGGACTTCGTAGTAGCGCGCTACTCCACGAATAGATCTGATTTCTTAATTCTTAATAGCCTATATAGCTAATAAAATCCTACCCTCTTACTCTATTGATTTTTGAGAGCTTTAAGAGCGAATTGGTGGTATGGTGGGTGGTTGAATTAATTAGGTCCTAATTCATGGGCGCGTTTTGGGTGGGGTGCGTAGCTCGCTTGCGTGTGTAGCTCGCTTACCGAATACGTTAGAGGGTATAAGTAGTTAGGAGAGATAGATTAAATAAGAGATACCTCTATACCTCTCTTAATTGACTTCTTAGGCTATATGCCTAGGTTCCTTTGTATGTAAAATCGAGTATAAGACTGAACTACGAGTGCTGAATCGACCTATATGCCTTAGAGTATATAGCCTTGAGCGTTCCCCTCTTCACTATCTACCTGATGAGGTCAATGCCTGAGGTACCAGCCCATTACAACAACAATATATAGCTATCTACAAGGTCACCATACAGTTAGATACTCTGTGCATTTATAATCAGACTAGGTCCTCTGTACTTAAATATGGATAGGCAGATCTAGACTTCCGCAAAGCCCACAAATAGGCCCCCACCCTAGGCCTAAAGCCCAACCCGTAGTGGGCTATAGGCCTAACTTTGGAAACCCGACCCAACCTATAGCCCACTAATGGGGGCCTTATAGGCCCCTATTAAAGCCTATCTTATCGGCCTCTGTAATCGCTGTATTACGACCTTCCACTAGGTCTATAAAGTTCAAATTCAGAATTCAGAGTTATACTAGCTATATAAGTATATATTCTAGAAATTTTTGAATTAAATCTGACCAGTAAAGGTCGAGATACTCCGAAAATAGGCTAATATTAATATTTTAGTGAGATATATATTTTAGGTTTATATAGGAACACTACTACTTTCTACGTAAACTTCTATAATTTATAAATTATCTAAATTACGCGCTTTCTCGCATTTTTAAACGTGATATAGAGAGATAATGTAAGAGTATACGATTATCAGGTGTAAGGCCTGTCAACCGGGTAAGATACAAGGCTTAATGATTGGGAGAGAAAGGATCAATGTATTGTCTCAAGTTGCAAGACTAACTCTTGCAGGAGGGAACAGGATCCTAAGGATCTAGGGGTTCTTATGCTTGGGTACAAGACCCCGCATCTACTCGAACCGAGTGCCGAGCCGATTACGAATCAACCCCGCTTTGACCCCGGGACGTGAATGACGTGCTCAGGTAAATGACCGAGTATCAGAATTGAAAGGACCTTTATCCTTTACAGATAACTAGTACTTGATTCTAAATAATCTAAAATATTAAAATATTACATTTAGAATAAGGGTTAGAAACGGGGGTAAAACGAAGGGTAATTCTAAAAACCCTTTTAGGGGGTTTAACTTGGTATATTTACATTGTTTAGGGCCCATTAGGCCCCCATTAAAGCCTAGTGGGCTTTCACCCTGGGCCTATAGCCCATCGATGGGCCTAAGGACCGGGCCCAAAACCCGGCCTATTTACGGGGTGGGTCGGGTTGGGCTTTCGGCTTTGTGGGCCGGTGCGGAAGTCTAGGCAGATCCATCCGTAGTGGATGGCGAGGTCCCCTACTACACTGATAACACTATGTAGTAAGCACTATAAGCGCTAATATACATCCTGGTAGAGATAATCAAAACTCATTGGCCTACCTAGGTAGAAAGCCGGACCTGTTGAAATCTTACACGTATACGCAGGCTTATCGCATGTGTGAGCATACACCACATCTCATGCTCTTCATCTAGCCTTTTCATTGAACTTGCACCCCCTCTCATTTAAATCGTTGACAGAAGCTCTCATTTCTCAATCATGAAAGTCACCTTGACACTGAAGCGAGTTCCCTCCAGTGACGATATCTCTTACATCGAAAACTCACTCAGAGAGATCCATCCCGGCGTCACTCAAACCTCACGCGAAAGCCTCTCTATTAGCTTCGCAGCCCCTACAACCGATATCGACGCATTCGGTGAGCTTTTTCGAGCATGGCTTGGCTCACCGGAATCGATCATGGATGGCTTCCACATGGTGGAAGACATTTGATTTTTTTGATCCTCGCCTCCAGCGCACTCATTGGCACCGCTCATACCTCCCCATTGCCAGATTCATCATACGACATTGCTATCAGCAATACCACATTGAATTCTCCCTTACTGCAGACCTCGTGGACCTTCGACTGTTATGCTGGCTCGATAGCATGCAGAGGAACCGGTACCACATCTGCTGGATCCCATGCCAAACAAGGATGCTCACCAATTGGGGCACAGGGATGCACTCGGTACTCATACAATGGCGGTGGACTGTTCAAACTTTGTCTTTATGGGGGCACCGGCTGCAGCGGGGCTTTGCGCACGAGTGTTAATGGAGGCAAGGTTACCTGCATTGATGTGGGTGACCCTAAAAGCTTTAAGGTTGTGCCTTATGCTGCTGCGTGCTAGAGTATTACGATTCGATCGTACTACTCAAGCAGTGTGTAGCATTTAAATGGTGTGGTCAATCTTGTCTCATATCTCGTGTCATTTCTCCCCTTTTTTCTCTCTTTTTTGGTCTTTTTGACACCTGCCCGGAGATGTCTACGGTTAGGTACATAGTGCAATGTGAGAGAATGAATTGAAGAAATCAAGTTATCAAGCTTTGAAATTCGACAACATCATTTTTTCTCCCAGCTCATAGTTATAAATATAGGTATACAATGTATAAGAAATAGGCTACTTGGTGGGCTGATCGAGGACCACAGTGAAACCGTTTCAGAGCTCAGGAAACCCCAGTGACTCCGGGATTATGATTCCCCTACAACTACAATTTCCAGGCATGTGGTCTCCTCATAGATAACTATAGTAATGAAATTGATTCCATATTGATTGTCTAGCTACAGGAAATCCCTATGCAACAAGAATGATACTTGTACTCAGTACTTTTGTTGACATGTGATCACCTTACAGCAAATGGGAACCTTTCGAGATAACCCAGGTAAGTTTCCAGTAAGGAGAAGATAGACAATCATGGAGTTGAGGAAGAAAGGAGGAAGAAAGGAGGAAGAGAAGAGGGAGAACGGAGAAGGAAGGTAACACTGCCCTTTCCACGCTGGAAGATGGAAGAGGGTCAGATCTTCATATCCCCACATCTTTGATTCGAGCTGACAACAGACCGGAGCCCAGACTTTCAAGGTTGGTTTACTAGATTCTTAGGGAGCATACTTTCGAGCACTATAATTACTCAAGCCACTCAAGTCGCTATAAGCGCTAAAAGCACTAAAAGCACTATAAGCACTATAAGCACTATGAGCACTATAAGCACTATGAGCACTATGAGCACTATAAGCACTATAAGCACCAAACCCCTTTTGGGCTCCACCATATTAAGCTTAGCCAATTGACGAATACTAGTAAACTAGAATCCAATTTACCCCAACTCTGTGCCCAGTCAATGAAACTCGATTTGATTACCATTTTTGGCGATCCCAATATTGCCTGCTTCCAATGCTACCATTCTAAAGGCCAGATTTCACCACCTCCAATCAAAATGACTAAAAATAAATGTTGCAGATTCACAATGCATGAAGGGCCCTGGGGTGTCTTATCATGCACTCATGTGGTACCGCCGGGGAGTGGGAAGGGTGGTTCATTGCCCTGGGTGCTAGTTTGCGCTGAGGTTTGCTGTGGTAATAGACCCTGAGGTCAAAAACTTCCAATGATACTATGTTTAGACGGCGAATTAGATTATTCGGTAAGGCTTTGTCTGATTTACTCGAGGAAACTATATATTCATGACATATGCCCTGCGTTGAGGACGTTGACCTACCAAGCACTGAATCACTTACGAACATCTCTTTACCAGTCACAAATCTTCCATATACTTTTTTTCCCAGACAAGTTAATTAACAATGGCCACTCCTGCTATCATAAAGCCATATTTCGAAGCGCAGTATGATCATCGCGCTTTTGACGCCCTATTGGACGTTGACGAGTCTGCTAGTCTTTTTGAGACGCTTGCCGGCTATGAGCACTTGAAGTCCGGGCTTAGGTAAGTTGTCATGTATCTTGTTGCTCAAGTAAAAGACTTTAGGCAGACTGACAACCATCTAGAGACATTTTCATGCGTCATGGTGTAAATGACGAGCTCGCCGTCTCACTTCTGCACCGCCACTTTGAGATGGCATCTAACGAAAAGCTCGTGGAGCTGGGACCTGTTTCATCCCCATGGCCAATTGCTGCCCACGAAGAGTCCGTGATGGGTGGCTCTGTCCTACCGCATACTTGGCGTGTGTTTGAGAATGAACTTCACCCGGTCGAATTTCGCTTTGTCCCAATGCTGGAGGTTCCAAATGTGCGAAAAGTTCAGTTTACTCAAGCATTTTTCGATGATTTCTGTCAATACGTGAAATCAAATGGTTTGGAAAATGTCGTTGGCATCACCCAGATTGAACACGGAAGAGAAGCAAGCCAGAGTGATGTGCAATTGATGGAAGTCACCTATGGCCGGAACTCGATCATGGTCCCCGCGATCCCTGCAAGCGAGGTTACTGGGCCTGCTTTTCAAACTGTATGGGAGTTTGTCGAAAAGCCAAGCCCTCATGTCGATAAGGATGGTATCCAGAGCCGTCACAATCTCTGCTTCAAGTCCCAGCAGACCGATGCTCCGGCAGACGGCATCCAGAGCCGTCACAATCTCTGCTTCAAGTCCCAGCAGACCGATGCTCCGGCAGACGGCATCCAGAGCCGTCACAATCTCTGCTTCAAGTCCCAGCAGACCGATGCTCCGGCAGACGGCATCCAGAGCCGTCACAATCTCTGCTTCAAGTCCCAGCAGACCGATGCTCCGGCAGACGGCATCCAGAGCCGTCACAATCTCTGCTTCAAGTCCCAGCAGACCGATGCTCCGGCAGACGGTATCCAGAGCCGTCACAATCTCTGCTTCAAGTCCCAGCAGACCGATGCTCCGGCAGACGGTATCCAGAGCCGTCACAATCTCTGCTTCAAGTCCCAGCAGACCGATGCTCCGGCAGACGGCATCCAGAGCCGTCACAATCTCTGCTTCAAGTCCCAGCAGGCCGGCGCTCTCGTGAATGGTATCTGAGTCGAAAGCGTATAGCTTCACTTTCATGACAATCTATTTACTCTTGATTGATATCAAGCCCTTCGTTCGTGTCATTCCAAGGGAATGACATAAGATATAGGTTCTGACCCGATGGAAACCGGGGACTGGTTGGCCCTTAGTATATAAACACAATGAAGACGAAGCCTCTCTCCTCAATGTGGCATTTCCTCCTTTGACTGTCGTGTGATTAGTTTATGAATCTGTATCTAGGTCTCCTGAAATGTCGCATTCAACAGTTCTTTCTTCAATTCCCATAATCAGGTCTGCCAGCTCCATGTTACTTATGCGTAGTCCAAGTAGAACTAAACGCAGTATCGTCTAAAATTTTCTGATGAACTATGTTTTGCAAACAAACAAATATGTGGACTGAGCCATTTAATCAATGTAAAATAGGGGTTCAACCCTTGGCCAGTGTGATGGATCTCATATCTGGAGGTGAAACTTCGCGGTCAGATTTCTGTATTAGGGAAGTTTTAGGATAAGCCGGTGTATAATTCCAGACCACCAAAAGCTCGACATGGTCTGATGGAGGGCAAATAAACAGAGCCATTTCTCTAGTTTCACATAAGGTACCTAGCTCAACACTGCCACAATCATCCTCTTAGGTGACATTGATGTGGGCGCGCCACACACCAAGAGCACTAACGCCATAGAGAATTGATGACAAAAAGAATGGTAAACCCAGCGCCATGCCTCCTATCTGGATTCCAACGGCTAACATGTATCCAAGCAGCGGTGCTGCAGATAGAGATCCCAAGGCATCAACCACGGATAGCGACGCATAGAGCAACGTGATATCCCCCGGCGGTACTGCACTAGTTATGTATGATTGCACTGCAGGGCGAAATCCTGAACCGGAAAGGAAGAGTAACAAGCCTTGAGTCAGAATCAAGATTAGTAAACCACCTGCATTGATTTGAGGACAGATGATTACCCAACATCAACCCAGCTGGATGAAATGCAAGGCCCATCACCAGTGGGCCTAAACTCAGAAAGAAAGTACTTGCTTTTGCCATCACAAGATCAGCCTGGGCCACATTCCCTTCATTTCGTGCCAATAGCGAGCGGTGGGCCCAGGGCAAGACTGAACATGATAAAAAGATATGTGTAGCAGCGACCAAAGACAACAGATACCCGCTCTGATCATATGAAAATTCCGTTAAGTCAATTCAGGGCGTCAAATCAAGAAATCAAAGTATTTATACATACCTGGGGTATTGTCCAGCCATAGCGAACTCTCGTATACTGAACGATAAGTTCTTCTATTTGACGGGTCACTTTGTTCACCATGAGAGCAAAAAGAAGCATGATCAGGGCAGGCTGAGAAAGAACAAAAGAGCAAATTTCTTTCAGCTGAGCCACCCCAGCAAACTGAGTCTTGGCTGGTAAGCTAGCTCGAGCTTCACATTCACCCCCATCCATGCTGCGTGGATCAGACTTCAACATATCCGGGTTGGGTAAGAGATAAAGAGTTAGGTATCCTGATATTTCAAGAGGAATTCCGAGGAGGAAGGGTATATGTGGCCCATATTGTGACATGAGAAACGAGCTCAGCGGAGCTGACAGAAGCTCAGACACCATGATAACAACTGACATGTAAAAGAATGCTCTTGTTCTAGCAGATCATTAGCATGGTATCTACTTTAGGCGGGAGTTCAAGTGATACCGGCTACGTGGTGATGTAAACGTCGCGACCATTGCTAGGACCATGGAAGACATAACAGAACTCCCTCCCCCAATGCACCAAATGCTGGCCGATAAGACCATGACCCAAATAGAAAGGCGCTCCAAGTAGTGGCCTAATATAGATTAATGTATCAGCAAAGAAACATTTGATGAAAACGCCAATCTTACAAGCGACCCAAATCCAAATAGCGCCTATGATTTCCCCAGTAAGTCCGAGGGTCACCACCAGCTTCCGACCGGTGGACTGCGCCAGAATCCCATATGGTACAGCGAGCAGCAAACCTGTAGTGATTGGTAATTAAACTTTTGGAGCTGAAGAAAAAGGGGCTTCGGGTAAAACAGCGATTGCGATATGTCAACATACCTGGGGCAGCCTGTGCAAGCCCTAGCCATCCTCTCCAAATGGCGACTTCACTCTGGATTTCATGTATCTTGCAGACTTCACCTGAAAAACTACCATCTTGTGAAAATATACCGGGGTCAGTAGAGCTATAGTAAGATCGGCAAACGGAGAGCTCCAGGAGCTGATTCGTAGGCGCAAGCTGTAAAGAAGAAGCAGAACTAATGACGAAGATAAATATAGCGCATATAACCAGGGCACGAGTATCGGAATTTTCCCTCCATTTCTGCTGAGGGATTCCATGAATGTGATCCTGAAGTAAAGGGGTAGCGACAGTCGGCTCCCTCTCATCATGCACTGCTCTGATTGTAGACATGTTACTGAGATTTCCTATCACACGGAGACGAGAAATGTAGTATAACAAGAAAGTACTGTTATCTGACAGCGCAAGAGGGGTCCTCTCGGTAAGTGTTTTACACCCATTAGCCGACTGCAACAGGGATTGCACTGCAGGGATATTAGGTGTATTGGAAGCATGATAGCGGACTCCGTCGGTCAGTACCCATGCTCAGTATTATTACATATATGAGTAATAACTGTCCATATCTAGACATGGTACCTAATTTCTTAGAATTTCCGATAAGTGGTATAGATAGCTACCTGCACCCCAGGTGTATGTCTGTGCACATAGTTCTTTTGGCTGATGGTCTCTTGGTATCTGATTTTGGCATGCATTGTGCCTGATTCATGCCAGATTTTGTCCCACTTTCGAGCTAAAAGAACCATGAAATTTATGCATCTGGGTATGTTCAAATCATGCAGTATTTTGACTGTGACTACTGGAGATTTGCACTGCCTACGGATTAGGTAGAGAAGACCTCGAGAGCAAGGGTATTTGTCAAAATGCAAGTCCTGCTGCTCCTGTTTATAACTGATTATAAGATTGAAAAGAGCTAGTTCTTGTATAGCAAAGAAGCGTGGGAGCAATAAAAGACAATCTATAGTGATGTGCTAGACAGAGAGAGAAAACCGGGAAAGGAGAAATGAGAAGGAAACTATCATCTCTATCTACCACACAGCACCGGAAGCTGGTAAAACAGTAACACTACATAAACAGAGCACTATTGTTCGTCCCAGAGTTCCTTGAATAGACTCGGGATGCTAAGCAAGTACGACGGAGGCCCTTCCTCGACAATTTCACCCCCTTTCATGATCAGAATTTTGTCAAAATCTTGGATGCATCGCAATCGATGGGTGACTGCAACCACTGTGGCATCTTTGAAGTGATCTTGAATGACTTGAAACATTAGTCGCTCAGTCTTAACATCCACGCTGCCACTAATCTCATCCAAGACAAGAATCTTGGTGTGGGCCTTGCGGAGAAGCGCTCTTGCTAAGCTCACTAATTGCCACTGGCCACGTGTCAAGTTTCCTTCGCTCACCAGCACATCTAATGGATAGTGGTTTTCCATTTGGAGATCATCCCGCAATCCTACTGTGTTCAAAGAAGAAAGGATTGCGGCATCGGAGGCCTGTCCTTTAGGATCCAGGTTGAAGCGAAGTGATCCAGGCAACATGACAGGATCTTGTGGTATAATAGTAAGACGGTCTCGAATAATCCCACAAGGAACCTCGCCCAGATTAATGCCATCGATAAACACACCACCTGCGCTGGTCTCAAGCATGCGAAAGATCAGGAGTAAAAGAGAGCTCTTGCCGCTTCCGCTTCGACCGCAAATGGCCACTTTCTCCCCCGCATTGATGACGGCAGTGACATCGCGAAGGGTTGACTTCTCAGTGTGCTCGATGCTTTCATAGCCTGTATAAGCGTGGTCAAATCGGATTGAGCCATGGGCAGGCCATTCTTCGGGAGGCTCCCGTATAGTCTTGTTCGGATCGTCCTCTTTAGGGGTAGTGGCTTCATGACCTTTAATGCGTGCAACAGCACCTAGAGAAGTCTCCAGCTGTGTCCATGAAGTAATCAGAAAGGACAGACTGCTGCTAAAGCTCAGAATGTTCAGCAGAGACACGGCAATTGCCCCGTGATTGACTGAGGAGTGTAGCGTAACTGCGATGCTGATCACTATAACAGCCATTGCCACCGCCGCCAGATCCAGTACAAGGTCCAGCCAACGTTGGATACAGAAGAGAGCATAGTATGGTTGGAGCGCGGCGTCAACTAAAATGTGACATTGTGCCACCCACGGCGATTCCCAGCCAAAGATACGAATTGTGTCTGTTCCCAATGCAGTCTCTAGAAAATGAGTATATAGAGGGCTTTGTGCTTCTAGTTGCATGAAGCGCAGTTGGCGTGAAGTTCGCAGATAGAACTTCTGTAAGCCATATATCATAAGAATCATGAACGGAATTGTGATGGCAATATACTTGTTGCCAGAAGCAATGAGCATAACCTCGGCGATGGCGGCGCCGGCACCAAAAGTGGTCATAAGAAGCGCACCCGATAATTGATTGTCAATTTGAGAAAGGTCTTGACTGAATTTGTTTAGGAGTGTCCCGCTGTCATGCTTGGTGAAGAAAAGATACGGTGCCCTCAAAGTAGACATCAACAGCTGCGCATGCAGACGACGAGCGCTTTTTGGTACCAAAGAAACAAAAAGGAAAGACTATGCTGATAATTGTTCCAAACAGCTGGACTGCGGCACAAACTCCATATACGCCCAGATAAACACTGAGCGGATAATGAAATTCATCGTCTGACCAGTACATCAGCCACAGAGTGGGAAATTTGTACCCAAACGTCTGGATGACTATGAGAATTAAAAAGACTGCAGAGGATCTCCAGCCTATAGAGTTGAAGTAGTACTTGTAGGTCGAGAGGTCCCCATCTCTGCGCGACAGATCGTCCCGTGCTTTTACCAGCTCATCTTGTGTTTGAGCAGCCACGGGGTGGGTATTATCTGTTGTTGTGATCCCAATCCCATGTGGTGTGACGGATACATCTTCTGAAGATAAATCGCAGGGATCCCGAGAGGTAACTGTCCCATCAGCTAGTGTAATAACACTTGCACTAGAAGTGGGATAAGAACGAGGATCGCTGCATGCTAAGATAACGGCCATGTTTAGGGATCTGCACAGACCTTGGGGGCCCAGCATGCGGTTAAAGACCTTTTTGGCAGTGACAATGTCTAATGCACTGAGCGTCTCATCAAGTATAAGGAGTTTCCTACGCGAGTAAACGGATCGCGCAAGAGCCAGGCGTTGTTTCTGACCACCACTCAAAGCAGCGCCCCCCGACCCAACTTGGGTGGAGTCACCTCCAGGAAATGTAGCAATATCTTCATCCAAAGCACAAGCATGAAGCACGGTATCATACCAATTTTTGTCGAAGGAAGAAAACCCAGTCACCAACGCTCGGATGGGAATGTCCGGAAGCCAAGGGTCTTGTGCGCAGTAAGCAATCGTCACGAATATATTGCAAGAACCAGCAACACAAGGTAATGTTCCGATGAGACCTTTGAGAAAGGAGGACTTTCCAGAACTGACAGAGCCTGTGACGATCGTCAGAGTGCAGGGGTAAATCTCAATAGTCACACCAGTCAACACCGGTGTCGTAGCCCCGGGGTATTTCAGGCTTGCATTGTGCATTGAAAGATATCGTACACTTTTCACCGGCAGAGCTTGAAGCGCAACTATGCTGTCATTGGGGGTCCCCTTTTCCGTCACGACCACGATATCTTCTGTGCTATTGGAATTATTCTGGCCATTGTGAACCCCTGGCAATGAAAGATAATCTTGGATTCGCCCGAAGCAACCTAGGGCCACGCCCAATTGGGTAATTCCATGGACGAAGACCTGAATCGGTTGGGTTATGAGACCAATTAGGGCGAGAATTGTAAAAGATTGTGCTGATTCAACTGTACCACTCCCCCCGAGTGTGAAGATGGCAAACGTGAGAACTGGCCCAGCAATCTGTGGTATGTTTGCTATCAATTTAAACAAGCAGTGAGATAATGGTTTGCCAACTGATCACTTCACGGGAATGCGTACCAATGACATTTCTCCACATGATCAACATGCGAGCCCCCAGAGACCGCTCGAGCTCCACATCACGCAGATCACATATCCTCCGTCGCACAAAGGAAGATATACCGAGCAGCTTCACGCCTTGAATTGTTCTAAGGATAGAAGCGGTGGTTGCAACACGCTCTTGGACCACTTGATTCCATTCCCTTTGGCGTAATGGCGAGTAGCTGGCAATGACATAGCTAAGCGCTACTGCTACTAAAGCACAACCGACCGATGCTAAACACGCCAGTTTGACTTCTCTTTCAAGAAAGAGCAGGGCGAGCCCCACTTCGATTGGAGAGGCGAACATTGCATCAAGCCGTAGTAGATTATTGCAAATGCTTTCCGTATCAGTACTCATCAACGTGATTGCAGCTGCGTCTTTTGATATAGTGGTGTCGAGAGAAAGTGTTTTTTTGTATAGAGCCACCACTAGTATGCTTCTTGTCATAGTGATGGCACGATTTATCCCATGTTTATACAACATTGTTGTCACCTAATGACATTGCGATGTCATTAAAAGTCATCCAATGGTTGTTTGGGTGTTTGAAACGTACCGCAATACCAAGGTAAACCAGCACGGTGGCCCCAATAAGTGAGTTCCCAATAGCCTCGCTTGTAGTATCGGTGGAGGAGAGATAATCTATCACGCGATAAAGCAGCAGCGGCTGGGCAATCTTGAAACCGATTAGGCAAATTCGAGGAATAGCTGCCCATAGTAATGTCCGTCGAACGCAAGAAAGTACAACCACGGCAAGTACATGGCGATGTTGCGTGGAACGTTTCAATGCTATATGGATGCGATAAGTGAGCTTTCAAGCCCCAAAATGGATCATTAATGGGATGACGTAGAAAAATATACAAGTGAACGTACCAGAATGCCATTTCGCACTGAAGCGTTCTTGCAACTCGTCGGCCTTGAGATTGCGATCGAGTGAAAAGAGATTGGCGGGATTCAACAGGCCACGCGCCCCTCGAGTCAATAATGGGTTGAGCCACCAGAAGGCCACTCGATTGACCATTCCACCCAACGCCTCAGGTGGATACGTTGAAAACGGTGGGATGAGATATTTCTGTTTCTCTTGAAGCTCTGCTATGAGCAGAAGGAATCGGATGACCAACATTGCCGTAAAGGTTGTAGCAATACTAGGGGGAATCTCCCTCAACCACAATGTGCGGGCCTGTACTCCATCGAATGAAATGCTGCACAGGAGATAGAAACATATCAAATTCGAAGGCGACACTGATTTTTTATGCTCCATCGAAGATAGAGCACAGACAAAAAGGGAACATGTCAATGACAGGCAAACCGATGCAATGGTAGCTTGGTTGCGATACTGGGAAGCTCTTGCCCATAGAATGAGTACGACAAGTTGAGTGCTCAGCGAGCCAAGGTTAAGCATAATTTTAGCAAAGATTGCACGGTCGGCTGGCTTGCTTGGCTGCAATATGACTTTAGTGGACTGCCTAAGGAGTCGTTCTAGTCTCCAGATCGCCGCGGGAATAAAACATGCCGAAGGAATGATACTCAACACAATCTGTTCGAACAGAAGTGTAAAGTCTAGATAATGACATCCTTGAATTTGAGGACCGAATACCTCGTCAGCCGCTTGGTTGCAAATATGTGCCATGCTGGTATAATCTCAAATGCGAGTATGCTCAGTAGCCGATCAGCCGACCGATGCACATAGTTTAAGTACCATTGCAGATCCATTGTGTGCGTTTAGGCGATAAAGCCTGATAATATTTGTGGCGGCTAACCAAAAAGATGCTTGGTAATGTTCAGCTAGGCTAGATGCACTGTTGCTATATTGAATATGATGCCATGTCACTCCATCAGCATTTACTAGATCAGGCATGGGGCGGGATACAACCTTAGAAGTCTACAAGGATTCCCCTCTTTCTTACTCCATATAGTAAGTCATAGTATCAGTATAGCATATCTCAATGAGTTGCTATTGGTGCTCTTATCTCAATATCCAACCTTCCTCCCGAGGTTATGACCGATATCATGAACCCTGCCACGACGGCTCAGGCCGAGGGGTGCTAATGCACGCACGTCCCCGGTTCATAAATTATACCACTTTTTTGAAATTTATAAACCAAATTGGTCACAGAAAAAGCCATGAGCTACATACTACCCGCTACAAAACAATGTTTGTACCAAGATTACAAGGCAAAAACAATCAAGTATATAGGTGCATGTCCGAATTACGTTAGCGCTCCTTCTCAGGCTGTGTGGCAACATGCCAACACAGTAAAATACATTCCGTACAAATTGCATACGCACAAAATTACGGGTCTGAAAGGGCCAAGCCGGAGGATCGGCCTAGTATGTTGAGAAGCTCACAAGTACTGTGGGGGCCCATTATCATGGCATCCACCATACCAAGTAAGGAGAGAATTACTTGCACAAAATATTGGTCATTCTGTATCCTGGATATAAAGATCTTTTTTAAAATTCTGGGATGTTTTTTACAACATACCTGCAATGAATGCGGTTGGGTCACATCTGTCTCTTTAGCGCCGTAAGAGATAAAGAGGAGGTGATGTTTTATCCGATCTAGACAGGGATGAATAGCATGGCTCATTGTGCTCCGCATTCAAATCCTGCTCCGACTTCTTACTTGGGCTCCGCATGCTGCTACGTAGAGTTATAAGTAGAATGTGACTCCCCGACTGAAGTCTCCTCAGTATTTGAGCTTTGCTTCAGGATTTCAAACATTATACTGACTTGAATTCGAGCATGGAAGACTATGAGGAACGAAGAAGGATTCAAAATCTGAATGCGCAACGAAAGTGGCGTATGTGTCTTGGAATTATTTGTCGGCATTGTGCTAACGATCAGTCTAGGTGAAAAAAGAAAGCGCACGACAAGCCTCGGAGAGCATGCACGACAAGAAATACCATTCGAAAGCTGGTGTCAGACAGGTTTTATTCCGACACCTATACTTGAACAAGGCGAGGATTGCCGACCACCATGGCCTTGTGCTTTGGACTTGATGAATTCCTGCGATCTGAGGACCAGCACAGCCCCAACACCTGAATCCCTGCTTGATAGAGCAAATAGTGTGAAGACTGTAAGCACCATTGTTTTGATTTATCACCGGATGGCGGATGTCGGACTGGGTGAGGTGAACCATATGCTGATATAGATTCTAGTCCGATCATCATTTGCTCACACCACACTCGTCCCTCGATATTTCTCAGCTGCCATTGGTCAACCAGATGGAGCATAGCAAGGCGGAGGGCCGAAATGGAGTTAAGATTACGAATTATGCTACCCCTGGCTGGAATGGACTGGCAGACAGTACTGCTATCAACGGTTTAAATGGCCTGGGACAATCAAGTAGTAAGTTCCATATCGTAGTGCTTAAATAGCGTACTAAACCTGCGTGTTTCGTATCCTAGTGGAATCCAACCAGGAGATCATGGAAAGAGCCGTCAGCACCCTGCAAGCCCAAAAACGAACTCTCTGTCAAAAGATAGAGGAGCTCTTCAGAAAGATCCTAGAGTTATATACACATGGAGTTCTACTTGAACTACTCCGTGAAGATCCTGCATTTCAACATCAGCTTTTGGCTGATAAGAAATGGTTGTCCTCTCTGATTCAGTGACCATTATGAAAGGACATGTTCTCTACCTCCAAATCTTGCAGGTCGGTGGCTGGTTTAATCACTGATTGCGATCCTACTCTCTCTGGAAATGCGTCTCAAAAGTGAAACTTTGGTAGATAAACCTTGACAATAATTGACAGTCGGACAGAGGGAGACTGAATAATACGTATGATGAGACGGGAAAGGGAGGACGAAATGGTGAATTGCGTGGTATGGAGTCGACGAAGAGAGAAAGGAAGCCCTAGATTGGCCCAGGCCCGGGCGCCGGGCATTGCCCGCTTACATAGCAACATGTTAGATAGGGTATGTCGAAGCCTAGTAAAGAGAAGAAACTATCTACAGTGCCTCAGTGCTAAGTTCTAAATTTTAGGCGCGAACAAAAGTAGACCTCTGCAACCGCCATCATGCTCAAAGCCCAACCGGCCATTTATATTGTACATATCATTGGCCCCATCCCCTTTGTACCCGGAGTTAGAGTGGAGCTAATATACTGCCAGGCAATATCATCCAATGAGAGGGTTATGCCCCGTGTGGCATACTTAGCCGTCTGTACTACAGGCCTGATCAAATCACATCTCACCAGTTGGGTTTCGGTGGTAAAATGGGTGGTTGGAAACAACAGGGATACGACCGGGATGCTTCTCTTGATGGGGGGTCGTGTCACTCAGTGATTTGTTCCATGACGACCTCCAGGGATTAGACACTTAGGAGTCGCCACCTCGATACGGACGGCGTAGCCCCGGAAGTGTGATAGGTAATGAGGCCGCGCAGAAGATGAAACCCGCATATTTGTCTAGTGGATTATGAGATGCAGTCGTCCCTCTCTGCCTTGAATGAATCCCTGTTCACCACCCCCACATCTCGCTTTGGTGCCCAAATACCCCAACGCGTGCCGAACGCTGTGATAAGTCATTCGCACTGGTATGGGTGCCATTTTCAAGGACTGAGCCCAGCCATTCCAAACAAAGCATCACAAGAATGGGGAAATGGCACAAAGATTAGATCGTACGTCCTTTCAAAGAATTCTTTCATCGAACACACGACAGGCCGTGCGAAAATAAGAGCCCTCAACCCGGCGAGGGCCTGCCAGTGCGACCACCACCCTCATCAACTACTACGTCGATTAATTCGCAAGCAAGTGAGAGCCATGAGGCAACGGCACACAAGGCTCGAGGCTATGAGGCTCCGAATCTCTGGAAAGAGGCCTTCGACACGCTAGATGAAAAAGAACAACGTCTTTTGAAACCAAGTAATGCGGGCTCTAGCGATGAGTCAGAAAATGTCTTTAGCTGGAACATTGAAAAGGCCCTCGATGCAGTGATAGATACGACCCGAAGACATCTCGAGATTCGCGAGCTGAAAAGGAAGGAGAGCAGAGTGGGTGATTATCCGCAAAGGATTCTTAGCGCCGTGCTCGTCCTCAAAGACAGCATTTCGGCAGTGTTAGCGTGTGATCCCACAGGCCACGCTTCGGCTGCTTGGTCTGTGGTGTCTATGGGGTTGAATGTGAGTAGTGTTGAGTCAACCTAATCACGAGAAGGACTTTTGTATGCTAACCATCACGCAGATCACACAAAATTATTGCCAACAACAAGAGACCTGGCTTGAATCTTCTGAATATCTTTCAAGCACTATTTCTCGAATCACTCTGGTTGAAACCACTTACCGAGATAAAAACCGTGCAACGAAAAAATTTGTGGAAGACGCCCTGGTTGGAATTTATGTGGAGGTTTTACGTTACGCAGCAGCGGCGAGAGCAATTCATCAATCCAACAAGGGGAAAAAAATTCTCAAACTCATCATTACCCCAATGAATGAACTTCCTTTGACAAGCATTAAAGCGGCAGTCGAAACCCAAGAATCCTGTTTGAAGGACTGGCTTAGCATTCAGCGCTATTTGGAAATGACTGAAAAGGCAGAAGAACAGTTTAAGCAAGGGGCAAAGATTCTCAAAATCGTTGAGGATATTGATGAAGATAGGAAACTTTCAAAGCTCCCAATCGTGAAAACCGCTGTTTTTGACTCGTATGACCCCTCACCGCACGAAGAATGTCTTCCAGGTACGCGCGTTGAGATTCTCCAAAGCATAATGGACTGGGTTGATGGCTCTTCTGGGGACCCTTTTTTCTGGCTGAACGGTATGGCAGGAACCGGGAAGTCAACCATATCGCGCAGTCTCGCTAGATCGATGGAAGAAAGAGGAATTTTAGGAGCAAGCTTCTTCTTCAAAAGAGGCGAGAGTGATCGTGCAAACCTCTCCAAATTTATATCGACCATTGCCAGACAGCTCGCAGATGTTTTGCCCGGCCTGCGACAAAGCTTCATAGATGCAGCGAGCTTTGCTTCGTCCGATATTCCAGCACAATTTCAAGAGATTCTTGTAAATCCTTTATCGAGGTTTACCACAGATACCGGACAAAGGCTCCTGTTGGTCATAGTGATTGATGCGTTGGATGAGTGCGATGATGGAAACGTTAAGCGACTGATCCAACTCCTCCCAAAGATTCAGGGTCCCCAATTTTCGATTGATCTCCGAATCTTCTTGACTAGTAGACCAGAGGATCCTGTCGCCCGTCCCCTCGCACGCCTTGTGACTGGGGAGCAGACAGCCCTTTTACACAAAATAGACGAGTCAACGGTGAAGCGGGATATTCTATCATTCTTTGAGAAGCGGCTAGTCGAGATAAGAGACGAGAGAAAAGACGACGGACTCGAAGTCGATTGGCCAGGACAAGAAAATATCAATGCGCTTGTCAAAATGTCCGTACCGCTGTTCATCTCTGCTGCGACCATTTGCCGTGAATTGGGGGATACTCGCTTTGGTGCTAAAGCCACACTGAGTGAAATTCTTGCCAGCAGACTTGAGAGCGCAAATATGGCGGCTATCTATCTTCCGGTTCTAAACAAGTTGACCAGGGGCCTTGATAAGCAGCGAACGAACCGAGGTTTTACAAGAGGTTCGTGATATTGTGGGAGCAATTGTCATTCTTGGGGATCCACTGCCAGTAGGTCCACTTGCAGAGCTTCTCAACAAACGTCTGGAAGATGTCATCATTAGAATCAAATCGGTCTCATCTGTTCTCCAAGTATCCGAGAAGCAAGACGAGCCGGTCAGAGTCTTCCATAAATCCTTCCGCGATTTCATGCTCGATCCCGAGACGAAAAAGAATGGGTTTGGCGTTGATGAAGTTGCAATGCATGAAAAGATGACATTGAGTTGTATACGAGTGATGAAAAGAGACAAGGGCGGCCTCAAAAAGAATATCTGTCATCTTGACGGGTATGGGGCCTTGCGCGAGGACATTAAGGACGACAGGATCGCCGATCATCTATCTCGGGAGCTTCAGTATGCCTGTCGACATTGGGTCGACCATCTGCAGAAAGCTAGGCTTCCTATATCTGATAATGATGCGATTCATTCATTCCTGCAATCCAGCTTGCTTCCCTGGTTTGAAGCAATGTGCATTCTGGGATACCTTGATGAGGTTCTTCAAAGTCTTGATAAACTACAGTCCTTTGTTTCGGTGGGTGCCTTTTGTTCTGCAACTGGAGAAGGATATTTTGGAGTGCGGACGCTGACCATTGAGATGAACTAGATGCAATCGGGCTCCGTTTGTCGGCGATTCCTGTATGATGCTAAGAGGTTTCTGCTTAAATTTAAACAGATGGCGGAAGAGGCGCCCCTTCAGCTTTATGCATCTGGACTGGTATTTTCTCCCAGCGAATGTACAGTCAGAAACGCATTTCAGGTACTCAAGCCCCAATGCATTACTCAGATGCCGCTCCTGCCAGAGACAAACTGGGGGCCATTGTTGCAGACCATTGAACAAGGTTCAAATCACACTTTCAATGGCTTGGTTGAGTTTTCACCGGATGGTTTATCAATTGCTGCAGCATCCCAAAGTGCTGTGGTCCTTTGGAATACTGCAACAGGCTCACTTCAGCAAATTCTTGAACCAAATGGTGACTTGTATGTAACCTCATTCACGTTTTCTTCAAAAGGAAAAATGATGGCCATAGCCCAGGTCGACCGCTCTCGGACGTCTCTGCGGGAGGAGATTAGTTTGTGGGATCTGACCACAGGGATAGGCCTGCGTCAGCACACTTTCCTGCAGGACCATGTGAGAGACATCTACAAACTGGCGTTCTCGCCCAACGGTGAAATGCTGGCTTCGTCATCTGGCGAGACGACTACATTGTGGAATCTTAATCCACCTATTCTCTTACAAACCCTCGAGGAAGATAGAGAGGCTGTTCTGACAGCGGCGTTCTCTCCCGATAGAGACACATTGTCATCGGCCTCCGGTGATGGCACTGTGTACATGTGGAATACGCTTTCTCGCCCAGTCACACGAAAAGATGTCTTCAAAGCCCCCGAGGGATTTGGGGAACTGATAGCAATCTCACACAATACTTGTTTTCTGCTGACAAAGTCGACTGAAAGGAGAGTCTTGAAACTTTGGGATCTTCATTTGGGCAAATTAAAGCATACCTTAACTGGAATCAATGGTTCTGTCGAGTCGATCGCATTTTCACCAGACGGGAGACTCTGTTTGGCCGGCTGCCGTAACGGCGAAATCAATATGTGGGATACATTTTCAGGAATGAAGAAGTTCACCCTCAAACAGGCGGATTCGGCCGACTTTATTTCTCTGTCGCCTGACAGTAGACTATTGGCTTCAATCAATAGACAGCAGAGTATGAGGCTATGGGAGATGTCTCAATGCGGGTCGCAGCAGGACCACCAAGAGGGGCACAGTGACTTGAATTACATGCTGTTCTCACCTGACCAAACCCTTCTGGCTTCGGAAGCCGGGTCCACGATCACTCTTTGGGATTCTCTCACCGGCAAACGTCTGTACTCCTTGTTAGGTGGCCGGGATCAGGGACATCCGGTCTTTTCGACTGATAGCCAGACCATCACAGCCTGGCATATGGAGGAAGTGCGCACATGGTCGACTAGCACCGGTGAGCTGATCAGAGCAATTGACTTTGACTTTGATTTGGAAGGGTGCTCATTGGCGCTCTCGGCCGATGGGACACAAATGGCTTCCGGTTTTGCAGATGGTACCATCATAGTGTCGGACATTGCTTCCGGCAAGTCACTGGAGACTATCCAAATGAACCACGAAGCTAAGATCCTTGCCTTCTCGCGTGACAAAAAGCAATTAGCAGCTGGCAACGGCAAGACCATCAGTATATGGGATAACATCTCAAGGAAATTGCTGTTCACGTTACAATTCGGGTCCGATGATAACAATAGTCAACATGTCGTCTCAATCGCATTTTCACCTGATAGTAGGCTGATAGCTGCTTGCTCCTCAAATTATAGGTTTTCGTTCATGTATGTATGGGATACTGCTTCTGGCATGCTAAAACATACCAGTTATTACGAAGAAGTCGGTATCATGGAGCCACAACTGTCGTTTTCAGATGATCAAATTATTCAAATGAACAGTCAGTCATACACGATTGGCTACGATGAAGAAAATGGAGTTTTAGATGTTTCACCTAATGACTGCGACATCCAAGTGGGGTCGAAATGGATTGAGTACAAGGGCGAGGAAATTCTGCGAGCTACTACAGATTATGATGTGCTCTGTCATCTTGTGAGAGGAAACCTTGTTGCCCTGGCTATGAACTCTGGGCAGGTTTTTTTCATTGGGTTTCAAGATATTGCTCGAAACGCTCCAGGTTTGATGTGACACTCAGGGTCGAGTGGTTGATATCATGCGACCATCACCAGGATGAGCACCGGAGACTGTCTGATGAATTGACTTGTGTTTTCGGTGTTGTCTTCTCTCATTTATGGCGAGAATAGGTCTTTTTTGGCTATGGAAGAAGACTATGACACCCCGGTGTAGCGAACACCTGGAGCAACCGCTGATAAATCTGGACCCATCGTAGAGTCAGACCAGTTTTAGGTATGCGAACACGATTTCCAGGGGGTTTCAGAATGAAGTGTCGGTCTATTTGAAAGGGCACTTGGATGAGCAGGGGGCTTCGAAGCAACTTCAAAATGATTCGATTACGCTCAAGGTCCACTAGACTAGGTTACCGTCTACCCCTTATGGAGATGCGTAAATTCTTAGCACACTGAAGGAAATGACTACTGTACACCTTTTTGTATAAAGACAAAGACATGGTATGGTGAGGATGATGCATCGTCTACCTGCTCAAAGCTAAATTATAGCCCGATGATAGATATACGCACTGACTTGATAGCCTCGTCGCGAGGCCAAAGGGGTATTAAGAATATAAATATACCCTTGCATACCTAGGTCTTGTAAGCCTACATACTAGATTCAAACTTGATACGACTAGTAGAAAGCTCTAATATAACGATTACTGAGACCGATTTATCAGCGTTAAGACAGGCTTTGATGAGGGCCCATAAGGCCCCCATTAATGGGCTGTGGGTTGGGTTGGGTTTTGCGAAGCGCTATCCAGGGTCTACGCTCGGTACTGACTACCCAAAGAGCAAAAGGCGGCAGTGAATCAGCACTAGAGCGGAAAAGAAACGCCATGTCGCGCGGCCCAAATTCCGGTGTAGATATATATATATGTCATCCCCAAGGCCTGGACACAGGGCTGTACGGAATGAGATGAATAATCATCCCTTCGCTTACCCAGGTAAGAACACTCTCCTTGAACATGGGGGATCTTATAGCTTTTCAGTATCTAAATTTTCCCTACCCAATGACCTCACTAGTAACAAGCACCGTGCCCTGGCACGAGGGCGAGGAGAAATTACACCACTGGCTTAAAGTACCTCACGGTGACAACCCGACTACTCCGTACCTGAGCCCGAGAGCTGCATCTCTGGTTCAAGAATGTCCCCTGCTTGCCCTGGGTACATTGGATTCCCAAGGCCGGCCATGGTCAACGATATGGGGCGGTACAGCGGGCTTTGCAATGCCAGTTGCCGAATCGCTAGTCGACCTTCGGGCACAGGTGGACGGCAGATACGACCCCGTTGTGCAGGCCTTATTGACCGGCAATCAAACTCATGCATACACAGGAAAAATGGTCTCGGGGCTGGCAATCGACTTGGAGAACCGTCGGAGAGTGAAGCTGTACGGCAGGATGGTGGCAGGCTCACTCTCCGATGGAGATGCAGGAGAGGCACAGTTGGTTGTTCATATTGAAGAGAGCTTGGGCAACTGCCCTAAATACATGAACAAGAAGCATATAGTACCAGCGCAGTCTGATTCAAAGCTGATCTCCGACTCACCACAATTGAGCCCTACTGCAATTGAGCTGCTCGCTCGTGCGGATACTATGTTTATATCCTCGTCTCATGGAGCATCAACAATGGATACAAACACGCGTGGTGGTCCCCCGGGATTCATGCGCGTTGAATCGAACAGTGCTAGCGGTGCTGTTCTTGTTTATCCTGAGTACTCGGGGAATAGACTCTATCAAACGCTGGGGAATTTAGAGACCACCCCGCTGGCTGGTTTTGTCGTCCCCGATTTTGACAGCGGCAACGTTCTTTACTTCACCGGATCGACCGAGATACTAGTCGGAAAAGACGCAGCTGCTATTCTACCCAGATCGAATCTCGCTGTGCGAGTCACCATCGCGGCAGCAATCTTTGTTGAAAATGGGCTGTCATTTCGTGGCGAGCCCGGAGATCCTTCTCCATACAATCCTAGCGTGCGATATCTCGTTAATGAGAAACATATCCCTGGCACCCAAGAAGACAGCGGCTCAGCCCCAATGGCCACGCTGATAAAGAAAGAAGATATCACCCCGTCCATCCAACGGTTTCGGTTCCGTATCTCCAGCCGCAAACCGATTTCATGGAGTGCGGGACAGTATGTCACACTGTCATTTGAAGACAAGCTAAATATGGGGTATAGCCACATGCGCGATGACGATCCAAGCAGTCTAAATGATGACTATGTTCGAACCTTTACTGTGTCTTCGTATCCCGGTCGCGATATACCCGCTGATCAATTCGAGATCATGGTCCGACGACATGGCCCCGTCACTGGATATCTCGCTCGCATAGATGAGCGAGCCAGCCTGGAAGTACCACTCAAGGGATTCGGGGGAAGTTTCCACATATCGACTGGCAAGTCCATCATCCCTTACGTGGCGGGTGGTATTGGCATCACACCCCTTCTCGCACAGCTTCCAGAATTGGATATTTCCCAACTGCGATTATTCTGGTCAATCTCATTCAATGATTTGGGGCTGGTGCATGATATTTTCCAGCGGTGGCCACAGTTGCCCCTGTCAACGACTTTGTTTATCACCAATGTGGAGCTCGATGACGCTGATCGGCAGATGTGGGACGGCATTCAGTCGTCTGGGGTGAAAATGATACGACGAAGGATGCAAGCTGAGGATTTAGACCTCGCGCTAGCGGATGTTTGGTTTCTTTGCGCTGGTGTTGCGTTAAAGCGGATGATTCTGAATTGGCTTGTTGGAAAGACCGTGGTTTATGAGGATTTCAACTATTGAAGGGATCTTGCAATGATGATTCTGACGTTCTCGTTAATATCTCCATTAATTAATAACTTATTCGAAACAGTTCCAAAATACCCAAGACAATCTGCTGGATAAAAATAGATGCCGCAGCGTACGCAGCCCCAAACGTGTCAAAGTGGAGCGCCGATCATCAAGACCCGTATGTTGTAGGCGTAGGAACTTCTCTGGCCGAAATCTATCCTTCATCTTCACATATTCACATCTCGACATGAAATCACCTTCAGTGAAGCCCTCGGCATACCCGCCGCTGCCATTTCATCTCATCCGCTTCCTGATCTTCCTCTCCTCAATCGTCGTAGGCGTGATCTTGGCAGTGTTTACCTACCATCTCCACGCCGATGGCTTCAAATTACCATATTCATTCCTCGTGGTAAGCAAACATCCAACCTATATCTCCTATAGAATACTAATGGAAACCCCAGCTCTTCGTCTCAGCAGGCCTCTCCCTCCTCAATATCCTCCTAACCTCAGTAATCCACTGCAGCTGCGGCCTATCAACAAAACTCTCTATATCCGTCAACATCCTCCTAACAATCCTCTGGGCCCTATCTCTAGGCCTCCTGAGCTGGAGCGTAGCAAGCACAATTACCACAACATGCACAACAACACACTGGGGAAATTCGACCGGCATCGCTGTATGCAGGAGCTACAAAGCCCTCTTCACATTCACCGTCACCGGTCTGGTTAGCTACATCGCTGCAGTCTGGCTAGACGTGGTCGTGCGCCGTCGTCAGACTCGTCTCGGTGTCTACGATCCTATGGGATCACACCCCGGCCTCGATGACTCGGGCGCATTCGATGTCAAGATGGATGACCGCCACAGCGAGTCCACGCCTGCTTTGCACGATTATGATAATGTTCCCCCCGCGATGTCCGGTGCCTATGGCCAGGGCCATACGCATGTACCGCCGGTGTATGAGCGCAATTTGGAGTATGCTCATGCTGGTGATGCGCAGGATTATTATGATTCTGCGCCTGGGATGAGTCACCGTGGTGCACCCAGAGTGCGCTTTAGTGCCTATGAACAGGATGGGCACCAACGGCCTGCCGAGCATACTGGATACGATCCTGCTATGTATCGCTGAGTGGGATCTTGCTACTTGATTTTCGTTTTCCTTTTTCTTTGCTTTCATGACAGCAAGCGGGACTTTATGATATTTATCTGTGGTGCATCTGAAGGTTCTTATTTGAATCATTTGTGTTGATACGGAATTTGCATGACGGCGTTTCGAGGATCCTTTACTGAGATATGTGGTATTCATACGAGATAAAACACAGGGGTAGCAGAATACCAATGCAAGAAATCCAACGACTCTTTCATTTTGGGTTCGTTCTAGATAAATTAAAACAAAAAGATCCTTAGATCGGCTGCGCTCACGAAGCAAATAACCATCCAACCATAAGATAAGATGAGAGAGGACAAACCCGACAATGAAGCCGCTCGAGAAGATCAGGGTGATTTTGGACCAAAGATGACCAATAGTTCGTTTACATAATGACCTCGTTGCACACATCCTATAGGACAAATTAGTCAATGACACGTCGAAGAAACAAGGAGTAATACATACCCGCTTGAGCTCCTTGTAAGGCAAGCACACGCAGTTCTGCACGCGGACCTCATCGCCAACACCGCACTCCTTGCCAAGAATGGTGATGCTCTGCACCTTGATACCCTGCTTGACAATGCTGGTCGAGTGGCTGGTCACGGGGATGGGTGTACCCTCCACACGAGCCCAGGCACCGACACGGCTGCTCCAGCCGATGATCGAGTGCATGACGCAGGCATCGTGACGGATTTCAGCATCCTCAAGAACGATCGAGTCCTTGATACGGGCACCAGCGCCGACCACGACACGCGGGCCGATCGAGACGTTAGGACCGAGCTTGGCGGTGGGGTCGACGGAGGCAGTGGGGTGGATGTAGACCGGAGGCACGATGGTGGCGGAGGGGGGAGTGAGTTCAGGGGACTCGGCCTGGAATGCCTTTTGGAGGTACAGGGCGTTGGCAGGCACGGCAGAGCCAGCGGACTTGATCTGGCGCCAGAAGTCCTTGGTTTCGTGGACGAAGAAGCGGTTGCTATCGGCCAGATCGGAGAGGATGTCCTGCTCCAGACGGAGAACCTCGCTCTTCTCGGCGTCCTCGTCGTCTCCGGTGGCGATGAAGGAGGATTCCAGGTTATCAGAGGAGGGGTACGAGAGGAGGCGGGGGCGGGTGGTGCGGCGCTTGATGGCGCTGCGAATGGCGGGGAAGATGCACTCGGTAGCGAAAAGGTAGACACCGCAGTTGATCAGGTTAGAGATGTGCGACTCGGGCTTCTCGACGTAGTGCAGCACACGCTTGGTGTGCGAATCGGATACGATGCATCCGAAGTTCGTTGCGGTCTCGTTTGACACCCGTGTACCCAGAATCACAGCTTCGGCGTCCTTCTCCTCGAATAACCGCATCATCTCGCCCAGCGGGAATGAGCAGCAGACATCGGCGTTCAGAACGAGCAGCCGCTCGGGCTTGCCCTTGAGGATGGCATCACGGAAGTGGTATAGGCCACCTGCGGTGCCCAACGCTGTGTATTCGCGCAGGTAGAGGATGCGAAGCTGGGGGAATTCCTTCGAGGCATCCTTGATAAAATCCCGGAATACGCTCTCATCGTAATATCCGACCAACATCACTTCGCGTACATCGGGGACCTTGGCCACCGCCTTTAGGCAGTGGTGGATGATGGGGTGGCCGGCGACTTCGAATAGGGGCTATGGAAGTTGCAGTGTCAATTTTTGTCCGTGACAGGTCCCCACGGAGATTTAAATAAGATGCAACTGCATACCTTGGGCACATCGAGTGACAATGGGCGGAATCGGGTACCTCTTGAGGGGCCTCCGACCTGTGGACAAGGTGTCAGCTATTGTTTACCGCGAAGATTCCGTCACTCACCAAGATCACGGCCTTGGTGGAAGCCTGAGTAGTGTGATTATCGCGCATTGGTATATTAAGCATGACGGCAAGGAGATGTGAAGAGGATATAATTCCAGGAAAGGCCAGAGAAACACCGAAGCTCCCAGACGCCAAGACGGTGGTTTCAGTGGGGCACCTGACAACATTTTACTCCTTTCGGCCACTTTTCAATGTTTTCTTGGATCTGATTTATGTGATTGATATGGGTGTGAATGAGTGTATCTTGATTATACATATCCTACAGATATATCCTCCTTGACAAGGGCTATTTCGACAGACTCTAATCATCTGGATAGTTGTGGAGTATGGGGTCTGTTCCTATACATCCTACCCGAGCAAGGCTTGGGCCAAAGGTAAGAGCAGAGAATATTGCATTTACCAGAGCTCACGTTCTCGCTCTTTTATGTTTGAGCATAGATTATAGACATCATGACTACTCATCAAACACCTTTGGAATAGTCAAACTTGGAAAGGTTTTGCTTCTCTGCCGCCGAATTTTGCATTTTTGATACATCAGACCTTCGGTATAGAAATATCCAGACCCATTTTAATGCCCCGAATCCCGATCTTCCTCGCCAATATCAGCATCTTTGAACCTTTGACAAAGTGACCTCTCATACTCTTCCTTATCTCGGAGCTTGGCCGCTAACACTTTTGCAACATCGGGGGCCCAGAAGTCCGAAACAACCCGTGCAAAATCATCTTTGGACTGACTGGAAGGTCCAAAAATGGGATATATGTGTTGAGAGAACAGGTTGAATAGACCCTTTGGGCTGTCTAAAGCATGGAAATACCAAAAGTTTCCAAGTTTCCAACCATTTCTCATAAGATTTGTCCTATAAGAATGGTCATCGTTGATAGGAGAGAATTGTTTTTCTTCCTCCTCAAAAACACCAACAAACTCTTCGTAGGCCTCGCGAAAGGTTTCAAGGTGCTCCTCTGTTAGTTCATCCACTGAACAACCGGTTAACCAGTATGGAGGACGTAACGTCTCCGCCGGGAGTGAGCATGCCCATTCGAGATCAATGACAAACTTGATATTCCAATCGCTGTCAACGAATATGTTGCTAGGATGGAGATCGGTAAGTCTGTAAAGTAAAGGCCCTTCTCGAAGCTCTTTGTTGGAAAAATGAGGTAGGAGTGCTTTCATTATCGTCAATCTTGCTATCTGGGCTCGGCCATCGTCTGCATCGTTTATAGAGTTGGGCTGATACCGTATGCGACTATCATGACAAGACAAAAGATCGAGGTGGTATGTGTCCGCTGTTGAGTAGGTCAAGCTTCGACTGATGTTCGTCGGAATTCCACCATTTTCTAATTGATGAAGCCGAAGTGTGAGAGGTCGATTGGAGAGTCGCAAAACTCCATTCGAGTCTAGGGTCCAAGATCCTATACGGGGGAGTGGTCTCTGACTTAGTGAAAGCATCATACGTGAAAGCCCCCGAAAGAGGGTTTTTCTTTTGACTTGGTCTTGACGGTCTTCATCCCATGTCTCTGAAAGCATTTGAACTTCTGAGTTGCCAATGTAGTCCATCACCAAGTACCCGGTATCGAGTAAGGACACACGTTGATGAGATATGTAGGGGCAGGGCAAAGTGAGTCCAAACAGCCACATGATAGATCTTTTGAGATTCCAGAGAAGTCTAGTGCTAAGGGAGATACTCTCCGGTTTCGTAAACTATATAGAAAATATGTCAGAAATCATGTTCATAGCCAACCAATTGAGATTCCGTACACTTTGACCCCCGACGAGTCCGAACCCCCACAGTTGCGGGATGGATATCTCCGGACAATGCGTATGTATCCAAATAAATGTTGCGGCTTCACAGCGAAGTTTTTCGTCCACATTGCCTGGGTTCTTGAATTCCCCTATTTTGTACGGCAAGGGAAACCGAATAAGTGCTCTTTTCCCTAATTCTTGACTTTGTTCGCTGATATACAGAGGGATGCAGACATTGAAGCTGCCGTGGACCCATTCGTTTACATCGCCGGTCCGGCAAGTATCTGAAGGACCTAGACCAAGATGATATGATGCAATACGCTCAATCTCATCTCGATTGCTATACAGCAGCACGAAGAAGTCAATACGCTGTTCAGGGTAATCCAAATCAAGGAGAACATTCTCCTCTTGCTCCAGCGCTGACTCCAAGGTGGTGTTACCCCTGAGCAGCAGCAGGGTGGCCCCCCGATGTGTCATTGCGGGGGTTTTTATGATTGGACAGAGCACACAATGCAAGCCAGGACACTTGACTGCGTCTTGACAGACATGAAAAAGGGGTCGATTGGTTGAGGTAAATCAATGCGCATTTGGGTGCGAGACTCCCCCTTTCAAAAAGGCGGCACGATATACTCTTTACCGCCTTAAGAGTAAACCTGGGTTATTTTGACAGCGATTCCCCTTGGTTAATGGTATGGAGTCTTCAATGTTCATGAATAACATACGGAAAAGCATGATTGACTTCGTTCATTACTAAAATCAACTTTGGCTTGTCATAACTAGGGTCCCGCTCAGAGTGCGCCGATGTGTTGAGTGTCAATATCGGCCATCTTATGATCTTCGTTCTTTGAAGTGTTCTCTGGCTGAATGCCATCATGACTCTATTTCACGAATGTTGGCTGAGGTCATGCAAAATAGAAAAGAAATGAAGATTCGGCCTATCACAAGCCTGATATCACAGTAGTCGGGACATCAGCGAATGTGATCTAAAAAGGGCTCTGGCTTGTCTCACATAGCTGTGGAAGTATTCATATTAAGTTGAGTCCCTATCTGTTTCGGCATTCATCATCGTCCAACCCTTGCCTTTTAGATGCGAGCTTCCGCGATTGCTAGGGCTCATATCTCCCATCGCATAGTTCCCACTACTATGACGATGTGCGTCACCAGCTGTGATGGTCACCTTGTTCTCTCCACATATCAGCCCTGCCTCACCAGCATCAACTTGTGAAAGAGCTGCAGTTCCAGACTGTGTCAGATTTGATTTTGAGAGTGAGCGAGCGGTTGAAACCACGCCTCTGGTGAAAATTTTGACAATAGGGGCGAGGGTAGGTAAACAGGCGGAAATGACACCTGCAGCGCTTTCAACGACACACCAAGTTTGCGCATCGGCGATGGTCCAAGCCACATCGGTGATATCGAATATAAATATCAGACTGAAGCGATAGATACTCGCAATCACGACGCTAAATCTTGTAAGCACACGTCCAAATATCCAATTCTCCGTCAAACTCTGCTGGAAAAGCCCTGGAAAGCATAGACGGCACTTACAAGCTTCCCGTCAAAAACACGCATATAATTGATACACGCTGCCACAGACTTGCCTGTAACCCCCAAATGAGTTTTGCTGGCATAGCCAAAATACACATGTCGATCACAAAGTTCGGTACCCCGTTCCCGATCAATGCCCCCTTGAGAACGATGCAGTGACCAGGAAGCATGGGATTGAACCCTTTGGCGATGGGCCAGCACTGAAATAAGGCGAGAAAATCCATGGCAATCACCCAAGCGAGAGTAGTTCCACCAAGGATCAGACCTCCGATTTTGATAAAACGGACAGGGAAGATGCGATAGTACATGAGCAGCACAGCAAATTTTATAATACCGGCTGTTGTGATATACAGCGGCTCAAAAGCGTAGATCAACTGTTAAGAAGTATAATTAGATAACGCCATTGATTACGCTCTGGAGTTGACCAGACGTGGGTCTATTCCTCGTACCTTGAAAACCATGGATTGGCCCCCGGAAGGGATGGTATGAGTATGTGTGCCCATGCCATATTCAATACCTGTCGATATGGTTGGTTCAAATTACTCTTGCAACACGCTGGCAAATGCTCAATGAAGACCTACAGGCAAGGTTGATTCCTGCAATAACTAATGTAAAGATCTAGGATGGCATTAGATCGGATTATCACGGACGGCTGGATGCGAAGAGATCAAGAGCTGCGTACCAATCCCAGAATCAAAGTCCAGTCATCCGCTCCTAGTTGAACATGTTTCATACCCCGAGCAACTAGTCTTAGCGCCAAGAAGAAAATGGCCAACACGGCAAAAATAATAGTCGTGATACGCTGCTTGGGCTGAGTACTCTCATGCGCATCGCTAGACGCCATTGTTATCGCATGACCTTGCAGGAAATACCTAACAATTGAGCAATGATCTTGAAGAAGCAGGGGTAGCAGATCTTGATTTATTTAGAATTGTAGTCCCCCTACGAAGGATTTGCCATGTGAATCCTTTAGCCCTACCTTCCAAGGTGCCAAAGTGGGACTTATCCAAGATGCCAAGGCCATTTTACATTGCCAATTACCTGAATAGGTCTAGTATAGCACTATAGGAGTCGATTCAATAAAAATTTCCACGGAACAATTTGTCTAGTCCCATGGGCAATGTCAATGCTTAATGCTCATTGATCGATTTTCTTCATCAAACAACGCTACCGCGAACCGAGGACTCACACCACGCCACTTCGTCTAGTTACACTTCGTACAGGGAGCATTGAGATAGGTTAGGCCTGAAACGAGGATAAATTTTATGCTTGTGTTCCAGAAAACAATGTGTGAACCTACGAGTACGCTAATATGCCGGCCATTCCACCTTTGGGGTTTTCGTAAATAGTCTTTGTTTCTGTAATCATTCTCATAAAATATATCTGCCTCATAATCCCAGTCTCTTCCAATGACGAGCCCAACATTCGTATTTTCCCTGGGTGCCTGGGTTGTTCCAGCCGTCTTTGATGCCACACGCTCCCGTCTGGAAACCCTCGGGTTTCCCTCCGAGTGCCCCGCGCATCCTTCAATTGGCGCGGAGCCGCCTTCTAAGACTCTAGCTGATGATACTGCCTCCCTGCGCAGTGTTCTGACAAAGCTCGCAGACGAGGGGCGTGACTTGGTCGTGGTTGGACACTCCTATGGCGGCGTGGTTGCCTCTTCGTCTGTTGAAGGACTGAATAAAGCTACTCGTGCAGCCGAGGGCAAGACTGGTGGTGTTGTGAAGGTTGTATACCTTGCTGCATTTGCCCTAGACAAGGGCCAAAGCTTGTTGGGTATGCTTGGAGGAAATTATCTACCCTGGATGAAGGTCGAGGTAAGCCTATCCCAGAACTACCTGCTTTGTGCGCCACAAGAGGACAAAGCTGACTAGTACATAGGGTGATTACGTCCAGGCAGATGGTGCCGGAGAGATTGGCTGGCAGGATATCTCTCTCGAAGAGCAGGAGAAGTGGAATTCGTTAGCACTACATACCTCGCGTGCGGTGTTTTCCGGCGAGTCGACTTATGAGCCCTGGAGCGACATCTCCTGTGCCTATATTGTATGTGAGCAGGATCGTGCCCTGCCACCCCCATTCCAAGAACTATTTGCTTCTAAGATGGGTGGGCCGGAAAACACTTATCGGTTGCCCAGCTCGCACTCGCCGTTCTTGAGTATGCCAGATCGTTTAGCCGAGGTCCTACAGCAGATTGTTAAGTCCTGAATGGCTTTTCAATTATGGATTGACTCACTTGATTTTGAAAATCCTTCTCAAATCGCCCCATGCATTATTTAATATATCATCGAGCCTCCATTGAGCGAATATCACAGCCGACAAACTTATTTTAATTGTTCGCCTCAAGCCCCCCCACATTGGATGTGAGACAAATTGCCCCCAATCGCCCCCAAATGTACGGAGTCCTCGGGAAGTCTGTATATAGCCCTTGAAAAGATTTGTTTGAAATACGGCACTCGGTTGAGACACATGGAGTAGCGCTTCGGCAGTTGAAACCAGACCAAAGTACGAATCCGTACTTAGGCTGAATACATAGGGTATGCTGTATGGCCGTTATGTACTCCAAGGTGGAGAAAGGAGTGGCATCCCACCAATCAACTCTATGATCGCTTCCAGGTTGCTCCCACACAGACGGTTAGTGTGTTGGTAGTCTCGTCCCGGTGATCTGGCCCTCGGCAGATGTTTCCGACTGCACGGAGAACCCTGTCCTCAACTGTAGAAGGATGATCATTTTCGAAAGAGCACATCCTTCACATTCCAAATTTCATCATATCCTACATAAAATACATGATAAAAATGAAATCAAAGAGAAATTGAAAGCTGACCGGAAAAAGAAAATGTTCCCCGAAGTGGGTGCTTGTATATATTAAGGAGATCTACTCCATGTAAATCGCACCATCTATCAGCCGGTACATCATCAATTGATATGAATCTACTCCACATGTACACAGATCCTAATTCACACATATCTTTGCTATGTTTATTCCTTTATGTTTACATCTTTTCTTTCAGCCTGCAGGGCCCACAGGGTATGGACTATCTATGGGCTGACTTGCTCTCACTTCCCTCATACTTCGCTCTCAATTTGCCTCACTTACATCTTACTTTCGCCTTGCAACGTTTGACCTTATTATTTATAATTGTATATCTTATTCCTCATCTAATCTTTCCCGTCCCCCTGTGGGAGGTCATATGATATTGTTTGCTGCCAGTCATTTATAAAATAACCTTCTCTCTCTTCAATACACGAAGGATTTCCGGATCCTACCATCAAGGTGCTCTATAAAGGCATCTCTCTCGACAATAGTCTTGTTTCTGTCGAAATCTCTGATTACCTCATTGAGGGGAAGTGGATGCGTATGGAAGGCGACGGCGACGACGATGACGAAGACTATGAAGACAACACAAACAATGGGGACGACGACAACAATAATCATAATATAACGCTCAAGATATTGTCCTAGCCAATCCCGTCTCTATCTCCAACGATTAGCCCAAAGATGTCTGTGGCCAAAATCACTGAGATATTGAGGAGATCATTCCAGCATCCACAAAGGCAATTCTCGAATGCTCGACGTTCACCTAAAAGCACACCATGGCTCTACCCATTATTGATCTCAAGAGGGACTTCAAGGCCAATGAAATTATTGCTGCGAAGGCCGCGAAAGACAAGGATCTGATGGATGTCGAGTAAATGTGTTGGCTGCTTACGATCTTGTCTTGCATCAATCCGTGGACCTGATTCGCCTTTCTTCCTACCCGTAAGCTCTTTTCCACTATCTCTTTTTCTGTTTCGACATCTCTCTTGCTTTCCGATACTATGTCTTATCCAGTTTGCTTTACTACAGTGAGTTCTTCCAATCGTTTCTCTACTGCCCCAATCCAATTCTCATTCTCCGCAAGCTCCAAGGCGTTCAAGCCGTATCCAAGCAAGAATGGCGCCAATAACCACCTCGGCCTCCTTGATCCTCATCGCAAAGTAATGGGGAAAACGCAGCGAGCCAGTCGCCGGCCGATACCTCTTATTCCCCGGCTTGACTGACAAGTGAGCCTCGAGCTTACACACAAGTGATTGGCACGTCGAAGACATTTGATATTGATTCTCATTCTCAAGGTCATTAAAATTCATCATCTGAAGTAGATTCCATCAGAGTTGCACATCTGCCAGGTAGCCCCGGCTCTCGAGCAAATTTACCATCGGGTGGATATATCACTAGAGGGGTCAATTATGACACGACTGCTATAGGTTATGTGAACACATTATCTTGGTTTCCGCATATATATGTAACTTTACTTGTTAAAACAAAGCTGGGGCCGTGTGAAACACTACCTTGTCATCTAGATGATTGTTTCTGAAATGGTTCTTCCAACTATAGCATGTAGATGCTGTCAATTGAGGTTAATCAGTACACGTTCCTTTTTTTTATTTTTTTGCTATGCCATTCATTTTTTTTTACAATTTTCCACTTGATCCACAGCTCCATCACTCCACCGTATTCGAAACATGTAGGGAAGATCACAGGCCCTCCCCAAGAACAGATAACTCAAGCCAAATTTGGCTCAATCAACATTGATGTGGTGGCGTAAGTCATCAAGACCACAAGACAAAACAAATTTGTAAATTAGGTCCAATCCTCTTTGATGTCTGCGAGATCAGTGTGATCAACATCTTCCATCTCCAAGTCCTCATCCCGAACAGAGTCCAGCCATTCTTGAGCCTTGGAAAACTTCTCTCGCTCTTTTTGTAGCTGAGCACGGCGATGCTGGCGTTCAGGGTCCTCCGTCATGAGATCGAGACAGCGCGCACGACCTATATTACTTATTAGTACAAGCACTAGCGTCATTTTCGACGTACATGATGTATATACTCACCGTTATCGCCGAATATCTCCAAGTCATCACGAAGAGTATTCACGATGCCCGCACGGCAAGCTCGGAACAACTTCATATGAGTGGACTGGCACAAGACGTCCAAGAAGCGAGAAGACGCGATATCGTAGTAGGCCAGCGAGCTCTATGAAAGCATTCAGTAAATGGTAGGAAACATTCCTTGAAAGACTTACGGCCATCATCTCAATCTCTTGAGAGTACCTATCGGGACCAAGGTGCTCGAGTTGAATCTTTTTGATCTTGTCGGAAATCTTTTCGTCACATGTATCGTGGCCACGAATTTTAAGCCAGCACAAGGCGCGAGCGTTGTGACGCCGAGATTTCAACAAAGTCAAAGTTTGCTGCATCAACGCTTGGTGTTGACCCTGCGCCATCGTGAACGGAATCTCGTGCTCTGACTTGCAATAGTCCTTTGCGATTTGGAGATGAATGCGGCGAAGCTTGCCCATGAATTCTTTCAAGATTCTACTGAGCTCCTGATAGAGACCAGTTTGGTGGTACTGTGCAAATTCTTCCTCCAGAGCTTCAAGCAGCATACTATGCACAAGGTTATGCGTAGCCTTCAGGAAAATCTCCATGAGCTTTCCCCAATGTTCAACACTTCTTTTGTTCAAATTCTCGATCGCACGAGGGTCAAGCTGGTTTGGCACGCCGACTGTGTTAGACCGAATCTTGAGTTCGGTAAGCTGTTGGAGAGTGATTCGAGCTGACTTGGAACCTTCAAAATAGGAGGTGCTGTACACAGTCCTTCTCGGAGTTGCAGGTTCGGATGTAGAACTAGCACTCGCGGGTGACTTCCTCTTCTTGGGTGTTGATATGTTGACGCCTACAATCTTCATCTCACAATCTGAATCGACGACTTCAGCCAAGTCCTCATTGTCCTTCCGCGCAGCAACGTCCAAGATAGGACGTGTCTTTGCAAGTGCGGTCTGCAGATCCATGACAATCTTGTTCCACTGCTCTTGCAGCGGCTTGCGCTGGGAAGAACCATGCTCAATGCTAGGAGTTCCATCAAAAATTTCATGAATCTTCCGTTCAAGATCTGACGTTTTGCCCCAGAGAATACGTTGCACATCTTCAGTGGGAGGGTTGGGCAATGTCTGCAGCTCTGCGTCAATGGCTTTTGACTTTTCATCAATCTGGGCAATGATAGAGGGCAGGGATCCTAAGATCTGACGCATCAACAGGTCAGATAACGCCGTTTGGAGCTGGCGGGTACCGAAGCGGTCTTTGAATGCTGCGAGATCCCTTGTCCACAGTGAAGAATTGAAGAACGTTTCTTCCTCCTCCCTGGCTTGCAAGTGGCTCACAACGGGATTAGGATTGTTCCGAATGACATAGTAGCCATGGCCAAGCTTGAACTTGCTGCCATCCAGAATTTCGTGCCATTGGTCAAAGGCTTCACTAGATGGTCGCCGATCGGGCTTGGTCAACACTCCAAGCGTACGCTCCTTTGCACCTTTGATGTCTCGAACAAGACGAGCAGCACTTGAATTCGTAGCGTCGTCTGTCATGGGCAGCGTGAGGAGTACAATGCAATGCTCCTGAGAAACGTAGTCCTTCACGAGGTTCTCGACGAGATTCACTAGGTACTTCTCATTATCTTGCTCCGTCTGGCTAATCACTCCAGGAAGATCGTAGAACGATAGGTTCGGAAGACCTGGGCCGGAGATATCCAAACGAACGGCGTTCGGAGAAAACTTGACCTGAGGAATATGTGACATTTCGGCAATAGTTCCAGGCACAAAATCCTGTGGGTCTGTGCTTGGGTTCAATATCGCCAGCTGGGCGCACCAGATAGCCCTTTTCACTTCTTGTTTATTGTCTAAGGTGACGAAATGCTCGTCATCCTGGCCGCCAAGGGCAATCCATGGCCCCAAGGGCTCTGACTTTTTCGGCATCTTCACGCGCTTTGATGGGTCAAAGATGTAGCGGCGTGATAAATGAATCACGCATTTCCAATTTTCGTCGCTCTCGGAAAGATTTATCTCCAAAGGGCATCGCGTGCAGGTTCCTTCGGATCTAGGCACCTTGATTTCGGAGATACCTTCGATAAGGGAGCTTTTCCCGGTGCTCTGATCACCGACGACACATATCTTGGGAAGCATGATTTTGCTATCCTCGATACCCAAGTGGCTGAGGTCTTGAATCTTTTTTACCAGATTTTTCATGTCTCTGGTGAGATGTTCAAGAGAGGCAGCGGGAATTGGATTGGGGGATTGGTGTCAGGTAGGCCATGAGATACCGGCATTGCAACAGCCAAGCCAGCTAGAGAATGAGACAGCTCGTTAATAAGGCGGCGATTAACATCAAGAGAGACCAGACTCACAAATAATTGGGTTGGGTTCCGACTTCGGAACCCGGCCATACACACCTGCCATCGTGGTAGACTAGAGCTGAGAAGGAGTCTGTAAGTCATGGAAGCAGGAAGACAGGAAGCAAGAAGTGATGGTCATAATCACTGGCTGAAGGAGCAGGGCAAATGAGACATACTAAGAGACACAAAACGGCAGGAAGAAAATCACAGATAGGTATGATGCTTGAAACAAGTTGACCGAGAGGGTGGAGGTCACCACAGCTCATGAAACGACCAGGGTTCAAATAGATAGGCAAAAGCAAATGGCGCAGAAACAAATAGACTGGTATCAGCAGTTAGGAGAGAAAGGCGGGTTCGAAGATGAGGAGATGGGCGATGAAGAAATATGATGAGGAAAGATAGGCAGGTGGAAAAGGAAGAGCGAAAAGGCAAGGATGGCCTGTAAAGAATACACGCAGAGTGATTGCTAACGAGAAATAAGAAAGAAAAGAAAGTACGCCAGAGCTCACCAGCTACACGAGGGCACAAGAAGAGATGGAAAACAGTTCACACCGCGACGTGGCAAAAAAGTGCGATTAAAATCATCTTTCTTCCACATTCACATGCCATATCTTGCTAAATCTATATAAATCAAATTGAAGATATACAAATTTAAATGACCAGCACCTACAGTCACCAGCCAATACATGGGAGAACAGGGCAGGAATTGCAACAAGTGGAGAGCTAAGCCCCCCTCGGCAGTATATGGTGTTAGCATTAGGCAGTCAATAATAGCCTGGCGTCTCTTTATATGTCAAAAAGCCGAACTTAGTTGATTCCTTGTGTCCGAATTGATACTGCCAAGATTTAACCAAAGTCCTTTGGGTGTTTTGTCACAATTGAATATCGTGAATATCTAGTAGGTAGAAGTCTCTCTGATAGCAAGTAAGGTATCAATGCTTTGCACATATAAAAATAACTACCCACTACAGGGAGAGGACCATCGAGCAGACCGGTGGTGCTGTTGGCAACGCCGTGGTAGACAGGGCTGTAATGACTACCCAGAGTTGTGGCCAGGTAGTCCCTACTATATTTGAGTTAAATAGTCTATATAATATAAGAAGCGACCCGTCTGAGGTCACTTTTAAGCTCATATAGAGTGCCATTGGAAGAGAAATTGGAATTCTTGGAAGACGATATAGATATATCCGTGCCCTAAACCCTACCTCCCAATTGAGTATCCATGAACTATACATGACAACAGGGAAGAGTGAGTCAAGTCCGGACAGAAGAGCACAATTTTCACAAAAGGGAAATATTTTAATGCCCTATCTTTTCGCCATTCATAAAGTGAAGTTCCGAATGAGTCATGAGGGTTGAGGTCCCCGCGTACATGGAGAGTGATATGCAACCGTCCAATCAAATGACATGCCGATCCCGCCCAAAAATTCAAGTGTCTTATCCCACCATCCCACCATCCCACTTTTTGCTCTCTGTAACCACACATTATGGCGGATCCCAACCCTGTTCAAGAGGCTACCGCCTCCATTGCCAACCTTCTTCTCGACGATGTCACCGGCGAGAAAGTCTCCAAGACCGAATTGAAGAGACGCCAGAAGCAGCGTGAGAAGGACGCCAAGAAGAAGGAGAAGGAGGCTGCTGCTCCCCCCAAGCCTAAGGCCGAGAAGAAAACATCTGCCGAGGAGGACGAGGCCAACTTGACTCCCAACGTTAGTCTTTTTAGTTCCTACGCCAATTAATGGTTTCTGTGAAGCTAATTAATGTATCATTTAGCAATACTTTGAAATTCGGAGCAAGAAGATCCAGAAGTTGCGCGAGACCAACCAGCCGGAACCCTACCCCCACAAGTTCCATGTCGATACCGACCTCCGCGATTTCCTCAAGAACTATGAGGGCCTCCAGAAGGGCGAACAGAAGCCCGAGGTGACCGTTCGCGTTGCTGGCCGTATCTACACCAAGCGTACCTCCGGCAACAAGCTGAACTTCTACGACATCCGTTCGGAGGGTGTCAAGCTCCAGGTGATGTGTCAAGCTCAGTTCGCAACCGGAAAGCCCTTCGAAGAACAGCACGAGCTACTTCGCCGAGGTGATATCGTGGGTATCGTTGGTTTCCCCGGCCGAACCAACCCCAAGAACCGTGACGATGGTGAACTTTCTATCTTCGCTACGGAGGTTGTTCTCCTGACACCTTGCTTGCATGCCATTCCTTCCGAGCACTACGGATTCCAGGATAAAGAGCTGCGCTTCCGTCAGCGCTACCTGGATCTCATTATGAACGACCGTAGTCGTGAAATCTTCAGAACTCGTGCCAAGATCGTGTCTTATATCCGCAATTACTTTGACAGCCGTGATTTCATTGAGGTTGAGACTCCTATGATGAATGCTATTGCTGGGGGTGCTACAGCCAAGCCCTTCGTGACTCACCATAATGATCTCGACATGAAGCTCTTCATGCGTGTCGCCCCCGAGCTCTACCTCAAAATGCTGGTCGTAGGAGGACTGAACCGAGTAGTAAGTCGCTCCCTCGAGCTCGTATGCTTGCGCTAACAAAATTCCTAGTATGAAATGGGCAAGAACTTCAGAAATGAGGGCATTGATCTCACTCACAACCCCGAGTTTACCTCCTGCGAGTTTTACCAGGCTTATGCAGATGTGTTCGATCTGATGGAGACGACCGAAGATCTTGTTTCGGGTCTAGTCAAGCATGTTACTGGCGGCTATGAGACAGTATTCCACACTCAGTCTGGTGAAACCTACAACGTGAACTGGAAGGCTCCCTGGCGGCGAGTGGAGATGATGCCTGCTCTGGAGGAGGCTTGCGGCGAGAAGTTCCCTACCGGTGACCAGCTCCACACCGAGGAGACTAACCAGTTCCTCAAGCGCATTCTGAAGAAGATGAACGTGGAATGCTCGGCTCCTCAAACTAATGCTCGCATGCTCGACAAGCTTGTTGGCGAGTTCATCGAGAATACTTGCATCAACCCGACTTTCATCACCGGTCACCCCCAGATGATGTCACCACTGGCCAAGAAACACCGCGAAATTTCCGGTCTTTGTGAGCGATTTGAAGCCTTCGTTTGGTAAGTTCTCACTCAACTTGTAACTTCCTGTTATCTCCAAAGTTTTCCTGCTCAAGATTGGTCCAAATTTGCTCTGCCCAGGATTGGCCAATCAGCTTCCGGGGAACTATTAGCTAACTGAATGTAATTATAGTACCAAGGAGATCACAAACGCCTACACGGAGTTGAACGATCCCTTCGACCAGCGTATGCGCTTCGAGGAGCAGGCCAACCAGAAGGCTCAGGGTGATGACGAGGCCCAGATGGTTGATGAGACTTTCTGCCAATCCCTCGAGTACGGTCTGCCTCCGACTGCTGGCTGGGGTATGGGTATCGACCGCCTGGTTATGTTCCTTACCGACAACTACAGCATCAAGGAGGTTTTGACCTTCCCCATGATGAAGGATGACAAGACCGCTGCCGAGCCCAAGACTGCTGCCGAAGTCGCCGGCGTCGAGCCCAGTCCCGAAGAAGGAATCCGTATGTTATTAATATCAGCAAATTTCCACGAGCCGGTATCACTGACGATGAATATACAGCCCACAAATGAATAAAGTGATATGATTGCTCAACATAATGTTGATGCTATTGATGTGTGATGCGTCATGGGGGTTTGCATGCAATTCTCTGTCTTATGATAAATGCAGCAGATAAAATAGTGTTTCTCAAGAATATCTCGGCTGAACAGCCAGTTTTCAAAGAATATATTTCCGTGTTTGTACTGAATCCAAAACCAGAGTCGGTATCTACATGTAGGCGAGTCAGTTACTTGCTCGTCAGTAGGCAGGCTATGGACGTCTAATCTATATTTAACCCTAAAGAGGTTGATCGGAGGCCGAGCAACCGCTCAATTGATCACATATACCTGTAACTTATCTCGAGAGCTCCGATCTGTTTGTTTGCCCTCAACCGGCGCTCCCCTCAAACTAATAGGGGTCATCCGATTCCATGAGACTGTATATAACAATGCCCAGTACAACTTGCATCTGAGAACCTTCATCAACCCCAAGCCTTTTATCTACACCTACGACATATGCCTTGCCATTTTCATTTCGTACATCCCCATTCTGTTTCTATTCTGTTTTCTGAAAGCAACACTTCTTTCAAATCCTATCAAATATCATCGAGCGCAGCTCTATTGGAACCATGTCCCGTCATACCATGCCTCTCCCTCGCATCCCAGAATTGAGGCTCCCGTCTTTTCGAGAGCTCGACGAGTCTATCGAAGCCAACAAACACAGCCAAATGAGCTCGCATCTTTCTAACAATACGTATGATGGAATAGACAACAGTTCCTCGTCTTCACCACAAAATATCAACACCACTCCCAATCCATATCCGCCTTATCCTGCTAATGGATGGCTTGTCCCGCCTGACCCCAGCCAGAATGTTTGTTACCATCCATCTCTCCCCTGAGGCATGAAGCTAAAATCTAGTTAGGCTTTTCGAGAGCCAGGATTTGCCTATCGAAATGTGCGTGCAGAATGATAGATATACAAGACCGAGTGTCATACAAAGCTAACATCCAAACAGCAGGACTTTGCCAGCGTGCTTCAACCCACTGTGAACATGGACAGAGGTGAGGAAGAGGGAACGCGGACCTCCATCTCAAGCCAAAAGTACAGCTTACAAGGCCGTCACACAGACATAAATCCGACTCATCAACTCTCCCTGCGCCTGAAGCAACCCCAACCATCACCAAGTCCCACGCAGTCGACTCTCAGCTCCGCGCAGACGACACTCCGCGGACCGCTCTCTCCAGGTACCCCAGAGAATGTCTCCCCCAGCCGAACTCGATCAATCTTGACAAACCGCCAGCCACCTAACGAGCAAGTCCATCGCCAAAGGGTCAAGCACGATGCAGGGGCCAACCACCGCGTCCAGAGACGACGAGTCGGCGTCGATTTCTCGGAGGTAGCAGCGCACACCGCAAAGTGCGATGTATGCAACAAGCGCAACAAAAACGGCATGGCTCGTTGCCAGAATTGCGGTTGGCAAATCTGCCGCAAGTGTCTGACCGATCGAAACGGGGACCGAGCCCACGCTTCTTTTGGAGCTACTCATGTCCCCGAGAGCGGCGGCGATATGCCGGTATCTTTGCCATCTGTGAATGGGAATCAAGAGCGTCGATCCCCCGCGTCAACAGCAGAACTGAGGGCTGCGCAAACCCTACTTGATCTTGGATCTTTCCGTAAAGGAACTGGGACTACTATTCGCGCTGGTAATGTGGCAAACAGGGCAGCTGGACAGAAAGTGGCTGCACGTGGCCGGGGCTTGCAGCTGCAGGTTGATGCTCTGTCTACTGATTCTGATATGACATTGTCGATTGTTGGAGATGAGGAGTGGCCTCAGGATGAGTCTGATGTCCCTATTGGTGAGGACGGTCTGCCCCTTGGGTACGTCATTACAAGGCGCAACCCTGCGCGTGCTGCGAGACCTTCGAAAATGGCGGAGTAAGAAAGTATCACCAAAGTCTAGAAAGTGGATGTAAGAAAATGGTGGAAGGCACGTATGAAAGCATGGAAGATGAAGCCAAGAATCATGAAAGGAGTGAAAGAAAAGGATTAATCAAAAAAATCGGTCTGCTTTGGGGAATATCAATTTGGAGTTTGGCAGATCAACCAATAAATTTTGTTTAATTTCAAAATGTGTTTTTACAATGCTAAATAGTTATACAATAAGACTCAATAATTGCTGGAGTCAACAGATGAATGGAGATGGTATCAATGACCAAGGCGATTGATTATCGGAATCAATGCTGGTCGAAATATTCATACACTCGCGAAGCAAAGCTTTTAGATTCTCTTCACAGCGGAGGCAGCAGTGCTAGAAAGCTGCTGGGACCGAGCTTTCACGGCCATCTGCAACAGCTTGGCTGTGCGGGATGGGTGCCAAACCCGGCTGCCCAAGATCATGACCCAAGTCAGAAGGAACAAGCTGCCAGCCTGGTGGGCAGAAGCGAGGGGAGTAGGAACGAGGTAGAGGAGAGTAGTAATACCAAGTCCGACTTGGCAACAAGCGAACGCAAACACGCCGTGGACGCCCTTTCTAGCAGGTGCCGGCAGGAAGCGCTTCATGGTGGGTGAGCGGCGCGTGTAGGCCATTAAAGCGCAAATGACGGTGAACGTGGTAACTGCGAGGACGCGGTGGTCAAGCTGAACAAGAGAAGGATTCTCGAGCATGTTACGCCACCAAAGATCGGAGCGGTCCTCGTGACGGGAGTAGCGGGCATCGAACAGCTCCTCCTTTGGAGGTGCGAGTCCCTTGCCCATCCATGGGAATTCGTTGTAAATCAGACCAGCATCAAGACCAGCGACAAGACCGCCGGAAATGACAGTTGTGAATACCAAGAGAGCGATACCGGCGACTGAGCGGCGGAAGAAGGCCAGCTTCGGGTCGCGCAACGCATTCAGCTGACTGATTCCAGCAGCGGGATCAGCCATCAACCGATGGGACCGCAAAATAGCAAGACCGTTCCACAGCATGGCGACGTAGCAAACGAAAGCAGCACCCAAGTGAGCAGTCAGACGGTACTGACTCACTCGCGGGTGACTGCCCGGAGCAAAGAGATCATCCTTCAAGCCGGACTTGACCATCCACCAGCCAAGGAATCCCTGGAAACCAATGAGACCAGCAATTCCAAAGAGACGCAATGCCATAGGCGTGGAGACCTTCTTCCGGGCGACGAAGTAGACAGCAGGCAGCACAAACGAGATTCCGACAAACCGGCCCCAGAGCCGGTGAATCCATTCCATATAGTAGATCGACTTGAACTCGGATAGAGTCATGTTGGGGTTAAGCAGTTGGAATTCGGGAGATGCACGGTACTTTGCAAACTCATCCTCCCAGTGTTCTGCGTTCATTGGGGGAAGGGAGCCGGTAACAGGTCGCCATTCGGTGATACTCAATCTGTGCCAAAAAAAATGTCCCGTTAGCATTGGAAGCTTACTTATTGTGAGAACCAAGCATTGCAATCCACTTACCCAGATTCTGTCAACCGTGTCAAACCACCGAAGACCACAATTCCAAAAACGCTGGCTGCGCTGCCTAGAAGCCAGTAGCCAACGGTCTTGTCGCTAATTTTAGGGAAGCTCGATTTGCCTTTCGCGGCGCCCTCTGCGACCGCCTCTGCAACGGCCGGTGCGGCATTTGAACGCTTGAGACTGGATGTAAAGAATTCGCGGTTTTGGTTGTTGAGAAGGGTCGATTTGGTGGGTTGACGGAACTGAAGGGCACCGAATTGGCGGATTGATTTGGCTGCGTAGCGCTGACTAGGGAGGGATTGAGATGTGAAAAAGTCCTGAGCCAAAAGAGGCGCAGCACTCCGCCAGAGCGACAGAGAGCTCCTCAGAGAAGCCATGGTTAAGGCAGATGAGTGAGGAAGAAAGTTGGTGAAGTTCGGGGATTGTACGATGTCGCGGAATGCTTTGGCCAATCAGCAGCGGAGCATTTGTCGGAGTGGAATAGCACTGTCAGCAGTACACAACTGCTGACTACGGAATGTAATATCAATAATTGAGAGAATACTAACATCTACATTGTTCGAATCAGATTTGTCCGTGACTATCTTTGTACGGGCCTAATATCGATGTTGGTGCCTCAGGCGGCTACGCCTCGAGCGTTGTGATCGCCGCAGCTCCAACCGTCAGCTTTGTATTGATCCGCATCACTTGACTTTCTTCCCAGCGCAGCGCCAACATGTCCTACGCTCTGGAATCCAAAAAGCGAAAGTTTCACCGTGTTCTTGAATCAATATCCAAGCCTCTTACTCCCGACAACGCACCCAAACCAGCCCCTGCGGCGCCAACGACGGTGCAAGACCGTATCTCCGCCAACTTATCGATCAAGAAAGTACGCTTGGCCAGTGCCGACCGCTCGGAGCTCACAGCAGTGCGCAATTCAATCAGCAAAATATCCCGACCAGGACACCGAATTGCCTCTGCGGATTCGAATAAGCGCCCAACCTTTGTTCCTTGGGATCGCGAACGTTTTCTCGAGCGGTTAGAGACCTTCCGTCGTGTCGACCGGTGGACCTCAAAGCCATCCCCAATCAATGAAGTACAATGGGCGAAACACGGTTGGATATGTACGGATGTTTTGCGCGTCACCTGTGTGAGTGATTGTGGCGGCGCAGTCGTTGTGAAGGTTCCCGATGAAATCGATGAGCTGGATGGTTTCGACATTGAGAAGGTGGAGGAGCGCAAGCAAGTCCGTGAGTAGTACATATACTGCTGGTCCAGCTGCGTTTGGTTATCTGCTAACCTACATAACTGCAGGTGCGAGGCTGGTGGATGAGTATGCGAAGATGCTAAGCAGTGCTCATGGCGAAAATTGTCCATGGCGAAACAAGAGCTGTGACGGTGAGTCTGAAATTAATGCTCACAGTATTTTACCCTGGAACTAACATTGAATCAGCAACTATTCAACATCTTCCTTTGACAAATTGTGAGTCTGCCTTATCGGGTCTTCACAAGCGATATACAAATATATCGGAAATGGGCGATAAATTACCATCCGACGATATCATCCAGACTCCGGAAGGGCTTGACCTAGATGTCCTTATCAAAGGACTTCCCGAAGAATGGTTTAAAGAGGCCGAGAAACCTGCTGTACACACCGATGGAGAGACTCGACCTGCAAACATCGACAACCCAAACCCAACAGACACGCCTAAACCTGTTAATCGCGCTGCACTGGCGCTCGCATTGCTCGGCTGGGACACGGCCTCTGATGGAGCTGCGGGGTTGGTCGGATGTGGTGCGTGTTTCCGTCGCCTCGGGCTATGGATGTACAAACCCAAAGATAACGGAGATGTGACCGTCTATACTTCCCTAAATGTGGCTGATGAGCACATGGAGTATTGTCCCTGGATTGACAAGGTTGCCCAAAGTGGCACGGGGCGTCCCAACGAGAAGTTGGCAGAACTCCGCGCTGGGTGGCAGATCGTCGCGGAGGCCGTAAAGGTCAAACACCGCCGCAGACTTCGCACCATGGCTTCTACTGATACGCTGCGGACGGACCCAGGCACATCAACCGAGACTGTAGGCGAGGAAGAAAATGCGGATGCGAAAAAGAAAGCAGATCGGGAGTGGTGGGCAAAGATTCGACGAGTGAGATCTGTTTTGACAGCCAAGTCGCCAAAACGCAAACCTGTCTTGCCTCAATAATCTTGCATTTCGATCTTCATTTCTGTTCAACTTTACATTAATTGGGAGCGTGGGTTTTATTCCGAGGGTCAAAGTGCGTCTTTCAGCGGCTTGTGTTTTCTAGTTAGCTTTGATTTATGGCCATTGTGAGACACGACACTTCGCAATGATAAGAATACATCGATTGTATATTCATCTCTATAGACTGTAAACTTATTAATTGAACGATTGTAGACAACCTGAGATGAATGGGAATTAGGGTTGGTTTCGATCGTTCTGATTGGCCGAGACCCGGAGCTCATTGGCCTTTCAAGGTTGTTCGAACCGCATTGCGCTGATATAACTCTGACTTCCACAACTCCGCCGACAATCTTTCTGTGAAATCATTATAAAATTCTCTATTTCTTCCAATATTGTTCTAATATCAGCACACACCGCTTTTTCCTCACCAGATTCCCGGGACCATTGTTCTGCCGAATTACTCACTCGAACAGTTTACATCGCCATGGATCATCCCAACGGAGATGGAGCCCGTGATAGAGCTCCAGGACGCTCAGTCCCCCGCTCGCCTGCCCGTACGAATGCGACACACCCTCCAACAGATACCGGCAGACACAGGAGCATAGAAGGAGATGGTGGAGCAGACGGATCGAGCAATTTATCAACCGCAGCAATCAAACGCAAGAGACTCCAAGAGAGACACCAAGCCCTCCGAAAACGGGGTCGAACCCCACCGTCAGTATTCTCGCGCCGTAATCGTTCCCGCAGCCCAGGCGGCCCCCAACCACGCGAAGACCGACGCTCTCGATCGCCACTACAACCACGCCGCTCTCCCTCCCCCGAAGCACCGCGTCAACGCAAGAGACCGGGCGGTGGAGCGAGACAGGGACTCCTAGACCGTGAGACACTACGACGCAAGCAGGAGGAGCGTGAACGCGCAGAGCATGATGAGGCTATGCGCAACTCCCAACAGCGTGGCGTCACGGACGTGGTCCGACAACACTACAACGCGGTTCCTGAGAGAGGTCGTGAGTGGCGCAAGACAGAGAGCAAGATCAAGGGTCTACGAAGTTTCAACAACTGGGTGAAGAGTACCCTGATCCAGAAGTTCTCTCCTGATGAGAACTTTGTTGCGCGGTTCGAGGATAGCAAGGACTGGGCGGATGACAGCCAAGGGCCACCGCCTTCTGCTGATCAAAAGCTTCTTGTACTGGATCTGGGCTGTGGTAAGGGTGGCGATCTAGGCAAATGGCAGCTGGCGCCTCAGCCGGTTGACCTCTATGTCGGTCTGGACCCTGCCAATATCTCGGTTGAGCAAGCACGGGGCCGATATGATCAAATGCGCACGGGCCGTGGTCAACGAGGCCGTCGACCACCCCAGCCGATTTTCCATGCCGAGTTCTACCCGAAAGACTGCTTTGGCGAGTGGCTGGGCAATATCGACATCATCCAGCGGGTTGGTATCGATGCCAATGCTGGCCCTGGTGGATCTATCATGGCCTCTCGCTATGGTGGTGGTGGCTTTGACGTCGTCACATGTATGTTTGCCATTCACTATGCCTTTGAGACTGAGGAGAAAACACGCCAAATGCTCAGCAATGTCGCGGGTTGCTTGAAGAAAGGAGGTCGTTTCATTGGCGTTTGCCCAAACTCCGATGTCATTACCAGCCGTGTATCCGCTTTTCATAAGCAGCGGAAGGAGCGCGAGGCTGCCAAACCTGCGGAGCCGGAAGGCCCTGAGGATGGTGAAGTCGAGGAGGATGAGCGCGCCCAGTGGGGCAATGATATCTACCGCGTTCAGTTCCCTGGCCCAACCCCCGAGGATGGGGTTTTCCGTCCGCCTTTCGGGTGGAAGTATAGTTACTTCATGAAGGAGGCAGTGGAAGAGGTTCCCGAATACGTTGTTCCATGGGAAGCTTTCCGAGCGTAAGTGTCGGAGATTACCACCTACGACCATCTATGACTAACTTTCACGCAGCCTGACCGAAGATTACAACCTGGAGCTACAATACCGCAAGCCATTTTTGGATATCTGGGAGGACGAGAAGAATCATCCCGAGCTCGGCCCGCTCAGTGAGCGAATGGGCGTAAGAGATCGTGTGACTGGTACATTGAATATGACAGAGGAAGAGAAGGAAGCCGCCAGTAAGTGTTCCCAATGTGCTTTGATTTTCTCGGTCGCTAATAGATGACGTCGCTAGGCTTCTACCATGCATACTGCTTCTACAAGGTATAACCTATTAGGAATACTTCGAATTTCGCATTCACCTTATTTGTACAATCTTCGTCGCTCAGCATTTGCATAATAACCATCTTTTTGTGTCCTGGAATAACTAGAGTTGCAACAAAACCCATGTGAAATAAATCACCGTTGATCATTACAATCTCCAACTCCCATTTGCAGACATATTCAATTCGCTCAGTATAAACCCCGGTTGCCCTTAATCTACTAGTCCACTAGTCCCAACACCCTCTCATCTATAAATCCATCAGGATCCGTAACCATCTAAAACATCTTAAACCCAATCAACCCCTGAACCTTCACAAGCGTCCTCTTAGCCGTAAGATGTAACCCAGCGAACTCCCCGATGCCCATCGAAATCGACACAAGCCCGGTTAAATCCTCTATAGCCTGACCAACCGTCGGCTTAGTGGGGACTGCGCCCAAGGCTAGCTCTATATTGAACGACCTGGCGACATGCCCAGACTGAGGCCCAGGCCCAGGGTCTAATGATGCATCAGATGTCCTATGTGCTGTCAATTTCCGGGCTCTTAGGGTTGATTGTGGGGTGTGATCGGGTTATGGGCGGGTGATCAGCCACTGGGTCCCTTGGTGGGGACATATACATATGTACAAGCGTGCACGGTCAGACAGTAGAGCAGTGCATCGGGCTGTCATGCTATAGTATTCTGTCAATGCAGATCGGTGCTCAGATCAGTTGTGTATACGGACGCCAAGCCACCCCGTATCTTTGGTATGGCAGTTGGATTGGTGCGTGAAGGTCGCTAGAACTGGCCTCCGATTGGGGCGGGTTTCAGCGCAAATACGACCTCGGGAGATTATGCAGGTTTGTAACAAAAGGAATCCTTCTTATTGGTAGGTCAGTTCCCATAATCAAGGCATCCTGTGATGACTCCATCATTCTGGATAGGCTCCCAGCTGAATATATAACTGGCATGACAGGGGTTTATCCACCACCGATCACATCGCACAATTCTCACGAATGAATTGATATAGAGGAGACCTCGGTGTTTTGTTCTGACTGCATCGCTATACCGGGATTTGTCATTCGAGTATCACGAAATAGCACCGGTATATACTTCGATATTTCTTGACGAACAATGTATGTCTATTGTCACGTGAATAAGTTTGTCACACGAACGAGATAGTTCAAATAAACGCGCTGGCTTGACTTGCCCCAAGGAGGGATTCAAGAGCGTTTGAACCCTCTGTAGTTGAAAGAAATGCTATCTGTGAAGGTCGTATAGGACAGTGTTGTGGAAGGTATAAGAACAGCGGCAGCTTATAGCCTGATCATTTTCCAGGATCTTCTCCAGCTAGCGAGGACAAGTCAGCTGAGCTACAAAATTCCAGTGTTGTTGGTACATCTTAGCATTTTGTGCTTAGAGGTAAAGCTTCCAACAAGAGATGTGTAGGGCTCTTGACTAGTATTTTCAGCGGGCTTTTCAGTGGGCTTCTCGGTTATTCTTCTTCGGTCTATAGGGTGTCTTCCTCTTCTCGCCAATTCTATAAGCAGATAGCAAGAAAATGGAGGGAAAAAGGCATTTGGGAAAAGAGGACTTTTCTGTATAACCTGGGGTGCTAGGTAAGGCCCACCCCGTAGTGATAAGGCTTATCGCTAATATCTATAACCCCAAACAGGACTAGCGCTATCGCGTCTCGCGTCGGGATTTCGAGATGCGCTTTGTTACATAGCCTTTCTTTGTCGATGCCCTGGAAGCCGGTATTCGAATCAAAGCAAATCCCACAGTAACCTGGAACTCTCCAACTCGCCATCTACAGGAATTTCTCCCAACAACGATGTCGGCAACACCAAGCCGACGGCAGTCATCTCAGGCCCATCCACAATCAGCACAATCACGCAGACGAACCTCAACTCACACCTCGGTCTCGGAAGCAAGACCTTTGCCGGAATATCAGACTCCCGAGGCTCCCCTCACAGCAGAAAGTCAGCGCCAAATCGCTACCCTCCTCGCATCACACCATCTCCGCAATCTCCGCGCCCATCTCCAACATGCCGCCGAGAAACTCACACACTCCGGCGGTGAAGTAAACGAACGGCTCAGCGATGCCCGGGTCCGATACGAAAAATCAAAAGAGACGCGTCGAAGTCAAGGCGACGAGAATGTCGACGACGACGAGAGCAATGAAGAATACCAGCGGCTTGCTGAGTTAGAGACTCGAGCCGATGCTATTACTGCGCGGATGGAGGAGAAGACACGACAGGTTGTCGATTCAGAAATAAAGCTCCAGGGACTGACAGATGCGATGGGCCAGATTGAAAGGGAGGAGGGTGAGAATGTTGCTACTGCTCTGGGGGTCAGACAGACCCGTCAACAGCGGGCAAGACGAAGAGCCAATGAGGATGATGATGCCGACGGGGCTGAAGATCCCACCGACGGTGACTACGAAGATGCGCAGGAGAGAGAGTTGCGGGAGCGCAATGCACAGAACCCGCCCAGTCGCAAGCTGGTCGATAAATTGACGGAAGGCGTTCAGAAATGGAATGAGCTTTCTTTGACAGAGAGGTATGGAATAGGCCCCTAAATGTGGCTGTTATACTCGAAAGTGCCGTGACTGACAACTACGATCTAGATATGCCAGCAATAACTCCTACATCGGGTTCTATCGGATGGTACACGACTCCAAGTTCCCTGGTGACGATGTCCCACCGTTGCCCCACTCATCTACATGGTTTGGGCACATGGAAGATACGAATACGCGATCTGGAGTCCCGGCACGTACGCGCAACCAGAACCGTCGCCTGTCGCCCGCCGACTCCGACGACGACATTGCCATTGAGCGCGAGCGCATCTCGCTCAAATGCCCATTGACTCTCACGCCTTACCAGGATCCCGTGACGAGCACCAAGTGTCCCCACAGCTTCGAGCGGGAGGCTATTATGGATATGATCAAACGCAGCTCGACGACCATTCCGCCTCCTGCATCTCGTCGGGGCCAGCGCCGCGTCCATGTGGTTAAATGTCCTGTTTGTTCTATTCCGTTGAGCGCGGAGGATTTGCGGCCAGATCCTGTTCTACTACGTCGTGTTCGCCGAGCACAAGAGCTTCAACGGCGCGAGGAAGAGGATGATCACCTTGAAGGGGACGGTCGAAAGAAGAAGGATCGAAGTACCGGCATTACCTTGGGTAGTGACGTGGAAAGCGACGACGATGCTATGGATGTTGATGCCCCTGCCTCGCAGCATATCAAAAAGGAGCCGCTTAGCCAGGCTGCTGCCGCTCGATCTGATGAATCTAGCGATGACGCTGAGAGTGCGGAGGGGGAGAGTGAAAAAGGGGAAGATGAAGAGGCGGAGATTGAAGGAGAAGAAAATGGAGAGGTGGATATGGATGCACAAGATGAAGAAACAGAGAATGGAGAAGTGGAATCCGACCAGGGTGAGATTGCACAAGCCCAGAATGGAGAGGAGCAGACTGAAGAGATGGAAACTGACGAATCTGAAAATGAAGAAGCTGAGACCAACCAGGGTGAGATTGAATCAGCGCAAAATGAAGAAGAGCAGAATGAAGAGATGGAAACTGACGAATCTGACAATGAAGATGTGGATAATGAGCCGGACAACGAAGAGGCGGAGACCGAAGATGGTGAGATTGAACCAGCGCAGAACGCTCTAGAGCAGAAGGAAGAGACGGTGACTGACTCTGAACATGAAGTTGGGAGTGAGGAGGTTCCAAGCAAGGACACGGAGAACGAGGAGCGCAATGCAGACGGTCGGAGTGAAGCGGTGAAGGGGGATGTTGAGGGCGGGGAAGGGCACGAAGCTGTGGCTTCTCAGAAAGCTGTGCCGGATGAGAATGAGCAGAGTGATACGGAGAGTGGCAGCGACAGTGACGGTGAAGGCAGTGAAGGCAGTGGAAGTGAAAGTGGAGACAGCGATATCGAGCCCAAAGTCGAGAGTGGATCCGAAGAGGAAAGCCATAGTGATTGATCTACATGATACCATTCCATTTCTAGCGTCGAATGAAGTGCCCTTCCATCTAGCCGAGATGTAACGTTTCAAAGTCGGGACTTTTGTCCTTTGAGATCCAAAGGTATATTGTACTACCTAAAAGGTGAGGTTATATGTCTGATAGATCGTGCGTCGAAGTTCAAGCCACACCTCTATATATTCAAGCCTGTCAAATTAGGAAATTTCAAAATAAATTCGATGCTACTCCGTATTTCGTGCTCATATGCAAGATGTTCATCGGCTACACCAGCTGCTACTATCAGTTTCAATCGATTTTCCATAGTTGTATGCAACCAGAGATTTAATCTAGAAGGCCCGGGATTATTGATAGTAGTTCAGACTCGGTGTTTCCGGCCGTACTCCTGCTGTAGATATGGGATGCGATATCCACATTTTAGACCCTGCTAAACTTCATCTCATTCTACCACGAGGGTCTGGACTTTCCCTCTATGATACTCAGTTTCCCATCTCAGCCTAACACCTACCGGTCGCCTTGATTTTTGGCCATGGCCTGAAGGCATTGTACTTCTTTTTAGATCATTTGTCTTTTTAATTCCAGGGAATTTGATCAATCGTCGCCCCCTGGCGAACCTCCTGCATTTTCCCCACTGTCTCGGGCTTCCCGCTGCCGCTAACCACAGCGTTCTACATCCAATCTATCCTCACATCTGTGGCGAACCTTGATTTTCGCTCGTCTGGTTCTACCTTGCTTGACTAACCCACATGTACTTGGATATCCTCTCACTGGGCATATTCTCCGCCTTATGTCTGCCCAGTGTCTCTGATACACATGATGCTCTCATGAGTTCCAAGGTTTTCTCGTGATGGTTAGGTAAGAATGGTTGGTGACTTGGGCATAACTTAAACCCGGTTGACACCGCCTTATACCGTGTATTGTAATTTATCACCGTTCTGTACTGGTTGAAGTTGTTCCCACCTTATCCATCTCTTGGTCCACGGAATTATAGACGTTGAAGAAGGCCCGACCGTAGAGGTCCCTCGGGTTCATCTGGATCATCATCACAAGGTGCTTGATCTTCTCTTTTCTCATAGGCATACATGATATGTTGCTTTACGGTTGCCATGGCATTCACACATCGACCTAGGGGTACAGATCTGTGTGGGAATATATATAGCGTTGGGTGTTAAGGTCTCTGTCATACTCAATCAGGCGCTAACCCTAAATCAGGCATTCGACCCCTGACTATGCAGCTTCGGGTAACGTTCATTTCAGCACCCTCTTGCTTCCCATATTTCGAGATTCCATTGAGCGAGGGAATGCATCACTTGTGTTCTAGGCCAGGATGGAAATCACAGAATAATGTCCGAATCACGTGAGTTCATCTGCCGAAGGGCCCTCGTGCCTCCCCCGCAGTCAGCTGTGGGACCTCCAACGCACCTTTGCTGTTCTCTGAGTGTCAGATGTGACTCCAGATCTGTTAACTCTATTCTAGCAAAAGCCCCATAGTTACCTTGATAACCCTACAGATACTACATTTCGCACGCGACAACCCCGGTCTACCAGGCCCCACAAAGAAACAGTGCCATCAGGGTGTAACACTGCTATCAAAGCGCAGACCCCCCGAGGACCTAAACCCCAAAGAGCAGCATCCCCCGGCCAATTGTAGTGATCATGGAAGTCCCGTCTATTGTAAAGGCCCCCCGTAAATTCAATGCTACCCTGCTAATTCGCATCTATCTGTAATCTGAACCCTAGCGCGCTCCTTGGCCTATACTTCTCTGAAGCAGGGGTACATTGTACGAGCTTGCTATCTTTCTAAATCGGTGGAAATTTTTTTGGTTTAAAGATCTCCATGTCTCCTTTTTGATCTTTCCTCCCCCACACTTCTTACCATCCCATATCTTACCTTCTATTCTTCAGCGGTCTCCATTCAGAATGGATGAACGGAAAACTCCCGTCGAAGCGTCCGCCGAACCAGTCCACACCCCCCGACCCGCAGGATGGATGTACAAAGACACCAAGATCGGCAAGTTCTCCACGAGCTGGTATGCCTCCCCACGCATCCAACTGGGTATGGTCGCCTTTGTCTGCTTCCTCTGCCCAGGCATGTTTAACGCCCTGAGCGGAATGGGCGGTGGTGGAAAATCCGATCCCAGCTTGGCTGATAAAATGGTACGATCGAGCCTCGGGACTTTTGTTTCTCTATCTTTTCCCCACTTCTTTGACATCTGATACTGCGATACCCCGACCCCCCGATTGGTCGCATGCATGGATTCACTATCTAACAACAACAGAACATCGCCTTGAACAGTACTTTCGCCGTGGTTGGTTTCTTCGCCGGAACTGTCGTCAACCGTATCGGTGTCCGTCTTTCCCTCTCCTTCGGTGGAGTCGGTTATTGCATTTATTCGATCAGTCTGCTCGTCTCGGAACATGCTTATGTCCCCGGGTTCAATATCTTCGCCGGCGCCTTCCTCGGTGTGTGCGCCGGTCTGCTCTGGGCCGCACAGGGAACCATCATGATGTCCTACCCGATCGAGCAACAGAAGGGTCGCTACTTCTCTTGGTTCTGGGGTATTTTCAACGTCGGCGCCTGTATCGGTAGCTTGGTAAGACCAGACCCGTCCGTTGATCGGAACTTGATAGGCCCAATGGATCAAACAACTAACACGACAATCTATATAGATCCCCCTCGGCCAAAACATCCATGTCAAGGAGAACAAGACCGTCGGCGACGGGACCTACATTGCCTTCATCGTCCTCATGTTCGCAGGTGCCGTTCTTGCCCTGTTCCTCTGCGACGCAGACAAAGTCATCCGTCGCGACGGCTCCCGCGTCATCCTCATGAAGAACCCCTCGTGGAAATCCGAGATCGTCGGACTGTGGGATACCGTCCGTGCCGAGCCGTGGATCATCCTCCTCTTCCCCATGTTCTGGTCCTCCAACTGGTTCTACACATACCAGCAGAACGCCATCAACGGCGCTTACTTCAACACTCGCACCAAGGCCCTGAACGGTTTCCTGTACTGGTTTGCGCAGATCGTGGCCGCTGTGATCATGGGTCCTTTGCTCGACACTGAACGCGTCCGTCGCTCTCTTCGGGCCAAGATCGCCTTGGTCGTCCTTTTCGTCCTCACGGTCGTTATCTGGGGTAGTGGATACGCTTGGCAGGTGCGGTACACCCGTGCGGATGTGGATCCCAAGACTACAGATTTCAAGGGCTGGGATTGGACTACCTCCGGCTATGTCGGCCCCATGTTCCTTTACTTCTTCTATGGCATGTACGATGCTGCCTGGCAGGGTCTTGTTTACTGGTAAAGATTTCTTCTCTTTTTTTTTCTACTACACTTCATAACTAACATTTTCCTAGGATCATGGGCGCTCTCGGTAACTCCGGCCGTAAGCTCGCCAATTTGGCAGGCTTCTACAAGGGCTTGCAATCCGCCGGTGCGGCTGTGATGTGGTCTCTGGATGAGAGGAAGATCCCATTTATGAACGAGTATGCCTCGAACTTCGGTCTGCTGTGCGGCTCGATCCTCATCGCCGTCCCCGTCGTCTTTTTCAAGATTAAGGATACCGTTCCCGTGGAAGACGAGCTTGCGGGTACTGGCGAGACGCTTGAGGATGTGCTTCCCCCGGCGCTATCGAGTCCAAGCGTGTTGGGGATGATAAGATCTAATCAGAAGTAATATGAACTCGGAAGAGAATTGGATGGAATGTGATCTTTTTTTTCTTCTCGTTTTTGCGCAAGGGCGTCGGGTCGTCTTGTGGTGGATTTGGAAATGTGCCTCGAGCTGGTACTTGAGTCCGGGGTTGGGCCTTGGTGATCTTATTTTGACGTTGCCTTGTGATTCCCGACTATCTGGCTCGCGTGGTGCCAGTGGTGTACTTTGCATCTCTATCTTTATGAAATCGGTTTTAATGGGGAATTTTCTTTTACTTTCATGATGGCATGTGGATACTTTTCTCTGTTCCTGTTCTATAGGCCTGCCTTTGCTTTGCCTGTAGAATGGGATCATTCACATAAACAATGGAAATACTTTACTATGTGCACAAATGTATCGTACACTTGGATGAATAAGTCTGAAGGATCCGAGTCAGCTCACATCTTCAAGCCTACTGATTGGACTTCTTATTTTCGAAAGAGAATGAGATAGGCAAGTAAGCTATCTATCCACTGAGGATCCTACCTAGCAGACATCGTGACGTAAGACCATCGACATGGAGTATGGCGAGGCAAACAAGAGCAAGACAAGGGGGTATTCGCTTGTCGAAAGCAAAAACAAAACGAATAGAAAAATAAGCGCTTGACAAAGACTATGTGTTGTATTCTGTTGTCATGCTGACTTCGGAGAAAAAATCAGCCACGTATCCTCCGACATATTTCCATTTTCTCTTCGGGAATGAAAAAGAAATTGCACATGGGGATGCTCCTTCGCCGATACCATGATGTCCGAACCCAATCTACCACGGCTGATTTGTCATTGACTCATTGCAGGGAGTGATTGTGTGATGCACACAGACCGCGGAGCATAAAATGTCTCGGGAGTCAGATTGGCTGTGTTCCTCCGGACGCTGCGCTTCCCATGGATGTTAAAAATAGCAGAACGTGTGTCTAATGATAGACAGTGGCATGAGGAATATTAAATCGCGTAACTCAGCAATAGGTCGATGCGATGTGTAATCGGAGAGCGATGTAAAAGAATGAAGCCCGATTCAGGCTTTCAAGCTGAGAAAACCAGTTTACTTGGTGAGGATGTTGAGATAATCAGCCACGATGAGAGTGACCATGCTGCAAATGGAGTCAGTGGGGGGGAAAATAAGGGTAAAATAGTGGGGGCAACTAACGCATGAGGAGCGATCCGAATGTAGTAAGTTCCGAAGCCACGATAGAATCGCATCCAACCCTCTTCCTTGGCAACCTTGCGCGCACAATCCACAAGACCCTTGTAAGGAAGCACGCCGGTCTTAGGATCCTTCTGTTGCTTCTGCAGACGAGTCTTGATGAAATCGAAAGGCAGAGACAAGAAACTAGCAAAGAAACCAGCAATACCGGACGCCGCAAATGTCTGGTTCTGAGTAGAGAGAGAAGTGTGTTGCTTGAGCTGCTGCTTCGCCTCAGAGAAGAATGTCAATTGACCCATGTTGAGAGCCATGGCACGCACAACCGTGGGCGAAGCACCAGCCCACAAAGCAGCGAGTCCCTCGGCGCGAGTGATGCGCGCGAGAGCATCAAAGACGGAACGGTAGTTTGCGCGAGCCTCGGGGGCCTTGAGTCCGTCGGACTGCATGCGCACAAGAGCCAAGTCGGCTGGGTTTCCAATCATGGCTGCGATGCCACCGGCTGTTAGTCCTGCCGCGGCACGCTCGGCGAAGGTTACCTTTCGGCCTGCGGCTTCGGCGTTGGCGTTGAGCTTCTTGATGAAGGTTTCGAAGAATCCCAGACGGGCGGTGGTGTAGACGGCTTGGCGGAGGATGCCGGCGGACAAACCGGTGTAGAGATCGAGGACTTTGCCTGAGGCGATGATGTCGCGAGTGATTCCCAGAGCGGAGGGACGGGGACCGGTACGTGCTCCTTCGCCGGCGAGCTGCAGGCGCACTTTGACCATGTCGACGGGTTGAATCACGGCTGTTGCGGTCATGCCGGCAAGTCCACCGTTGACGAAGGGAAGGACGGCGCGGGTGTATGGGTGGTGGAGGAAGTCGGTGGGGTTCTCAATGGCGGACTTTGTTGCGTTCTGAGCAGAGACAGCGGCGTCGGTGGCGCTGTCTTTGATAGTGGATGCCATCGTGGAGTATGATACTGGAAGCGGGGTCAATACGATGTATAGTAGAAAAGAAGCGGCAGATGCACGAACAAGAAAGCCTTTTCGAAGGGTTAGTAGGATCTCTTTGGTGGATTTAGAAGCCAGGATTGTCTACGTCTTGGACCGTGGTACTTACCGATGACGTAGTCTTTGAAAGGATAGCAGTCAACAGATGAACCGTTGTCAAGTTGGAAGATGAAGAATATAAGAGAAAGTCACAAGACAGAGGTGCGGGGTGTCTTTAGTACTCTGGTCCAACGGGGCCTGAGCCTTGTCTATATACTCCTATATTCATTCCGAACCGGAGATTACTCCCTTCAACCGATCAACCGAATACCTACCCGCGAGTTCCCCGCCAGTACAATATGGAGACAAGAGCGAGTGTCGCCCGAGACCCCCAAGATTTTCGTGGCCCAATTATATCTACATCATTACATCAATGCAAGATGCACATCCCTGCACGCTATGGAGCTTGTCAAAATGCGGGGGGGCAGCTTGACGATCCTTCAACTTGCCTTTCACCATATACACATGCTCAAGTTAGAGAAGTTGAACTTCCCAGAGCTCTGTCTACTGTGCAACACTTTCTAATACACAAACATTCTCATGACCCTCGTCTACTATGTACACACGGCAGATACGTTAGTGCCACGAGCTAAATTCGGAATATCCACCCACGCTAAACCCTTTTGGGTTCCCCCACGAGAACGTATCGGGATCCCGTGCTGACATACCCGACGGCGGCCGAGAAAAGACGCTAATATCTGTGCATCAAGATTAAATACACCATGCTTTCAAGCCCATACTGATTCAATATGCAAGGATATACAGAGACCCCATATTTTAGATTGAGCTACGTCAAATATCAGTATTGGTATTACGACCAGGAAAAGGGTCATGCATTAGCGTTCTTTCTCGGCCGAGCTGTGGCACATCGTCCCCGGGCATACATCGGACATCTCATACTACCCCGTACAAAGACTAATATCACATCTGGTTCAAGAACACAGCCCGGATCAACTATCCCCCAAAATACGTTGAGCATTCCATGCAAAACGGGGTCCACGATCAGCCGTATATCGGTGCTTGAATTGTTGGGCACTTCTCAAAGAGTCTAGAATCAGAACGAAACTATATCGGATGGGTCTGATCGGCTATTCCACCTGAGTAAAATTCTCCCGCTCCCTCGGGCCACGATCCGGGGATGCTCACACGGCAGTCCAATCGGCCTGACATAATTCCGCTGACGCTGACGTTGTGGCCCTGGGCCCTTGCACCAGCCCTTGAATCGCCCACCAATCCCATCCGTCGAGATTCAAAGGACCCTCCTTGCCTTGGGTGGAGCTGCGGCTCACGCTACTATTGTTGAGTTGACAGAGCTAGTCTACACACATTCCTCCGGTTTGGGGGCTTGCTGCTGGCGTTTTCCGCCGATGACCGGCAATTATTATGTCAAGTAAGCTTCAGTGGATTCTCACCCCCGTCTCTAGTGCTGCATCTACTCCGTGTGTTGCTTGATTTTGCCGATTACGGATATAAGTCGTCAACTTTCAATTTTCACAAGAGGACCGGGCATGTCGGTGTGTAGGATGTGACGGAGGACTGTTCTCCGGGAAATAGCGTCATATGTTTGTCCGGGGTGTGAACCCCTGAATACCTGTTCTGAATATGGCACGGGGAAGAGACGGGATCTTGTTCTGATGGGCTCGCTGGTAGAATTGGCAGGGAAGGTTAGCAAAGTGATATGAGACTAAACTATGAGCAGTGAATGCGCAAGAAACTTCCGCATATGACCGTTTGGTAGTATACGACCCGTTTAATCCATGTTTGAATCGTTATATGCCTCAGTCCGAGGCCCCGAATGTAAATCAAGCCCTGAACCTCCAATTCTAACGAAGCCTGTATGCCCAACCAAACAACCCACGCACATAGCCACGGACCTCCAATTTCCATGAACACATCCAGCTACCTGCATCGCCCTCCGACAAATGGAACTCACATTCATCTCGGAAACTGCTGTCCACACCAAACCTTGTAAACAACACCAACTTCCGCTATTGCAACCCCACCAATCGTGAAAGTCCAAGCACCCATAGCTCCCGAGGTCTCCAAACGTCCCCGCGGAATCCACTCCGTGCCAAGCTCAACCCTTAATAGTTCCCAAGGGGAATGTGTCAATCAAACTCAAAGCGCATCACTCTTCTATCCGCGGGAAGGGCTCTCGGCAAGTCGGCAACTCCACCGGCCTCAAGCCTCGATGTAGACCCACGGGCCTGCCGGCATGGGAGTTCGGGAAGGTTTCTTATGTATGGCGTTGTCAGACCGGGGTATTGTGTTGAAGAGCCGGGGGCGGAATGTAGAAGCGGGAGTGAGGGATTTTTCGATTTGCAAGTTCCCGGTGAGCATTATTTGATCTATATGGCATTTGACCCCTGAACATCTTTGACCAGCTTCTTATTATTTGCACTTTTCGGGTGTCTTTGATTACTTACCCAACTGGGGAGTGAAGACACATAAAGCAAGTTTGAACTAACGCGAATTGACAAGGATACATGTTATAGTCTTGAAACTATAGATGCAAGTATCGGGTTTATATAAGGCTCCCTGAATCGATTGCTCTATAATTATCTGTACAAGATTTTGCTCGTTGATGTGTATTGTCGTGGTCTTTCTTGCCTGCTAATTTTGGTTCTACGCCAGAGGAGCTCTACATATACTTTATGGTAAAGGACACAAATTCGCAAAATAACCCAGTCTGCATTTGTTCTGAAAAAATCAGCCCTCTGACAGCTCCTTAGCTAGTTATCCAGCCTCATATCTTTTTCCACGTTGGAAACTGCCATCATCCACCGTAGGTCTCTCTTGAGGTCCTCCTTTAGGTCAAATTCCTTTTCGGGGTCAGCTAAAGACAGTATTTTAGACAGTGAGTAAGCCAGGTCCTTCATGAATTCCCCTGTGTCTTCTTGGAACTTAATATAATGTTGGCTGAACTTTTCTTGACAATGAGCAATGAAAGAGCACAGCGCCCCTCGAGCATAATCTGTGCGAACATTCGATGAAGGCGTGTTACCATAGATAATCCGAACTGTATCTGCTAGACGGGCAGACGCTGGTTCGGATGAAAAGTCATGCTCTTCCAGAAGAGGTTCGAAACAATCTATCATTTGGCCAAGAGCATAGTGTTGCAGGTCTTTGACAAGGTAACGCAAGGCGAATGAGTAGACCTTCGCATGTAGCACTAGCGCGTCTCCCGCGCAGCTTCGAAGAGTTGAAGGAAAGCTTTTCTTGGAATCTATTAACATAATCAGCAGGCCGTGAGATGAATTGTTCTGGGTGACTTACTGCGTGTAGTGGATGATTTTTTTAGGATTGGGTCCTCTTTGTCTGAAGGACTTGCCCTGGGGCCCTGCAATGTTCCGCATAGCAGAACATCAGGACACAGTCGATGGTTTCTTCATCGAAATCGGACCAATCCAATTCTTCTTTTCCGGCATTTTTCCAAGGCGCAGTCACCCTGGCGGTCAATGCAGATTTGCCTTGGATCAGAGCACCGGGATGGATATGGTAAACGGTCTTGTTTTCCCCCACAAGGGCCTTTATTGTGCTTTCCCTCCATATGCTTTTTCGGTCGTTAGCTTTTGAGTTTTGTTGAGGAAGAAGTGGTATTGTTACCTTTTGAATGGCTCTTCCCCGACTGAGGTCATGATGAACTTCGTGCAGTGTGTCAAGAAAGATAGAGGAATTCACGATATTGGTGTAATCAAGGATGAGATGAAGAATTTGAGATAATCAAGAGGTCCGCACTTGATGATCCGATCACCCGGGTCTCGATTGGGGTGTTCCTCTTCGGCGAGAGAACGAGCTGTCGCAACTTGCTCTTAGAAAGCTGAAGGGCTCGGTGGACGTATTTGGCAAAATGAAGCCATGGAGAGAGATGGTTGTATGAGAAAATATGATGAGAAGAGACGGTTGAATAAGAAGAGAAGTTTGAATGTGGAGGGAGGCTCAAGTACTCGCAACAAACCCGGAACACGGGGATGTTTCCTTGAACATCAAAACATCATGATCTATCTTGGAACCGCATCCTTCTCGAGGTCGGCATAAGATTCTGACTGGTGATTTGTCTCATATTCAAAACTATAAGAACGAATTCAAGCCCAGGACAGACAACAAGGTCATCTATTTTTGTCATGGGTCAGGTAAAGCAAGCCAGATTTTATCCAAGACAGCCCTATCCATCGGCCTCATTTATAAGTCTTTTCAAATATTACGACAAATATATACATATACAGAATATATGCAACCTTCAGAAGCATCTTATCAGCTACTATCATGCAAGCTGGTCCAATCAACCAGAGCGTCGGCCTACTCATTCCACTATCGCTTCACTTAACTTCATTGTCTTTACCCACTTAGAATCTTTGATCAATTCTGTTTCACCTGCAGCTTTCCGGGCTTTATTTGCCTACCTATCTGTAGGAAGTTACACAACGTCGGTCTGATGAACGCGAAATTCAACTGACGATGGACGCCTGTTATACAGCCACACAAACATAATCCTTCCGTCTACCTTTATATCCTCTTCATACCAAATAAATTTTCTTCATTCTTCTACCTTTCTTCATCGACCACTGGCACATGCAGTTGTGGAATATAATTGTGATATGCATCATGGGGTCGCTAGAAGGGAAATCTTTTGAAAGGTACCGACATCACTTTATATCCATTGCCTCATTCCAATCTTGACTAATGCCCAAAAAGCATCTTCGTGGAAGATCCGAGGAAGGCCATTGTCGGCAAAAGCAAAACCATCTTTTACGTCCATCCTGGTGCTTTACTTCGGGGTAACTCTGCGTTGACTGCTAGGCTGATTGGGCCATGGAAGAATGCCGGGCAAGAAACATTGGACTGGTCTGCTTTTGACGAAGAAACCATCGACTGTGTCCTGAAGTTTTGTTATGGTTTGCGGCAATGTGATATCCCATGCCAACCAGCCATCAACAGCGGAGACTCAGGGCTACAGCTAGATCTAGTGTTGGCCAGACCAGGGATTGATAGCGGTAAGTTAGCTGAAGTATCCAAGATCCTGGGTATCCTGGACTTGGCTCTCAGGTTACTCACTTTTTTTTCTTTACCAAGATACTCAACCTCTCACCCCGCTCGCCACTCGAAGCTACACGGGAGATGCTATAGTGCTCTATGCAAAGGTCTATTTGTTCGGCTATCATTATCTGGTTGAAGTTGGCCAAGATGAAGGACTGTTTTGAGCCTTGCATGAAAGAATACAGCTCTTCTCCCCAAGCAACTAGTGGCTGTCTGGCAGAAGCGGTTCGGATTATTTATGAAAGCACTCTGTCGTCAAATGCCAACATGGATGCTGCTCGCAAAGCGCTAGTCATGTTCATTGCCTCATTTTATGACACGCTAAGTGGCGATTTTGCCAAATTTCACGAAGAGACTGGCGACTTCATGGTTGACTTGGCTTGTGAGTTGGTGAGACTGCTTCGGTCATGCAAAGATGATCTTGGAAACAAGAACTCCGAAATCCACACTCCAAAAGGCCAAACACGAAGGAGAGGACAAAGTTACCTGTGATTTGGCTTATTTGGCCATACTTACCCGAAGCATTATTTTCCTTTCTTGCTTTTGTTTGAATAGAAGTTTGCCAGTCATCATGATCTGAATTCGAAGTGATAGAGTATTCAATGCAATCTAAATGAAAATCTCACTCCAAAGGGTAATATGCACAACATATCCATGTGGCACCCAATACATTGGTTGCTTATGATTGGATGGAAGCATAATCCATACTCGACTCGCCTGTTAGAGAGGGCTATGCGATTGGCATGTAGGGGTTCATCGAAGTCATCCAACCGAATGTAAGCGATAATGCGTAGATCTATTGGCAATCTGTGCATGACCTGGTCCCCCTATTTCTCACGGCAACATGATATTCGCCCCCTTTCGTTTAAATAGACCGTCTTACCTAGTAATCTTTTCCCTCACCGATAATTTGTATCTAAGTAATAGTGCGCACGATGCTTTCGGAAATCAAGATCTCTTCGTCCAGTCTAATCCAATTATTTACCAGCCTATCTATCGGGGCTATTTTCACTCTCATCATATATCGATATTGGTTTCACCCACTCAGTCAATTTCCTGGCCCCCCCATTAGCGAGGATCTCTAGTCTTTGGGAGGTATGGCAGGACATAATCTGCCAGGGCAACTTCCCACAATCCATAAACGAGCTCCATCGAAAACACAGTAGGTGATATCAACAAGAAAGTAGACCATTTCAGCTAACCATCTCTTAAACTCCAACGTAATTCGTATCGCACCAAATCACCTCCATATCCATGATCTGGACTTTCACTACAAGTATGTTTCAGAGATGATTACAACCCATATAAATACCAGTTTAATCCAAATTCCACAGAATTTCAAAAGTCAACTCGGATTACCTCAAAGATCCCAAATTCTACGGAAATCTGGGCGTTCCCAATGCATTAGGAAGTCTATGCGACCCTCATAAGCATCGCATTTTACGCCGCCGGGTGAATCCTCTCTTCAGTCAACAGACTGTTAATCAAATGGCGGGAGATATCCAGAAAAAAATCGAGCATGCCTGCGACAGGGTTTCAACTAACTTCGATGCTCAGTTTTTCTTCCGCGCAATCGCAGTATGAATCCCTTAGATCTTATGGTGTATCGGGTGTATTCTCACAAACTTGCGAAACCAGGGAGATATCGTCTCTGCACACTATTTCGGAGAGAACATGAACCTCATCGACAGACCCGAGTATGCGCGCAACCTCTGGGATGGCATCGACACAATGGTCAGACAGATGTGGTACTGTATGTCCAAAGCAAACTCCCAAAATGGAAACATGTGCTAACCCCCCGACGAGCGATTCATATTCCGTATCTCGCGAGCGTCCTGGTAAACATGCCGATTTTCGTTCTCAAGATCTCATTTCCGGGATTTGCGGGTCTGATAGAGGTACGAGCTTCATACCTTATCCTCATCCGTAATCTGTACTTGCTGAGGTTTTCGGGCATAGTTGTGTATGCGACAAGCTGAAAAGGCTATCGAACGAAATAAAACCAAGTCTACTCCACTCAAGAATCACAACAATGCCACTTTCTTCGATTTACTTATGGCACCGTTGCCAGGGCAAGAATCAATCCATCTTAGCCGAGATGATATGGTCAATCATGGTCTAAACCTTGTTGGTGCAGGGGTAGACACAGTATCACTCGCCATGACAACCGCGCTCTATCATGTCCTTTCATCCCCGGAGATCCAACGTCAAGTGTACAAGGAGGCACAAGAAGCAACGCCTTTTGTACGCGATAAACTTGATTCGCAACGGATCCGAACACTGCCATATCTCGTAGGACCAACACCGTTTCGCGTCGTATGGATCGCTAACAATCTTCCAGGCAGCCGTTATCAAGGAAGCTTTGCGCATGTATCCCCCAGTCCCAGGTAGACTGCCACGCATTGTCCCGCCACAAGGCGAATCCTACGATGGGAAATTCATACCGGGTGGTGTAAGCAATCTCTGATAATATGACTCTGTACCTCTATCGTAGCTTTGGAAAGTCTGACCATCGCATAGACGACTGTGTCAATGTCCCCGTACACCATCCACCGAGATCCGGTACTGTTCCCAGAGCCGAATGTCTTCAAGCCGGAGCGGTGGCTAGGTGACAACACACCTGAGCTGGAAAGGGCTATCATAGCATTCGGCGGTGGAAGTCGCATGTGTCCCGGAATCCAGTGAGCAGGCTCAGATCATTTTTATGTTTTTCGCTGTCGTCACTAATTCATAAAAGTCTAGCGTATCTTGAGATGCAAATGACTCTCACTACACTCTTTAGTCGATTCGTCCTTGAACTTGAGAGTCCGCTTCCGAGCCCAGAGTTGGATTGGAAAGATCATTTCGTCGTTGATCTTGATCATCCAGTCAAAGTGAGAGTGCTGGCTGATCACTGGACAAGTGAACAGGACCGTACAGGCCTGCCTAGTTGTTAAGTCAAAGTTTAGTATCAATGAGAAACTGTTGGCTTTGATATCATTTTCTATACCATATCCCTAAACCATCGGTCATTCAATATATTGTTTGCAGATGCCCTAGTAGAAGGCTCAAACTGCAGGTGTTTTCCGATGATACCCCCAAGCTGAACTACATCATCTTCTGTCAACTCCGCCTTGCCATCGCTAGTACAATACAACTCCTCGAACCATTAAGTCTTCGTCGTCGGAAGGAATATGGTGGAAAAGGGAATGGCTGATCTAAACAGCTACGTCAATGTCGTTATATACAAATCATCGTTGACAAGGTTTTAACATCAATGAAACTGTCGGCAAGAGCTCAAAAACAACCCAATCGCGTGGTCTACGAGAAGCAATTATTAAATTACCAAAAGAATTCAGTCTTGAAATGTATGATTGCATTGACTATCATGTAGGAAAATATTTCGTTAATATCACTAACTCCATTCCGCCAGTCGAAATAGATGGCGAAATACAAAAGCAGAACCCAGATCGGGGGAAATCAAAACATATCCATCGCTGGTCCCGATACAAGCGGCAGACGTCGGCGAGAGGATCTAAAGATCATCACCAAAAAAAAAAAGAACGCCATGCAAAAGACTTATTCAACCTGTTTGGGAGAACAAGAAACAAGGAGAAAAAGCAAATTTTAACCGTCGCTCCAACTCTCTAAACCTGGGGAGCAGCGGCAAGGACATCGGGGGTGGCCTCGGAAGAGTACTTCTTGAAGTTCTCGTTGAAGAGGACAGCAAGCTTGGTGACCTCATCCTTGAAGGAAGTAGAGGCGGTCCAGCTCTTCTCGGGGTTGAGGAGCTCACTGGGGACACCGGCGCAGGAGGTGGGGACGGGCAGGTTGAAGGTAGCGTAGGTCTCGTACTCGGCCTTGGCGAGCTCGCCGTTGTGGATGGAGTCCAGGATGGCACGAGTGTACTTGAGAGGGCAACGCTTACCACCAGTGGTGGCACCGGCGCCAACCCAGCCGGTGTTCAGGAGCCAGGCGTTGACCTTGTGCTCCTTGATCTTCTCGGCCAGCATGTGGGCGTAGCGCATGGGGTGAAGAGCCAAGAAGGGCTGAGCGAAGCAAGAAGAGAAGGTAGCCTGGGGCTCAGTGACACCATCCTCGGTACCGGCCATCTTGGAGGTGTAACCGGAGATGAAGTGGAACATGGTCTGCTCGGGGGTGAGCTTGGAGATGGGAGGCAGGACACCGCGGGCATCACAGGTGAGCAGAATGATGTTGGTGGGGTGGTTGTCGCTGACGCAGGGAATCTTGGCGTTCTCGATATACTCAATGGGGTAGGCGCAACGAGTGTTCTCGGTGAGAGTGGCATCATCGTAGTCAACAACACGGGAGATGGGGTCGAAGACAGTGTTCTCGAGGACGGAACCGAAGCGGATGGCGTTGAAAATATCGGGCTCCTTCTCGGCAGAGAGACCGATGCACTTGGCGTAGCAGCCACCCTCAATGTTGAAGACACCGGTGTCGGTCCAGCAGTGCTCGTCGTCACCAATCAGCTTGCGCTTGGGGTCAGCGGACAAGGTGGTCTTGCCAGTACCGGACAGACCGAAGAAGACAGTAACATCGCCGTTCTCACCCTGGTTGGCAGAGGAGTGAAGAGTGAGGACGTTGTGCTTGACGGGCATCTCGTAGTAGAGAACGGTGAAGACACCCTTCTTCATCTCACCAGCGTACTCGGTACCGAGAATAACCATCTCCTTGTCGGCGAAGTTAATGGCCACGGAGGTGGCGGAGGTCATACCCTCAGTGAAGCGGTTGGCGGGGAAAGAGCCAGCGTTGTAGATGACATAGTCGGGGTGGAAGTGGTCGAGCTCCTCACGCTTGGGGCGGATCAGCATGTTGCGCATGAAGAGAGCGTGGTAGGCGCGAGCGCAAACAACGCGAACGCTGATACGGTAGCGCTCATCCCAGCCGGCGTAACCATCAACGACATAGATGCGGTTACGGGTGTTCAGGTAGTCGACAGCACGCTCACGGTTGATACGCCAGACCTGTTGAAGATGTATTAGTCACCAGCCTTATATTGACGTCATGCACGTGATAGCCTCGGCCGAAGGGCGGGGATGCGGAGCAACAACTGAAAGCCGAGGGGCAAATGGGTGGAGGCGAAAAGGAAAAAAATGATGGAAGGAAGTATTCTCAAAAGGGAATGAGAGATACATTGGCAGAGAAGGCATCTCAAATGTTGCACGAAGTCCTGCCACAAAGCTTGACCTTCCGATGCATATGCAAGGGATACAAGTGGATCTCATCGGGCTTATCTGCAAGGGTGTGCTCCAACATCGAGAATGAAGTATCAAGTAAAATGGCGCATAGAAAGTAAAAAAAAAAAAAAAAAAGGAACTCACATCAAGTGTCATGGGCTTGTTTACGGGTCCCCACCAGATCTCATTCTCTGATGAAGCCTCTTGGACGATACGCTTGTCGGAGGGGGAACGGCCAGTCTTAGCACCGGAGTATGCGCTCAAAGCACCGCTGGAGGTGACAGCAGTACCAGTCTCGTAGACAAGAGCATCTTCATAAAGGGCAGGAACAGAGGGGTTGGCAATCTAGTTCATGTTAGTTCATGAAGCAAAGTAAAGAATGGCATAGACATTATCTAATGTCAAGCGCAAGGGTGGCGAGGTCTTACAATGGAGACTCGGTCGTAGTCAATGTGAGCGGTCTCGTGAAGTTCCTCCTCAAGCTCGGTGTGACCCTTGCTAGGCCTAAGTAAAGACGGTTAGCGACGATGAGGTGAGGACAGTGAGGTAGGAAGGTAACATACTGAACACCACCAGGGTGCAAAGCAGTGCGATTTACAGATGTGGCAACCATTGTTCTGAGTGAAGTAGAGTGATAGTTATTGTTGCGTTGTTTCGCGATCTGCTGTTGAGTGAAATCTGATGCCAGAGGACCAGGAGAGTTGGAGCGGTCGAGGGGTATATAATCCTTTCCGGCAGAGGCCATAGTCGCGATCGGTCTTGGTATGAAGGGAGGTTCTCGTGCAGTTTCCGTGGTGTTTCTCCACAGTTCCACGGGTGATGTCGGGGCTGAAACGCCGAGCTGAAGCGGACACGCGGTTGGTGATGGGATCAAGTCCGTAGGTTGCAAATGCCTCGAGGCGCAGTCCGAGTTGACCCGAATGGTTCAAGTGGACACGAAGTTGATTCGGAACTAACAAGGGCTCTATGACCGGGAAGGCGAATAGCGGAAAAAAACGATTAGGCGTTCTAGAATCAAAAATCACTCATTTGAATTTTGAGTGGTTTTACAAGGGGAAGTTGATGAGTCCAGTGCATGAGCTCTTTTATGCTTGCTCTGACGGTTGCGGCGAAGTCCCTAACCTATCTAACCTAGGTTCCATTTTACAAATTTCGTCAATCATTTCAGAATTAGACTTGAATTTTGGATATATTTCAACTTTTAGATAATTCTTTCAGCCACAGAATGACGCACAATGACTTCACTGAGATGATCTCAAGAATTCATACCTCGAATCGCGGGGGGCTGACATAATCGTCGATCTTCGGGGCAGTGATCTTTTTTTTTTCAAGGCAGAATCGCCCATTTTCGGCTTCAATCAACCCGAATATCGGAATGTGCTGCCCGAAGAAAATGAAATCAAAAAAATTGACCAAAAAATCCTCTTCCTGAGAACCCCGGATGACGACAAGTTCGGCTGCAAATCGGACAAAATTCAGCAGCAAATAACGGCGTTTAACCAGCCGAGGATGATGGCACCTGCATCCATCCATGGCGGCGGTGGAGACCAATCAAAACGCATATATTTCCACCTCCTAGGATGGTCGGGTGGGCAGAAGATATTGCCGCTGGGGCCTAAGCCCTATTTTCACTGGTTTATACTGATTTCTACAGGGTTTGACTGGTTTTCACTGGCCGAGCAACAATCACACATGTGCAATAGGACGCCTCCCCGTACCTGGGTCTCCAAATCCAAGCCCTATAGTAAAGCAAACTCCGTGCATATTACGTCCCAACGCCGAAGGCGATGGCCTGGAACACGGATTTCTTGACTCAAAGCATAAATCTCGCACATGAGGCGGTCTGCCGTGATTTTGAGGGTTCTTATCGGCCACCATCGCCGTCGGGCTGTGTACAGATGTGGCGTATGGCAAAATCAACCCCAGATCCTTTTCCCCGTTAGCGGCGGATCCCGAACCGGCTACGGCCTCGGGAACGTGAGCTTTTTTTTTTTTCATTTCCTTGCATTCTTCGTGAAACAAGTAGTTATTTTTGCGCGATTTGTTTCATCTTACGTAGTGGCTTCTCTTTTTTCAATCCGCCTGATCATTTTCCATTTTTTGGCCTTGCGTGTGACACGAATATTTGATTGCTAGAACTGCCGGCCATTGTGAGGCTTTTTTCACACCCTGAAGAGGTAAGGACTGGTGGAGAAAAGGGGTTTTCCCCTTGTCTCTCCTCCACAAAACCAGACTATGTATAGTCATACTCCGGAGTAGAAGCCATGTGATCTTCCATGACTCTATTCACACATTCCCGGATTTGCCCCTTTTACCCACATTTTCTTATCCGGGTCAACATTCACCAACATAACGAAATTCTCGGTGCTTGATATTAATCACCAATCATTTCTGAAACTTAGCTTCCTAATTTACCCGTTGTGATATGCTTCTTGTCTTTCATTCGAGTCTATCTATCTAAAATATCTGCCCAACCAGTGCCGATTTCGAAACGGCCTGGGCCGATTGGAAGGGGAACTAAGATCGACTCATCTCCTATTTTCCCCGAGGCTACCTCTAGCGCTCGGCTGCACGTCATTGATATTATTACTTCATCGGAGTACAATAATGAACAGGTTCAACCTTGGAATAATCCATACAAAAAAAGACTAGGATATTTGACTCCGATCCCATGACTGACATCACGTATTTTTCTCCGATCTTGACACATTTCGGTCGAGGCGCACTTCTTGGCATCTTGGCTTTTATCTGGGGAAATTGTCGCGTGGTCTCGACCTGCGGATGCGGGGTATAGCGCTGAAGTTAACACCAGTCAAACGGCACAGATTACTGCACAGATTACTGACTCGGCGATTTCCAATATATGCTACATGCGGTTTGGATTGTAATTTGGCGATGCCACGTCCTATTGCGCTATGGTCGAGGATGTGTATTTTCTGAGTTTTACAGTAGCATTGGCAGCTGAATATGTCGTCAATGGCGGATTAGGAAGGCGAGGAAATGTGACATCAAATACTAGAACGGGGCATGATCTCCAGAGAGTTCAGGTGCAAGAACAGATTGCGCGTTTTTGAAAATGAAATCCCTACAATATAGTTTAGCTGTTCGCCACGGTAGACGCTAATCTCTTGACCTAAAAGGGCCGTCCACTGTAGTATACTACTTCGAATTTGGAATTATCATAGTAATTCTCGTTTAGCTGATGTCAAATTCCCAGGAACTCCTATAACCTTTATAAGGGCAAGAACGCGGAACACACGCGGATATATATATATATATATCTATACGCGATCAAGTCGGATGGTTAGCATTTACGTTTAGACGGAAGTCGATTGGTCTCATCTCTCCAGTGCAGTAAAGCGAGAATTTCTGTATATTGATCCGCACAACAGGATTACTCTATTGTTAGCTCTATGGGTGATTCAGGCCGGAGGACCTTTCAGGTATTCCCCATTCCAGGGCCGCACTACATAGCTTTCCCCAAATTGAACTCGGCTCTCCCAATAAATCACCAGGAGCTTTCAAGGACTGATCGCTTTTTGAGATAGGCCGGATACCAGATCAATGACGATCAAGAATATGTCTCAGTCTTTGGAGGATATAAGTCGAAAATACCTGTACAAATTCTAGCATTCTAAGATCTGTCGCCGTTATTCGCCAGCCAATGTCAAATTAGAGTATGATGATATCAAGTTTGATTCGGATAGCCATTGGGGATTTAGTCGATGTGCAAAGCTCGAATCAGGAAATGTATCGTGGTTTGATATAGACAAGTTCTAGTAGCACTCGGCCGTCAGAGTAACTTGACTTTGGGTATCAATATCTTGAACTAGAAAGAGTCAAAAAATTCTAATACAAAATAACCTCAATACTCGTAGCTCCGACCTCCACCCATTCACCGAGTAAGTTTCGTGCAACGCCAGTAACAAGCTGGTGGTAGTTAGGGGGCGGAACAGCATCAAGAGGATGCTTTCGGCTTGGGTCACCAGCGATCCAAAGGACAGGATCTTGCGAGATACAAGCGACGTTCACGCGCAATGCTTCGATATCCTCCAACTCAAGCCCACGACCGAAGAGAATTGCACGCACAGGCCAGCTGTAGTATTTCGTGCCGACGTCGTTGGCGTGGGGAGATTGGGGATCCTGGCCTGCGAGAAGATGAGGTGTTTCGCATTGCGCTGCTGAGAGGCTTTGGATGAAATGGGTTACTAGTGAGTGCTAGCTAGCTTGCCGTGAAACGATTCAGGGTCTGTTATAAAAAAGTAATGTATGCTCTAGGGACCTTCAAGTCCGGGGAGAAGACGGGGAGAAGAAGCTCCCAAGCCGGCTTGCCGATCCCGGAGTTTAGGGCACAGAGCACGATTAGGGGTGGGGGGGGGCATTTTGGAGGTGTGAAAGACGGGTGAGACTGTCTATATTTTTCTCCTGACATGATAGAAAGTTGAACAGTGGAACTTATAAACCGAGCAGACATCTCTATCTTTATTTTGAGGTTCGGAGTCCGACCTACTCGATGCGGCTCGGGAATGGAGACAAAAGAGCCCCACGGGGTTAATGTTGGGACTAGCGTCATGCGGGAGTATAGTAGTTCCAGACAGTGAGAATCAGGTGGAATTTATGTCTCGACTTAGGCTGTTAGCGATAGATTCATCAAACTCATGCCCACTACTTAGGTACCTATCATGGATTGCAACTTGGTAGCTGGTTCCACCCCTGGGCCAGATGTGACTCCACAATGTGTCTAACCGTCATATACTACCACCATTGGGGTTATGGGCACCCTACAAAAAATTTGCTTTTAATATCAACACCCAATGCGTACTATTTCCAGTTGAGTTTAAAATCAGACAGAGATCATTCAGGTCCCGCCCTGAGTGACTAATAACTTACATCATTCGTCCATATAAACAAGACGTATCGTCCATTCTTTCCTTTTCACAAAGAAAACGTCCAAATAAAACATGGCATCCACCTCGCCCCCTCCATCCCGCGCCACACTCAGCAACAAGGCCCACAGATACCGCATACTCTCAAGCCTTCTCTCCCTACTAGACCGATACCTCTCCTGGCCCCTTCCCCCAAGGCCAAGCATCGACATCGCCATTCCCTCAAAAATAAGCAAAGCTCCAGGATCGATCCAGCTCTACTTCTTCACAGCACCCTCAAACCCCCTCTCACCCCGTAAGCAAACAAAGCCAATCCCGCCCCGCCCCGTCCTCATAAATTTCCACGGCGGTGGCTTCTCAATCGGCCACGCTCTCGACGATGCCCGCTGGGCTGGATACGTGCTAAAAGCCTACCCAGACACAGTAGTGGTCAGCCTCGATTACCGTCTAGCACCTGAACATCCCTTCCCCGTCGCCCTGGAAGACGGCGTCGATGCAATACTATGGCTATGGCAACAAGCCCAGAAATACAACCTTGACAAAACGCGCTTTGTGCTCAGCGGATTCAGCGCAGGTGGTAACCTCGCTCTGGCAGTACCATTCCGGCTTCATGAGGAATTACAGAAAAAGCGCTGGACATCGCTACGCGGGGAGATAGCATTGGCTGGATTGGTTGTATTCTACCCCAGTACAGATTGGACACGAACGCGGATACAGCGCAATGCTACGAATCCTATCGCCGCACAGAAATCAATGATCTCCCCTTCGATGTTCAATTTCTTTGACAATTCATATCTTGTCGCTGCGGGACTGCCGAAACGGCCTGGCACAGATCGGGTGGATATGTCGCATCCTTTTCTTTCACCTGGTCTGGCGCCTGCATCTCTATTGTCTGCGGCGTATCCACATGCTGTCGCGATTTATACTTGTGGGTGGGATCAGTTGCTTGTTGAGGGGAATACGTTTCGGGAAAGGCTTGGTGGGTTTGTTGAGGAAGGGAGGACGGCGAGTGTAGGTGGGTTTGTAGTTGAGGATGTTGTGCATGGGTTCGACAAGAAGCCGTCTTTTTGGAAGGGAAGTCAAAAGCGTGAGAGAATGTATGCGGATGCTATTAAACAGTTGAAGATGATGTGGAAGGTGGATTGAGATGATTCACCAAGTTGATTCTTTACATACTACATTATTACCCTTGCGGCAACATATACCCTTCCCCGAATTCCTTTTGGAAAAAAAAGAACACAAGGGTAGCGGCCGCTTATGCGGCCTTGGGATGTTTTTACAACCCACGGCTGAATATGTCCCGAACATGCAGTCAATAGACCTTTCCAGTTTCTCATCGGAGTACCTGTAGAAGCTCAGGGATATACTCGAGGACATTCATCTCGCGGGGATCTTTCATGGTGATCCTATGCCGAGAAATATGATTATTTCTAGGGTCCAGGGTAGGGTCCCCTAGGTAGATTTTGATTCTGCCGACACATTCTCTAAGAGTCTTTTAGCGAGATAAAGGACTTGGATTGAGTAAGAGAATAAAATGATAGATTACTTTAAAGCTTTGGTAACGTCAGACCAACTTTTGAGTGGCATCGGCTGACTGACAGTATGCCAGGCTCAAGGTCACGAGGGAGGTGAATTGTATAATGCATACTCTTACTATCACGATTGGTTTGCTTAGATGGCTTGTCAATATCACTGACGAGCGGAAGATGGAGTATGGACTTTTATGAAGGTCATTATTCAGTCCCAGTCTCCCAATGCGAAAAATTAGTCAACTTGTCGAATCATATGTCGAGTATTACTGCTCTCACTCTAATATAGTCGGCCTTGCTTTTATACTGCACAGCAATCTGGACTGCTTGAGATGGTGTCCGTGACGTGGGTATCACCTTGGCTGATGATTGTAGTCGAGCAGCTTCATGGTAGGCGATAGCGAGTGGACGTTCTCAGTGCGTCCAGTTGTTGACTGAGCAGCTGTGGCCCCATTATATGCGGCTCTTAGTCTCTAAAGTGACTGTGTCCAGACCCTGTTAATAAGGACAGTCGCCCGGTCGTTGGGAATCAAGTCAGTCAGTTCAATCGTGGATAGCAATGGCCAGTAGGACGGTGGAGATGTTGTCGATGAACTTCAAACGTGGATGGATAACTGCAGGTATTTGTCTGGCATGTATCCAAACTATATGTATCCCAAAGGAGCAATGCACGAGCTTACTTGTAAAAATACTATTTGTCTAGTTCTATCACTAGACATTTCATGTAGGGGATATGTTTGCTTTCCATTCGCATCTAGATTGCATAGATTCTGAGACCAACAAACGGGATACCAAGTCAAGCCATTCCAAGGTGCTTTAAGGTCTCTCTATCCAGACCTATTAACGATCATCTGTCAATAGACTGCATGTACGTGACACTTCAGGGCTATCGAATCATGTGCCACTGAACAAATGACCCTTAGCGGGGCAGCCAGTCAGGCGGGGTAGAAAAGTCAGCAATTTTCCCAATCTACTTGACTTCTCACACATTTGCGATTCTTCAAATTACTTGAAATGTACGGACTATGTCTTGTCTGCATCTCCCGAGGACCTTGGTGGTTACTAACTCTCTGTCAGACCTACTTCATTCACAATGAACGGACACGCTGCCTGCCCCAAGTGCGGTGTCGCCACTGATGGCTCCGGCAAGAGCTGTGGCGCCTGCGGTGCTGTGAGTTGATTCTGCATTATTTCTGTGTGAGCTTATACTAACCTCACTAGACCTGCCCTGTTTAAATCATACCCTTTCGAATATGCCAGGATGCATTTGAATGTTCCGGATGAATGATATCGGAGATGAGACTGCGTGCAGTAGCGATAACATGAGGATGAGGCAGGGCGGAACTTGGATATCAATATGTTCATAGGAATAATATGACAACGGGAATGAACTCAAATCTATCCGAAACCAAGTGCGATTGTTATGTACGAAAACAAAAGAAACGACGTGAAGACATTTCCCTGAAATGAAAAAAAAAAAAAGATATAGGACTGGTCGTAAGAGAAAAGAACAACCATCAGGATATAGAATGCGCAATAAGGATACCTCCTCGTCTCGTTCCCATTTGGGCCCGGGGGTCCCGAAATCACCCAAGTAGAGGGTCGCTAACCTCCAACTTCATCAAGGGCTGACCATACACTACTTAAACGGGAACAGCGGTCTTGCGCCACTGGGACCAAACACCGATCAAACTGCTGACGGTACCTGCGATACCGACGAGGCCATCGTCGAGGTTTACGATACCAACGGCAGACAAGGGCGCGGCCAGATCGCAAACATCGGAGATGAGCTGTATCCGGGCAGCAGAGCGCTCCCTAACAACAGTGTTAGCATACCATCCAGTTTTCATTCGGGTATTAAGCAAGAATCCATACTTCTCAATCTTCTTAGCCTCCACAACACCCTCACCCTCCTTGCGGTCAATAGTCTTCTCCTTCTCCTGGAGACGAACAAGAGTGTAAACACCAGCCACGGCGCTGAAAATCAAACCAGCGCCCCAGGAGCGGTAGGCGGAATCCTGTAGCCGCTTGGCGGAAGCCAGCTTCCGAATGCCGATCGCATCAATGACTGTGACGGCGTCGAGGGTCAGGTAACCGGCATAACCGAGCTGACGGCCGATGGCCAAGTAGCGCAGAACGGGGTCAACGGGGTTCTTGTTATCAAAGGCAATAGCGGCGGCCTTGAGATGCTCGAGGAATTTGCCGATACGCATAATCTTGCGAGTCGTGCCGAACTGCTTCTTCACGGCATTGTAAGGGTCGATCGCGGACTGCGGCTTGTTCGTCCTGTATAGGTACCACGCGTAGAAGCGGGAGAAGTATTGGATTGTGCGGAGGAGCTTGTCGCGGCCGACTATCGATTGCGTATACGGTTAGCTTGAATGCTCGGATAAGGGCGGGGGAGAGCTCAGCTGAGTTTCTCGGCCGAGTGTTCGTCACATAGGGGTATTTTGCCGCAGTTGCGATGCAAAATGGGAGTGTTTTGTTCGTGCACGCGTAGAGAAACTGGGAGGTTGCTTTTTGGAGTTTGGGGATGTCATCACTTACCGGTTGTCGCGACGAAGCGGAGCCAGTGCGCCAGCGCAGGGTGGTAGATGAGAGTGTTGGCGACCATTTTTGTGTTGGAAATGGATGAAAAGCTTCAAACACCTGAGGATGGAGGATATCAAGAATTAAATGTGATAGTTCATAAGGAAAGGGGAGTCGGTAATTGACCGGCGTATGGAGCCGGAGGACCGACCTCGGCTGAACTCGTGCGTGTGGGGGGAGATCCGGAGGTAAGATGTAATGGTATTTACCATTAATACAGCATTCAAGGACCTTTTTGGCCTGAGTCGTATGAAATCCCTTGAAATACTACGAAATGCTTGATCTCTGGTTTGATCGTTCAATGCGCATGTGCACTCGGCTTGTTCCTTTTCACGTGAGTCTACATATATTCGAAGAGTTATAAGATCTGTATAATCTCACATTTTATCGCTTTTATCCTCGACATTGAAGATCCCTTCGCACCTTATATCCAAATTTTGTCTAGTTCCAATTTCCGGGACCAAATAGATATCAACATTGAACCAAGCACTCTTGTCATAGTGGTCCTTGACCAGATTACATCCTAGGCCAGTCAAATGGATTCTTCTTCCCATGCTCTCCCGGATACCGTACTATAACCCTTCTAGCAGACCCTCTTGATGATGGCTATCAAAAACTCTGTCGTCAATAGGAAAGTGGAAGGAATCTGTGTTTCTTTTACTATATCGAGTACGGAGTACCTCGGATCTGCTCTTAGAGGCAAGAGGCATCGCAAGATTGGATTTACAATATTTGAAAGTGGATCGTGCGGTTTCAGAGCAATTCCGGGGTATATCGGCGAAAAATAGAGATTGGCGGAATTCACAAACTGCAACACTGATGTAGTTCTATCCGGCATTTGATATCACTGTATGCGCTAGTCCACTGAGATCTAAATGGTAGATACAGTGGGTAAAATGAGTCTTCGGATGCTTTATAGATCAGTGGCCAATGCTAAGGTTGTTGGAACTTCTCCAAGGTCGCCCGGGTATCTTGGATGGACACCGGAACCATGAGCATTCGCATTTGAAATATTATCACAAGTAGTTGAAAAACACGGGAATACCAAATGAAACAAAAGGCAGTGGCAAGGTAAGTGGAGTTTGTAAAACAAGCTCAAAGTCTCGATCTCTAGTGTGGGAGCCATTTTATGTATCTGGTTATGTGGGCAACATTGTAGTGCCCACTTATTAAATTGTTTATCATACAAGCCAGGAGCTCATCTTTTGTCCAGCAAAATGCGCCACCTAGCCTAATCACCAGCAGATTAGGCAGGATATGCCCGCGAGTCTCTGATACATTCATGGGCCACGTCGCAGGGGCAGGGGGTCGGATATCTTAGGTCGCAAGGGTTGGGTAGTCGCTGTCGCATTGATGGAAATTCCTCGTTGATATTACTGATTGTGCATTGTCGCGTATGGGTGGAGTCCGTAATTAAGCAGGGCTGGTTGGAAGACAATAGCCCCAAAGGGTGAGCAAATATGTGTCGGGCGCAGTGGGGTTAGTGATTGGGTGACCAAGTTACTCTTGTACGCGAGTTTCGGTCTGGCGGTTGCGATCGCCCATTGTCGTGGTATCGTAGCCATTAGCCTGGAGATAGTCGCGGAACCTAGCATCCTCGAAAGTGATGGTGTCCTGAGAAAAAGTCAGCACATCAACAATGGACTCCATATCCAGTAATACAGACCTGGTTAATCTGCGGCAACATGAAAATGGCCATGAATGCGGCCAAAATACACAGTGCGCTGGAGACGAAGAATGGGTCCTGGCCTGCGCGGATTGGGTTGGGTGCGTTCTTTTGGATGACTGGAATCACATAGGCGCCCACAAAAGCTCCGATTTTCCCGAAAGCAGCAGCATATGAGTAGTATTGGCCACGGATAGCAGTCGCGCTAGTCTTGGCGGCGCAGAGACCGATGTTGTCGCCAGGTCCCATCTCACCGAGGGCAGAGAAGATTCTGTTCTCACAGTATTAGCATTGACAATGGGTAAATTCGAAGAACTCCGTTGGTAAACTAACCCGAATACAACAACGAAGGCTGCCACGTTTTCCGGGGTCGCAAGCCATTTGTAACATCCGGCCATGATGAACCCGATGATGCCCTGGAGCCCAACACCAATGGCAAGGGTGTAGCGAGGGCCAATCCAGTCGCTCATGAAAGCTCCAAGGGCGGAACCTGGAATATAGAAAGAATTGACCAAGGTAGACCAACCGAAACTCTTCCACAAGGGAGCGTTGTCACCTAAGATAATCGATAGCCAAGCAGAAGAATAAATACCGAAGCTGTAGGCAGAAAAGTCGTAAAGGAACCAGATAATAGAAACAACAGCCTATCACACCCAGTCAGTTGGTCAGTTCACGCTGGTAGGGGCAGCATGTAGACGGGGTTCGTACCAAACGTTTCCAATAGAATCTGAACTTGTTAGCCAACGAGTTAATGTACTGGGGAATGTCGTACTCACTTGATGATCAGCAGGATGGGAAACTTATGCATGCGCTCCCGGGTGAACTCCTCGGGCTCATTCAACTTCAGTCGGAGGTACATTAGACTCAGAGGAGGGATTACTCCCAGCCCCAGAGCCACACGCCAGCAAGCATGCAGATGCTTCTCAGTGAAGATCAAGACCAGAATCATGGACACCAAAGCAGCAACCACGAAACCGAAATCAATCTGGAAGTTGGTAAACATCACAAACCAACGATTGCGATGACCTTGCTTGAGCTCTCCAGTATTCTCCGCCGCGCCTACTGATCCAGCAGGGTATTCTCCGCCGATTCCAACCCCCAAGAAGAAACGGTAGGCCGTCAAAGCAGCAAGCATGCCACCCAGGCTACCGCCAGCTCCATATGAGCCAGCACCGAGAGCTGCAAAGACAAACAGGATAATAGTGGAGATCATCAAAGACCATTTGCGTGACCAGTGATCACTAGTGTAGCCAAATAGCAGCATACCCACAACAGTGCCGGCAAAAACAATCGAAGAGACATTCTGTTGGGCTGTCGAGTTGGTGTATCCATCCCCGTAGATTTTTTGGAGCATGGTACCGACAGGACCAATGATCTAGATACAAGTGTGTTAGTAAGCCATGAATGAACATTCGCCAAGCTGCACATTCATGTGGAATAGTATAGCTGCGGGGCTACATGAAACCCAACATACCGCATTCAAGTAGCCATCAGAAAACAGACCAGCACCACAGGCAATAGTGGGCCAACTACGCTCCCAGCGACCCTTTTTGATCTCGTCAAGGGGTGCTAGCTCAACAGGCTGCTCCTCGAGGGGATGCGCGCCCTTCTCAGGCATCTCCTTGGAGTAGGACTGAGGCTCTGCCATTGCGATCGTGCTGAGAAGTAGCAACAAAAACTTTTGCTATGATGAATCACGCGGCGAGCTTGAGCGTGAAAGGGGTAGTAAAGTCGGCACGAGACCAATGCACAGTTACTGTGTCACCGGATCACGATAACAAGAGTCGCGTCGATCGAGTAGGAGCGTTTTCACTCTGAAAGCGAGGAGAAAGAAGAGATTTGAAGCAGTGAAAAAAGATAAAGAGCCCATAGGAGGAAAAAAATGCTAGACAATTAAAAAATATATATATTAAAAAGAAATATTAATAAAAAAAACATCAAGATTGCTCGGGAACAGCATCAATCTAAGGCGCATGGGGATAAGTACCAGGTACCTATCAGAGAGTGCAGAGGCCGGTATTTGGCCAAGTATTGGAATCTGGTGGGACCCAGCCGCCGAGCTTGATCATTCTAAGCATTTAGCTTTGGGGATTTCAGCTTGTTAAGATGTATAGGCCAATGATAGACATAGTAAATATCAAGGGCGATTCTCCAGCCAATGGTGTGTCGGACTAGAAAAGCCGGTCGGGGTATGTTGCAGTCTGCCATAAAAAAAAGTCGGCTACTCCGAGAATTCCAGGCAGAAGACTTGATATCAGTATGACAGTGAACACGTGGTTTCCCATCTATATCAGACAGGTCCATCCATTCGAAGTGTCAAGGATGTGGATGTTGATACGAGAAGAAATGGGCAATCGTATATAGCCCGTGCTTTGGTAGTTACCCCATTGGGATTGGGGGCTGGAACCACCTGCCGGATTTTGACTGAACTGGTTTTATGGAGAATCTACAGACGTCAAGTGGCCAATAGTCTCGAACATTGAAATGAAAAGGTTTTCGAAGGATTGCATTTGGAACCAACTCCCTAAAGTAGTGATATGCTCGGGCCAAGATAATTTGGAACCATTTTCATAATGGTTCAGCCTTAAGTTCGTGGAATATCAGGCCGTGAATCTTCGGGCTTAAGTCTTCGGCTTGAGCCTTGACGGGAGCACATGTACTCCGTAGTTGAAGTTCGTTTACCAAAGCCTTTCTTGGATAAAATCAACATACGGTATTCCCAGGAAGTACGTACAATGTCTTCGGTCGACCTTGATCTAATGTGACTATTATAAACCAGAGTACACAAGGTATTGCAAGCATATAATCCCCCAATAGCGAAATCTAGAGGTGCAGATATTTCTTTTGTATAGAAGAAGAAATATATGTTGAACGCTGATGCGGCCGAATCTCATACAAGACTGGTCTTGACGTTCGAAGGGCGAAGACTAAGGCTCGGCACGGAAGAACTTTCCGCCAGCTGAGCTCGGATTACGGTGATGCACCTGGCTTGATCTCATCCCCAACATCACCAGCTTCCATCCTCTCCCTGCTCTATTGCATCGTCTTTTTTCTTCTCTCGTGCTACTCCGGTCAGCATCTCCAGCTCCCCATCGTCATCATGGGGTCTGATCCGCAATACATCAAGTTCCCTAACCTCTCTATCGCCCAACATGTCTTCAACCTCTCCAACCCAGCATGCGCTCCAGCCGTCCAGCAATCATCATTGAAGAAACTCCAAGATGTTATCGTGGAGCAAAAAATGGCTCCCTTCTATCGGCATCTCGCCCATCCTACCGAAGGCATCTTGAACAACTCCGGCGAGGGCGTAACACAGCTCCCACAAAATGGCAACTCAACAAAGCCTCTCATCACGTCCAATCTTCTTGCATCTCGCAAAACACCGCTCAAGTTTGATTTCCCTTGGGATGAGAATCTCTACCAGTCTCTACTGGAGGATAACAAGAAAGAACTGGAGACCTTCCAGAAGGAGGAAGATGACGCAGAAGAGGCTGCTGGGGAGACCGAGGTACAAGCTGCGCGTGGGAAGCGAGCCGAGTTCTGGGCTCGTGTGGGAGATAAGGTGAGGATTCATATTGTTTATCAAGCTTCTTGAGTGTGCTAGCTGACACCACTATTCTAATAGGACAAAGCACTTGAATCGCACGAAGCCCTCCTCGAAAAGACCGGATTCCTCGGCACCAAGATTGATCTGGTGATGGCCATGCTCCGCATTGGACTCTTTTTCGGCGACCTTTTGTTTGTGAACAAGACCATTGAGCGAGCAGAGACCTTGGTGGAGAGTGGTGGAGACTGGGACCGTAGAAACCGTCTCAAGGCATACAAGGGATTACATTTACTCACCATTCGTTCCTACAGCCTTGCTGCTCCTCTTCTCCTCGACAGTCTGTCTACATTCACAAGCTACGAACTTTGCAGCTATTCTTCGCTAGTGATTTACTCGGTGCTTGCGGGATCATTGTCCCTCAAGCGTGTGGACTTCAAGGCTAAGGTAGTGGATGCACCAGAGATTAAGGCCATCCTTGGCTCCGGGGAAGACCAATTGGCTGCACTGAGTGGGGAAATCTCCTCAGGTCCAGGTGCCCGGGATGAGGAGATGAAGGATGCAACGGCGTCACTGCCCACACCCGCCGGTGCCAAGACCGCTGTCAACATCTCCTCTTTCTCAACCGGCTCCGGTGCACCGATAGAGGCTGAGGTGCCAGTTGATTTCGCCCCGCTCGCGAACCTGGTCACCAGTCTCTATAACGGTAACTACCGCTCGTTCTTCAAGGCACTCGCAGCCGTTGAGGATCAGTTCCTGACACAAGACCGATATCTGCATGAGCACCGGGCTTGGTTCGTTCGTGAAATGCGGCTGCGCGCTTACCAGCAGCTTCTTCAGAGCTACCGTGTGGTGGGATTGAGTGGTATGGCTAACGACTTCGGTGTGACGGTGGACTATTTGGACCGGTATGTGCTGTCGAATTTCTTCAAATATCAAGTCATTTGCTGACCGTAATCACAGGGATCTTGCCAAGTTCATTTCGAACAACCGCATCGCATGCACCATCGATCGTGTCAATGGTATCATCGAGACGAATCGACCAGATGACAAGAACAAGCAATATGCCGATGTGGTGAAGCACGGTGACTCTCTGATCACCAAGATTCAGAAGTACGGCCAAGCTGTGCGTCTCCGGGGAAGTGAGCGAAGTTAAAGTGGTACATCTACGGACTTGGGAGGCATTTTAGACCTCAAAACTACAACCTATGATCAACTATGTATGCCTGAATGGAGAATCTTACTGTGTGTGTCCTTGAACGCATTGACACCATAATTCCTATAACATGCCACACCATGACATGATCCATCCCCTGACAAAAAAAAAAGTAAATCCTTTTACCCGCACGGGGCAGCGGAAAATCGCTCAGCATCGGGCAACCAGTCTGACTTTCCCTCGGAAAATGATCGTCGCCGATCATGTTATCATGCATGAACGTGGATGATCCTCCAATTGGGATGTGTACGCTGTATACGCATAGTTTTCATTCTCATGGACCAAATCCTCTGTAGCCGCATCTCCCGCCGGTGTCTCCAAATGTCTGATATCGCAAACATCCTTATCGTAATCGGCTTGTGGGGAAATGCTGAGTCAGTGGCTCACCGCCCAATGGCCAGAGATATTTTTTTTCCTCCTTCTTCTCCCGAGCGCAGAATAAGCACGACGGCGGTGTCCAAAAGGACTTTGTTTAATTGATCAATCCAATCTTTGATTGACCATCCGTCAAAATGTCCTGGCAATATAAGCTCGCATCCAGCATGCGGGCCTCTCCGCTACGGGCGCTTGGCCCTAATGGCCTCCTACATCGCCCGGCCGCACGTGGCGCTGCGGGGTGTCTCTCCGCTAGATCAGGTACGTGAGATCCCGATATCACCCCAGCTTACATAGTTGGGACCTCCGCAATCCTTTGGCGTTGGCTTTTTACCTCATTTTATGGTGTGACTCCTTGTCTTGGCCATATCTTCCCATTGCCAGTTGCAATCTCAATTTCTCGGCAACCTTTATATACTTGATTGTCCTCCCACCTTCAGGGATACTACATAGTCTCTTCATCCCAGACCTGACTAACCTCTTTCGGGTTAACACAGAGCCCATCATGACTCAAACCACCGTCTCATTTACCGCTAAGCGCACCCTCTCGGCCGTCCAGACCCGCAAATGTCTCAACGTCGACAACATCAACCAGCAAGTCAAGGAGGCCAAATACGCCGTGCGCGGTGAATTGGCCGTCAAGGCTGAGGCCTACCGCCAGCGTCTGAACGATGGCGACAAGTCCCTGCCTTTTGAAAGCGTCATTTTTGCCAACATCGGTAACCCCCAACAGCTCGACCAAAAGCCCATCACCTTCTTCCGCCAGGTCCTCAGTCTCGTCGAGAACCCCTTGTTGTTGAAGAACCCCGAGGTCCTCAAGGAGTCATTTGGATACAAGCAGGATGTGATTGACCGTGCCCAGGCCCTTTTGGCCAATGTTCAGAGCGTTGGTGCCTACAGTCACAGCCAGGGTGCACCGGGTATCCGGGACAGCGTTGCCAAGTTCATTGAGAAACGTGATGGCTTCCCTGCCAACCCTCAGGACCTGTTCCTGACCAGTGGTGCCTCGTCTGGTGTGAGCACCATGCTGAATGTCATCTGCAACGATCCCAAGGCCGGTATCCTGGTCCCTATTCCCCAGTACCCTCTTTACACTGCAAGCTTGACGCTGTTGAATGCTCGCTGCGTTCCTTACCTTCTCGAGGAGGATAAGGCATGGGGTACTGACGTCAACGCCATCCTCAAGTCCATGGAGGAGGCCAAGGCCGCCGGCACCGATGTGCGCGCCATTGTTGTCATCAACCCTGGTAACCCTACCGGTGCCTCCCTGAGCGCCGACGACATCAAGAAGGTCCTTGATGTCGCTGCCGCGGAGAACTTGGTGGTCATCGCCGATGAGGTGTACCAAACCAACGTTTTCAAGGGCGAGTTCGTCTCCTTCAAGAAGCGTCTTCGCCAGCTTCAGCAGGAGCAACCCGGCAAGTACGACGACGTCGAGCTGGTCTCACTTCACAGTATCTCCAAGGGTATGGTCGGTGAGTGCGGTCACCGCGGTGGCTACTTCGAGCTTGCTGGCTTCGACCCCCTTGTCCAGGAGCAGATCTACAAGCTCGTCAGCATTGGCCTGTGCCCGCCGGTCGTCTCACAGTGCCTGCTCGAGTGCATGGTCAACCCTCCCCTCGAGGGCGATCCTAGCTACCCGCTCTACCAAAAGGAGTACAACTCCATCTCGGAAGGTCTGCGCGAGCGCGCCCATTCCCTGTTCAACGCCTTCCAGCGCATGGAGGGTGTTGAGCTCCAGGAGCCCCAGGTATGTATTACAAGCTTGCTCACATCGTTAGACATTTGCTAATCATCTCAACAGGGTGCTATGTACCTCTTCCCCACTATTCACCTCCCCCAAAAGGCCATTGACGCCGCCGCTGCCGAGGGCCGCGCCGCCGATGAGTACTACTGCTTGGCCCTTTTGGATGCCACCGGTGTCTGCGTCGTCCCCGGCTCTGGCTTCGGCCAGAAGGAGAACACCCTCCACTTCCGCACAACCTTCCTTGCCCCTGGCACCGACTGGGTTGAGCGCATCGTCAAGTTCCACTCCGAGTTCTTGGAAAAGTACCGCTGAACATTTAAAATGCATAAAGGTATATAAATGTGAACTGGCCGTCCATCGCCACCTGTTTCACGTATATATGAGATGGATCGGCTTCCATTTATATATCGATATGTTCATACCCCTCTACGACGCAATGTTCGGAATATTTGAATTTGCATATGGATTTGGAATTGGTTCGCCCTTGACACCTATAGACTACTGACTCTATTGGGCTTGCTATCTTCGATTCTCATTTTTGGATACTCCTCTGAGACACTTATGCATCGCATTTTGAATAACGGTATACATTTGCATCGTTCTGTTTGATTTGGGTCCTGTATATTTCTTTCCTCTTATAGAGAATGAATTTTACTTCATTGATTACTAGCAATTTCTTCTATCTCGGTCCTCCTGTCCCCGTCCTTGATGTCATCTTCTGATGAAGGTAAACAAATGAGAGAAGAGGGGGAGTAGCCGGGGGTATTAGCGGTAAAAAAAAGGGTGACAAAGCGTTTGTTCCATCCGATCAAGATAGTGCAAATATCAGGTGCAGCAAATATCACTATTCACTCAAGGCCGAAAGAACAAAGCAAACCATGATGATCGCTCCAAAGCGTGACTGTAGACTGAGTCTCCTGGGACTCGGGGGTATTCGTGTCAGTTTGAGGGTTCTGTTCTTCATCTGACTCCCCCACTCGCTGAGCCTCCAATATTTCAATTCCACGCGCTTTGAGACCAAGCAGCGCAACTCTGTCCATCCGATTTGGCGGAAATCGCTGCTTCCCATCAGCTCCCCATGTATACCCAGGTTCTTCGGCACGAAGGGCTATCCAGGCATCTGTAAGTCCATTGGACTCTATGAGAACGGCATCTTCCTCAAGAACCGGGTTGAAGTCACCAGCAACCAGCCCGCGGCCTGCACTACGCAGAAAAGAGGAGACAATAGAGAGTTGCTTGGGTCTGTGCGAAGGTTTGATCGGCAATGAATCCAAATGAACGTTTGCAAGCCGTACTCGTGTGGTAGAAGAAGCGTCTGTAGGTGAAGAAATGAAGAGATCACAGAATAGCACATCTCTTCCAAAGTGACTAGGGAAAGCTACCCTCCACACAGGCCCTAGAGCGAACCTGCTTATTCCGGAGCTTGGTGATCGAAACCGTGTTTTGGAAACTAATGTCATTGTCGTGAACGAATGTCTTGTTGGCGAGTTCTCATGTTCACTCGAGAACCACGATTCGCCGATACGTTCATCGCTCAAGATCAGTCGCAAAGCACGCTGTGAAACTTCTTGCAGGAATATCACGTCGACCTTGGTATTCAGCTGAGTGATGAATGTGAGAATTTCAGTGACGCGTTCTTGCGTCCGCTCGGATAGTGCGTCGATATTCCATGTCAATAGTACTAGATCGGATGATGCTCCATCGGTGTGGGGTTCTTCTGCATTTTCATTCGCGCTTACTGGATCCCACTGCTTGGAGTTGGGGTTGAACTGGTGCCAGGACTGGAATTTTGGATCCGCTGATAGGTCAGTTGGAAGGGGTGTGTCGTGTTTCCAGGACGCTATGCTTGTCCGAACGCGTGCGTAGATATCCATGATGATGATGAGGTTGATTACTTCCAAGGTTGCCTGATGAGGTGTATGTCCTGGGAAGGTTTGCCCGGGCCTCGGGGTAGCCTTAGGATTAGTTAAGCATTAGGCCTCAGGCTGGAGTGACAGGGGTGAAGTGATAATATGTAGAAATCATCACATTCATAGTTTACTGGTCTTTTGTAGTTAAAAGAGCAGTGAAGAAAGCGGGAAAAAGCGACTATCTCATGCTTTGATGCAAGGACATCAAGGCCTGATGAGGAACTCGCCGGTGGTCGAATATCACTCCAATGGCAGTGAGCTGGAGATGACTATCTGCTGCTCGATACATTACCCCAAATATCCATAGGAAAGGTAAGAGAAAAGGGTTGAGATTGACAAGTCCTTCAGTGACGACAAATGGCCCCCACAACCCTTCCTGTCGCACGGTCCCTACTAGGAACTGCAACAGACCCTCAGGGGCCAATATCGGAGACAGGAACCAAGCCTTTATCTACCCGCACATCTTAGTGCCTTGCCTCGCTCGGCAGAGCCCCCTGAACAGAAACTCGTATGCAACCGTTCAATGCCCGGCGTTCCATCAAGTCGAGCCTGTGAGGGGTGTCGACAGCAAAAAAGAAGTGTGATGAGTTAAAACCCAAATGTTCGCGGTGTATTCGCGCAGGGATTCCGTGTGTCAACAATGGAGCCCGACGGTTCAAGTTTCAATACTTGCAAGTCACCTCGAAGCTAGAAGAGCAACCTACCGAGAGCTCGGCCAATATTGTGGTCCCCACTACAGCCCACAGGGCCGACGACAGTCAGCCACGAGTCGCAAACACTAAGGCTAAACGAGCCCAACACATCAGCGGTAGAAATGGGTGCGGTACCTGCAGGTACGCTCCCGGAAACTGTGCGTAGCGACGAGCTCTAACCAACCCACCATTGATAGGACTCGGAAAGTACCTTGCGACGGCATGAGGCCGGCATGCACACAATGTGTATCTACCGGCCGAAAATGCGACAGTTTTGTGACTATATCAGCCGCTGAGCTCTCAAAGCCACACAACCCTCCGACTTGGGCCCTTCAAGCTGTACCCAACCCTATCCCGCCTCTCCCTGACAAAAAGCCCAGGGAACTGCGCAGCTTCCGTTTCTTCGTGGATGTAACAGCACCTATGCTAGGAGGCGTCTTTGATCCTACATTTTGGAAGGCAGAGATTCCCAGAGCCTGTTACCTTGACGGAGCCATCTGGCACGCCATCATCAGTCTCGCGTCCGCTCACGAATCTGCTGTTTCTACTGTACCCGTTGGCACGTCTACAACGCCTGACAATGTTCATACCCTTCTCCACTATAACCTAGCCGTCCAGAACCTACTCAAGTCATACTCACCCGAGGGCTGGTGGCGGGTTCTTACCCTTAGCATTCTTTTCACCTCTATCTGCTGCTTGGAGAACAAATACCCTGAGGCACAAATGCATTTCAAGTATGGTTACAAGCTGATCTGCGATATTTCTTCGTCTGAGCAAGATGGCACGCATGGACCTATGCCTATCGAACGAGCTCCGAATTGGAACCGACTGCAAGGCCGAGTACCCAGACCAGTATCAGTTAGCTCGCTTCGATGTATGGTCGAAGCGTTTGAACGGCAAAATCGCAATCTCGACGCTGCTAAATCCCAATAGCTTATGCCACTTGCAAATGCTCTGGTGATTCATGTTACTTGTCTTTTACGGTATTTCTAGTGGACATTGCTAGTATCCAGTTCTTGGACGAGATCAGTATCGTAAGGAGAGCAAGACCAGGATACCGACGCAAGTCGATCTTTATGAGACCACATATACCCTATTGTTTGTATAAAGACGGGAAATAAAAGAAAACGAGTAATGCTAGCATCACTCGTATAGCTGAGCGATTTATCGCAATGAGCTTGCCGACCGGATTCTGCTCGGCGATATAATTGCTTGAACATCTGCCTGGGCTTGTTCACAAATTATGATGGTTTAGTAATATATTTTCTAGGGTCATACCACCCCCTCGGAATTATGATAATACGTGGGCGATTTAACGACTACCTTCCGTCGATATCAGCAAGATGGCGATAGCGAGCTTAGTGCTCACATATATTATGGATGGTAAGTGATATTACCACATAGATAAGCCTTGATTATTGCCCAGGCGCAGAGAGGTAACCTTCCAGGGTTTGTTGAGATGTAGTATTTCGTTATCTATGCACGCTACATCACCAATATCACGTAAATTAGCCTGAATCTGCGGGCCAACACCCAAATGCCTAGTGGCTTTTTATCTGTGCTTTTGTATGAAAATGTCAGAGTTCATTCGTTTGCAAATATTTGGTGTTTTCGAAGATGACCGCAAATCCTGACGTTGATCCTATAGTTTCCCGATGCCGAATTCAGAGTTCATGCAGGAGCTTTTACTATTTGATATAGTATCCATAGGTATATCTATTTTTATAATCTTGGAATTAGTAGTGGAATACTTGGATAATTTGATGAGTCAAGCTTGGTACCCTTCAACGCATACGCTGTCTGCCCCAGTATCGACCCTCGGATTTCGATATCGTGGGAACTATCTTTGACTAGGCGTCCAAATCCAAATATGGAAGCAGCACCCTACTTCTGCTAGAAGGAGTTCTAGATATGATGACCTATACCATTGGTCCAGCGCTGATAAATACAATAGGAGATGCAGGCACACAATGTCTACGCGGCCAGGCCGTAGCCAAACCACGCCCAGGTTCTCTCTAAGACTTTCTGCTATGGAGATTCCTTGTATGGCTGTATTTACTATTGTAGTCATCAATGCTGCACCAAGGGTATAAGTGTCATCTATCTCAATTTTTCCTCGCTTCGGTCAGAGGCTTTGGATATTCTGAGTTGCTGTATATTGGATCAGGTCAACAGGTGATTCGGTGTTTTCAAATGGAGAGTTAAGCTTGGGCAACGGTTCAGAGATACCTCTGAACTGTGTGTCTACGTGATTCTTTCTCCCTCGGCTGTCACTATAGAGAATAGGTATTACTTACTTTTGGATAATATTGTAGATTCACGCGAGGAGAGAAAGGGAGAAGAGAGGAGCAGTCTGCGCTTGACCTGGGATATTTATAACCTGAGGAAGTTGCGGCTATTTTGAAAACTACGATTGTTCGATACATCACGCAAAGCTCGAAGTAGATGTCCCATCAGAATAACACTCGGTGGTTTCAGAAGATGTAGGCATGAGAGCAATGGGTATTTTAGATAGTTTGGTCAATGTCGTAGGACTCGCCCTCTCTGCAATCGAGCCATCACCAATCCATCGTCTTTGGCCAACACATAAATATCTGGGCCAGGGTAGAATTAGCTGTCGTGGTGGCTTGAGTCGCTTTTTATACGATAATGGAAAGATATATATGAGGAAGAGGGAGGGATTGATCTCTGCTGGGCCCACTGCAACCCTAAAAAGAGACAGCCAAAGACAATCAGGTAATAACCAAAGACTTTAAGCGTTTGAGCCTGATATGCAGCTTGGGATAATTTATCCAACTCATTAGAGAACATACAGGGGCCATTATTCTTCCACTTGATAACCCCTTATTTCAACCAGCGAGCTAAGACCGAACTCCATTCCTTGTCCGAGTGTGTTCTAGGAGATACCTAGTACCCATCTGCATTCCATCCCAACAACCGGATTGATATTAGCACATAACCCAGCACCAAATATATACATCATACCTCAATCTGACATGTCCTGTGACACAAGAGAAGCAAAGAAGCGGTGAGATTCCGTCCTTCCGAGGTATGTAGACAAAAATAAAAGTCACGACAAAAACATACACCGAATTATTTATGACCTCAGAGAACCAATAGAACTATATCCTGCTAAGTCTATTCTTCTAGATTCATCCTTCTAGATCTATCCAAATCCACAACAGTTTCCTAATCCCAACAAGCACGTCGCACATCATCCCTAACTCAAGACCCATCCACATATGCAAGGCGTATAAACAAATCCACCCACTCACATACACCTTACACTATGGTTTCGGTTACCGGCCATCGACATCAGACCCACTCACACTCCATCGAACACGCAACACCTGATCGTACAGCAAGGTGCAGCATACAGTAGTCACACCGCACCTCGTGCTCCACGTCCTGACTTGCGTGGTCTTGGCTAATGCTTAGCTATGGGTTGGCGTTGGTACAGGGGTCTTCCTTGCACGGTATTGTGCATGGATGGGCTTTGCTCTGGGATACCCAAACTATTGTAGGGGGTATGTATATGTACATTAGTATGTAGTACATAGCTGATATGGAAGCATGGATACGCTTAGTTCTGGTTTAGTGTGGAGTAGTGTGATATACTATGTAATGTCGTACTCGGTACGGAGTAGTGTGTAATCTGTTTCTTTGGTATTGTAAATTTCCTTGTGCGATGTCGAGACCGTTTCCCTGTTTCAGAAGTTGGGGAAGGCTCTTGTAGATGTCTCAGGGTGAAGGATCAGGGTGAAGGATTAAGGTGTAACTCGGTCGTTGGGTATTAGGGCTAGACGATTTACCTTGACCAATCCAGGAGTCGATCTGATGAGGCAGCTGAGGGCCACAGTGGGTGTAGCTTGGATTTTCTCACCGCTAGATCCCGCCTGACCGGGATCCTCTTCGCATTCGATCGACTCCGGGCCGGGTGATTGCTACTAGTGTTGATGAATACAGGGGGTAGCATAGTTGGTATTAAATTGCGTTACCTAGTTGATAGGCAATTGATTCGTGATATCATCGGCTTGGGGTATATCAGCTAGCGTTCTGTGCGGCCCTATATAATAAAATATGGGGTACAGGGTGATGGAAATTCAAAGGCAAATATTGGGGTCTGTATTGATCCGCATTGTGCACGTATCTGGGTATCGTTGTCCGGAGGCAAGTGGTATGGACATGGACCGCCCGAGTCATTGTACATGTAAAAACAGAACAAATAGAGAATATTCTATACATCAGCGAGAATGCAAGGCAAAAGTAAAAGCAAGCGTGTACGGAAGCCAAAGCAAAAGAATGTACAGGCACGTGCAAGTGTCCAAATCGCAAACCCTTCTAGATTAAATGGCTATCGAGGAAGGAATCTAGACTGGCTAATTGAACAGGACAAATCAGGCATTTATCATCATCTCTCATCAAGGTCGTGAAGACGGTGTAGAGGTGGTGGTTGATTGCCACAAGAGAGCAAGCCCCAGGACGAAGGAAGTAAAAGAGGAAGAGAAGATAAGCAAGGATAAACGAGCACCGTTTATTTTTTTTTTTACTGAGCCCAGTTTTGTTGGAAAAAGTTGTCGTCAATGGGCGAAGTGGACCCAGCATCGAAAAGACCAGGCCAGATAGGAACGGAGTCCGACGGCGGCGAAGGCGCACTGGTAATCGGGGCCGACGTCATAGGCTTGTACAATGGGATCTGTGACATGGTGTAGATATCCTGGGCAGGGACTGGTTTTGGCTCCATGCTCATGCTGGCTTGCAGCCGGTGCTCGAGGGCAGCGGTGGACTCATTAGTCGACTTGAGGAAGTCGTCGATGTTGATCGATTCCAAGTCATTGGATGACAGGAGACGCGCCTGAGGTAGACCGACCAATGAGGAGGCAGAGCTGACACGGAAATGTTCCATATCAGAAGCTTCGCTTACGCTGTGCAGATCGTGCATGTCATTGCTAGCATGACCCAAACCCGGAAGCGGTCCAAATTCGTCAACCTCGGAGATGTCCCCGGATGACGAGGGCGGCGGGAGACCCGAGGGATAGGCGTTATAATCAAAGCTAGCATATGAAGGAGCTTGCGTGCTATTTGCAGCGGGCACGTCGGAGTATAGAGGGAAACTTGACCAGTCAACCGAGGGAGCACCAATGCCAGCAGACCCCAGGGGCATGTCGGAGTCTGGAGAGGTAAAATAACATTCTTGGTAAGGTTCTTGGAATGCCATACAGGTGATGGGAGAGTTGGTGCTCGTGGTCGGGAAGGAGGCGAAAGAGGAGATGTCAAGGGGAGGAACGCTAGTGACAATCTGATCCAGAGGGAATTTGTCCATGGTTGCGGGGGTAGATGTTGGGTTTGACAGCACATCATGGGGCCGGTCTATTGACGGAGCGGGCGGTGCTGGCGTAGCGAAATTGTCGATGTACAAGTGATCACGAGGGGGAGGATTATAATCGTCTTCGGCACCCGAGCCAAGCGCGCTGTTGGGAGAACCATTTTGCGACGTCTGTTGTGATGTGGCGAATTCGGAGAGATTAAGGGGTTCCTTGATGAAGGCCGACTGGCCGAGCGGCAAATGATCCACGGACCGACGAGGTAAGTCGGCTGGGTGGTGGATGGTATGCGATCGTGGGATCGTATAAGGCAATCCACATTTGTGGGCCATGTCATTATGCTTGTGAGCGGGTTTATGATGACCGTCGCGGAAAATCGTGAGCGTCGATTCCGATTTGGTAGACGTCAGAGGGGGTTTCCGAGGGGTCTCAATTGTAAGCGGGGGTGGAGAGAAGGGAAGACCTGTTTCGGGCACGGTATCCAGGTGTTCCTTTTTGAGTGCACAGGTGCAGCGCTGGCCATGGCAGCAGCCACAGCGACCATGGGCAACGCCGGTATGGCAGTCTTCCTTCTTCTTCTTGTCACCGCAATCACACTGGGTGTGAGTT